AGGAGCCGCTGGACAGGGAAGGGTGGTAGAACTACGGGCGATTATCGGACCGGAGGAGGGGTCAACAAGGGAAACCGCGGCAGGAGCAGCAAGTGGGGTCAACGTAGTGGAGTCGTGGAAGAAACACCGGGAAGTGCCAGAGTCCAGGGTGAAGGAGAGCGCAGCAGTGGCGGCCGGAGTCGGAGCAGCGAGGGAGGAACCAAGGCTAAACAAGGCAAGGGATCCTATGCCTGACGCAACAGGGGAGGCAAGTCTAGACACACCTACACTAGGCAACACAGGGTAGTAAAAACTAGTCACACTAGAGTTATCAACATATAGCACATACAAGGCAGAGCTAAGCTCATCCATGTCCATATCAAAGATCGGAATACTACGGCAAAGCAAGCTGTACCAGTCAGGGAGGTCGGGTGACGGGCCGAAGCGAAGACGAAACAGGTCGCCAAGGCGATGAAAGCAGCGGACAGGGGTGTGACCGATCTTACCACAAATGGAGCCGCAGCGAGGACCGGGCTGGAGCTGGTACTGGCAGCGCCCGTCACCCGAATTGCTACCCGGAGGCACACCATGCGCACGGCCACCACCACGTCCACCGCCGCCACCAGCGCCAGGCCACCCGGGCGGGAGACCACTCACCCGCCTCTGCTGCTGCGGCTGCTGCCACTGCTGCGGCTGGTGCTGGGGCTGCTACTGCGGCTGGTGCTGGTCCGGCTGCGATGCCTGCGGCTGCTGGGACGGCTGCTCGGCTGCACCAGGCACAGTCCCCTCGTCCGCGCCACCACCAAGCTACCTGACTCCACCACCACCTCCACCGGCACCGCCACCCCCTCCGCCGCGCCCAGCCTTGGGGCGGCAACCCTTCCCCCGACGGAACTGCGCTGCAGCTGCAGTCTCAGCCACAGCAGCGGAACCGTCGGAGAAGGTGCACTGAGCAGGGGCACAACCCTGAAAGATAGGGACCGGCAAAGTACCGCTGGTCTGGGCGATAGAGCGCTGGCGGGTCTCTATGGCAGACAGGGTGTCAACAAAGTCAGTGAGGGTGAGGTCATCGGGGTGGATGCTAAGAAAGCGGTCGTGGGCAGTGGCAAGACGGCCAGGGAGGCAGGTGGCAAGTAGGTAGAGGGCGGAGCTGAGGAGCGGCTGATGGGCTCTAAGCTGGGTCTCAGTACAGGCAGAGCGCCAGGTCGCGTCTATCGTGCGCAGGTGGACGGCCAGGTCAGCGAAAGTGGGGAAAGACGCAAGGTCAGGGAAGAGCATCGGTAGGATCAGGCGACCTATAGAGGCAGCGGGTGGGGTGGAATAGCGCTGGATAACAGCATCTAGGAACTCCTGCGCAGTCGTGACCGACCTAAAGCGAGGGCGCTCAGACAGGGGGAGGGCATGACTGATAGCAAGCTGCGCAACGGCATCACGCGGCAACCAGACTGAGCGAGCAAGGGCAGCAGCTGCAGAGGACTCACGCTCAGCAGACGAGGGGTCAGCGGGCAGTGCAGCAGGGGGGTCAGGGCAGGGAAGCATCCGTCAAGGTGGACAGACAGCGAGTGGCCATCCTGCCGCTGACCAGTGAGATGGCGACGGAGGTCGACCAGCCACGCGTCAAACTCAAGCGGCTGACCCTCAGCGTCGAGGCGAAGCACGGCCGCAATCAGGAACGGTGCAGCAGGGAGGCAGGGCGGTGCTATGCTGTGCAGTGCGGTGCAGTGAGGTGCAGAGCGATGCAGAGCGGAGCACTACGGTGCAGTGCGGTGCAAAGGGGTGCCGGGCGGTGCAGTGCGGTGCAAGTCGGGTAGGAAGGGCCGGGCACGAGTCGGAGGTGGGCCGGCGACGAAGCGAGGTCAGGGCCGGCGCGGAACGGGCGGGAGGCCGAGGAGGGGCGGGCGCGAGGGGGCCGGCTAGGAGTGGGCCCGAGGCCGACGAGGGGCGGGCGCGAGTGGCCGGCTAGGAGTGGGCGCAAGAGGCCGGCTAGGGGCGGGCGCGACGGGGGGTGCGAGGGGCCGGCGCGGAACGGGCGCGACGGCACTAGGGGCCGGCTAGGAGGGGTGCGACGGGGGAGGGGGCGCGAGGGGCCGGCTAGGACGGGCGCGACGGCGCTAGGGGCTGGCTAAGAGCGGGCGCGACGGCGCTAGGGGCCGACTAGGAACGGGCGCGACGGCGCTAGGGGGCGGCTAGGACGGGCGCGACGGCGCGAGAGGGCCGGCTAGGACTGGCGCGACGAGGGCGCGTGGGGCCGGCTAGGACTGGCGCGACGGGGGCGCTAGGGGCCGGCTAGCACGGGCGCGACGGCGCGAGAGGGCCGGCTAGGACGGGCGCAACGAGGGTGCGTGGGGCCGGCTAGGACAGGCGCGACGGGGGGGGGGCACATGGGGCCGGCTAGGACGGGCACGACGGCACTAGGGGCCGGCCAGGAACGGGCGCGCGGGGCGCGACGGCGCTAGGGACGGGCGCGAGGGGCGCAAGGGGCCGGCTAGGAACGGGCACGGGGGCGGCTAGGGCCTAGGGCGGAAGCGCGGGCAGGCTAGATGGACCTAACATACTCATGATACCATGTTAGAATGAGAGAATGAACTTGAATGGGAGAGTACAAGGGAGTATAACCTATAAGGCACAAACCTGTACAGTCTATACAAAAATAATATATGTTTGACACTATTCTCCCATACCACTTTCAGCTCTTGGACACTCGTCTTGAAGTATCATCTCATGCAGCCGCTGCAGCATTGACCAAGGCATCGTTGGCATCTTGGCTCAAAGCCCAGAAGAACCACCCTCCAAAGCCTTCCGCCTTGGCATAGTTAACCTTGGTGGTGATGGTGGAAGGGTCGTCGTAACCAACCCACTGGTCACCGTTCACCGCATACATGGATGACGACGGGGTATCAAGTGTAGCCGTGTAACCTCCAGTGGTTACCAGCGGCTCAATTTCCTCGTAAAAGAGGATGCCAGGTTCCTGTTGGTAAGGTGCAGGGGAAACAGATAGTTAAAGTAAGGGTGTGACAAGAGTTTTAAGCAACATACCTAATTCGACAACACTGATAGACATTTAGCACATACAAAAAGTCGACAGCTAGGAAAGGAGGAGAATTCCTTTTATCCAGGGAGCGAGGAGGGGGTGGGGGGGGGGGAAGCAAGAAGAATAGAAGAGGGAGGGAGGAACAGCGAACTAACCTGACTGATGGGCCCAGCCTGACCAGCACCAGTGGCAGCAGCTCCAACCCCAGTATCACTCGTCGAGGCAAGAGTCCAGGTTCGGCCATACATCGCCAAGCCTAGCATGGCCTTGCTTGGGGACAAACCTCGGGTGATCCAGGCAGCCATGGCGCCCTTGAGGCTGAGCTGCGGGTTGCTTGGATCCTCCAGAGCAGTCTGCATGCCTGTCTTCAGCTCCCACGACCCGTGGATATCGTACGTCATCACATTAACAAAGTCCAGGGTTTTGTCAAGCGTCGGAACCTCGTAGGCGTCGTTGATGGTCGGCTCGTAGCAGGATACCGCTGCGGAAAGAAGGAGCTTCGGTTTCCCTGACGAACCAGCTTCGGATTCGATTGCTGCCCGGAAATCGGTGAGCAGGGCGGAGAAGAGGGAAGCCTGGCCCGTGGGGTACTCCCAGTCAAGATCTAAGCCGTCGAAGTTGTAAGTGCGGGCGAGGGAGATTGCGGATTGGATGAAAGCGGAGCGGGAGGATTCGGAGGAGGCGGCGTTGACAAAGACATTGGTGCCGGCAGAGTAGCCACCGATGGAGAGGAGGGTTTTAAGTGACGGGTTGGCGGTCTTAAGGGCGGAGTTAAAGCTCAGGTAGAGGCCCTGGTCGACGTCCACAGCACGGTCGGATGGGACCACCTGGATTGGCAGAGAAGAAACACAGGAGACCATTTAAGAGAAGGGGGGGGGAAGGGGCAAAACGAAGGGATGATGGGACGAAAAGGGGCGGGGCAAGAAAGTGTTGGAGCCTGACCTTCAAGGGGGGAAAACGGTGTGAAACTTGGGACAGGACTGCTAAAAGAGCCAGGGTCTGACCTAAAACAGCGAGCGTGGTGAGCTGGCGAAAGCCTTGCAGTGCCTAGCATGGGGGACAGGTGCGAGCCCACTGTACCTCGTATGTGGTGGCGTCGACGCTAGCAAAGGCGTAGAAGACATGTGTGAGCGAGGCAGCAGGCACGGCAGATGGGTCCATGCCCGCCCAGTTGACAAAGTACGCCATGCGGTTCAGACCAGACGGGGGCGGGGTGCCAGTTGGTGGAGGGTCCGACGTCGGGGGAGGAGGGGAAGGGGATCCGGAGGGAGGGGGATCAGGGGAAGGGGAAGGGGTCCCGGAGCATTGGGACTGGCAGCCGGAGCCGCAGTGGGAGTCGGTGGAGCCGCACCAGCCCCACTCGCTGCAGCAGAGACCGTCGGGGCACACGCTGCCGCCGTTCCCTGCTCCGCACTGCACGTCGGAACCAGAACCAGTGCAGGGCCCGGATTGGCATTCAGCGCCGCAGTACTCGTCAGTGGAGCCGCACCAGCCCCACTTGCTGCAGCAGAGGTTGTCGGCGCAAGGAACGGAGGCGGAGCACTCCTGCGCGCGCGCGGGGAGAGAGAGATGCGCGGCGGAGAGCAGCAGCAGCGGGAGGAGGAGGAGGAGGAGCGGACGCGGAGGAGGTAGGATTGTCATGGGCGGCATGGTGGCTGCTGCACTAATCGAGAATAATGGCTCCCGCACTGGCGCAGGCGGGAATGAGGCGCAGCACGGTGGAATTTGCCTCAGAGAATTTAAAAAGGATGGCCTGAGAGAATCGCTGATGCTCCAGTTGACGTAGAAATGAATGTCTAAACTGACGTTGGAGATCAGGTGGGTGGGAGGATGAGTTGAAACAAATGTCTCAGTCTGCTGTTCAGGATCGAAGGATGGTAGGATGAGTTGACAAAAGCGAGCAGGATTGAGTGGTATCGGTGAGGTTCGAAGTCGGCGGAAATGCCGCGTTAAATACCAGAAGGAAAGACTGCGGGGAAGTAGAAGGGAGGGGGGGTAGCGGCAGGCAGTGGGATTCACAGGGACGCGTGGAGTGTACTCCTGGCAAGAGGGACTGAAGGGGAAGGCGCAGCTCAGCCACTCACAACGCGAGACTCCGAAATTAGAATTTCCCGTAATTCGACATCGATCCTCGCACTGCGATTCGGACCGCGATCGGACCGCGATTCGTCGGATTCGGAGCTCCTTTCTGCGTCTGCGACACGAGGCTGGGATCCTGGTGTAGTAAGAGTAACAACGCACACCGACACCTGCGCGTTGCGTGTGCGGGGAAGTTCTGCACGCGTGCCGATATGATTCCATCGTGGAAACAGTTTCGTCCGTCCGTCCGTCCGTCCGTCCGTTCCGTTCAACCGTCCGTTCCTACCGCGCATCGCGACTGTAAGTGTCAGTGCCACAAGACGCTGCCTGAACGTAACTGCGGTCGCCTGAAAGTCTTACTCCCCTCGGACTACGAGTCTCCCCGCGTCTGGTCAGGGCGCGTTTTGGGCTCGGGCAAGCCTCGAGGCAGAACTTCGGGGCATCAATTATACGGACACGATGAATCAAAGTTGGGGCTCGGGCAATCTCTTCCGTAGAGCGGATGCACGGAAGTTTGCCTCGAGGCTTGTCCCGAGCCTAGAACGCGCCCTCAGACACCTTGGCCTAGCACAGCAGTGACATATGGTAGATGACACAAATCCAGCCGTCGACAACACATAAGGCAAAAGAATAGGGGAAACCCTTGTTGACCACGCGGCTGCTCGTGAGTCGTGAGCCGTTGGATCGGATGGCGATCGAAAGGCCAGGCCCTTTTTGGTGAGGCCCTGTGAGGCAAGGCCCTAGAGAATATCCCAAAAAATGTCGTCGTGAGGTTTCAGTGCGGTACAGTGGGGTAAGGTCTGGTGCGAAAAGTGGGAGGTGGTCAGACTCCAGCTATGGATGGAGGATGTCTAGCTACCTAAATTACTTTGAGCAGCTAACTTCTACAAAGAAATATCACAATTATGGACACAAGCAAGAAGCGCAGCATTGTTTTGCGCGTATGAAATATTTTAAGACCAAAATCCCTCCAGGACCTGCCCTTTAGAAGGACAGCAGCGACATTCCACAAGATTCCATTTCCAATTCAGGCCCAGCAAGATGCCGGGCCAAAAGAAGAGAGCTTATAACACACTCGAAGCATACCGGTACCACTCAAAGCAAGCATCCCCCCATGCACACCTTCATTCTCCTCACGTTTCAACAAAAACTTGAGCAGGTTGAGCTACCCCAGCAATCCAGGGAGAATCCGGGAAAACAGATCCTCCTCATCCCCTGGCAACAGCAACAGAGAATCACCAAGCCCGTCATCTTCAGAAAATTGCGAGTAGCCATGGCTGCTGTTGCTGCAGCTGCTGAGTCCACTAGCAGTGCCACTGCTCCTGTCACTGTTCACTCCACACAACCACTGCGAATCCTCCTGTGCTGCCATGCCTGCTCCTCCTGCCCCTCCCCACAGCCGTCCTATGCTCTCGGGCACATAAACTTTCCTCGTGGCTTCACACCCGCCCACAGGCTCGGCACGCTGCTGCGATTTCAGCTCGGGCAGACCGTTGAAATTCCACCCACTGCCCGAGGAGAGGTTCGGGGGAGTCTCAAGAGTACCGAAGCTGGAGCTGTTTCCAAGTGGAGCTGGGGAGGCACTAAGGCTCGGGCCAAACCCAGGAGGAGGTACGGGGCTGGCATGGGCAGCAGACGGGAGATTCGGCGATGAGCTGGACCAAATACCAGAGAGGAGAGATGTATGGTGGACGGAGGAGGAGGGGGTGGTGGTGGGAGTGAGTGTGGTGAAGGGGGTATGAGAGAAGGAAGCAGGAGATGCGACAGTGTAATCAGGGAGGGGAGAGGGTGGCGAGGGGGAGGGGGAGGGAGAGGAAGAGCGGGAAAGATGTGCAAATACTGGGTCAGAGGGACCAACAGGGAAGGCAGTAGGATGCTGAGGTATGCAGTGGTTGGAAAGGAAGGGGTGAGGAGGGGGGAGAGAAGAGTGAGGAGAGGAGGAAGTGGTTGTGGTGGCAGTGGCAGCAGTGGCGGCAGTGGTGGTGGTTGTGGTGGTGGAGGAGGAGAGGGGTGATGAGTAGAAGGGGAAGGGTTGCGTGGAGGGGAGGGAGGAGGGGAGGCCGTGCGGATGTGAGATGATGAGGTGAAGGGCGTGGCTGATGTCACCAGAGGCCAGCACCAGGGCATGCTCCAATAGGTCCTGGTGAAAAAAAACAAAGGGGAGGGGGATGGGGTGAGAATGGAGGAGATGAATGAGTGACTCGCGAGACGACCCAAAGGGCGTAGGTGATGTCACCAGAGGTCGAGCGCGAGTGCATGCTCCAATAGGTCCTGGTGAGAGGGTAGGGGAAGGAGGAATATGGAGCCACAGATGGGAGACGCACACGCAAATTTCAAACCTACAACGGAACCTAAAACGGAACCCAAAACGGAACCCAAAACGGAACCCAAAACGGAACATGGCACACAAAGCTGGAGATGAAGTGGGAAGCGGGCAAGTGCAAAGAAGATAGCATGACGGGCAGCGAGCAGGTGCAACACGGGTTGGGCAAGGACGGATGCATGGCGGGAAGTGGGCAAGCTGGGTAAATTCGTGTGAAAGACCCAGAGGGTAAATTCGTACCTGGGGCAGCGATCCAGCTGACATGATCTCAGAGAGTGCTTGCAACTCGAGTGAGATATCCTGCAAGCAGCCAGCAGAACAGCGGCCAATCAGGCAAGAGGGGAGGGGCAATTAGTCACGGGGACATGAAGTGTGACTAACAGTAGGTGTTGATAGCAGCGATCAAGAGTAGGAATCACTGGCAGGCATGGCTCGTAGGATGGAGCAGGGAGGGGAAACATGAACTGCTTAATGAATCTGGGGCTGCAACGAATGCGGAGGGCGTGGAAGCAGAGAGCGCAGAGGGGCAGAAGGAGCACTTGTGCAGCACGAGCAGATGTGGTTGAGGCAGCCAACCAGGACTCTCAGCAAGGGTGGTCAGACGGCAAACGACGAGTGCAGGGGGGGGCACTTACGACGAATGGGGAGGGCGTGGAGGCAGAGAGAGCAGAAGGCCGGCAGGAGCACTCGTGCAGCACGAGCAGGTGGTTGAGGCAGCCACCCAGGTCGCCCCCGTGCACAAGCACTGCCTGCGCCGCCTCGCCCAGTGGGAAGCCGAGCCTGGAGAGAATGAGAGAGGGAGAGGAGCGACGGAAATGCGGAAAGGAGAAATTGACTGGGAGAAGAGAGTATGGCCGCCCAGGTCGCCCCTCTGCACCATAACAGACTGCGCTGCCTCACCCAAGGAGAAGCCCAGCCTGGAAGGAGGAGCATGGGTAATAAGCAGAGAAAGAAAGGCGGCGGGGGTGGGGGGGGGGGGGGGGGGGCGGGGGGGGGGGGGGGGGGGGGGGGGGGGGGGGGGGGGGGGGGGCGGGGGGAGGGGATGGGGAACGACAAGAGAAAGTGAGGGGAGTTTTGAGGGTCGCCACCCAGGTCGCCCCCATGCACCCTGCGCTGCCTTGCCCAGGGGGGAGCCGAGCCTGGAATGCAGATTGGACACGAAAAGAAGAGAAAAAAGCACAGGACGCCCCCCTGTGCCCAGCACTCGGACCTCGTCCAAGGTCCGAGCGCACAGGAGGAGGTCTTACTCTTGACATAGACTCGCCGGCCACTAGAGCATATGGTCAAGACATCCTTTCTTTATCGCATTACAAGGTGTCAAAAGTACTTACTCTTGCAACTGCCGCGCATAGACTCGCCGGCCACTAGAGCCTATGGCCAGGACATCCCCTCACTGACACAGTACAAGGTGCCTCGGGAACGTACTCTTACAACTGCCGCACATAGACTCGCTCGTCTCAAGGGGGTCCTTACAAGGAAACGGGGTGAACACATGGTTTGAGAGTGCATGGGAGAGGGTCTTACTCTTGCAACTGCCGCACATAGACTCGCCGGCGATTCGTCTCAAGGGCAAACCGGCAGGCATCACTCCACCGGCGCAGACCACCAGTGGGGCTACGCGCAACTGCAGCGCCAGGCATATCTCCAGCAGTCGACATGTTAGTAGCACCTACAGAGGCAGCCACGTTGCTAGCAGTGGCACTGGGGACGGCGCCGGTTGCAACAGTGCTTGCCGCGGGACTGGCGTCACCAGAACCGGCAGCATTGCTTGCGTTCGACACACTGCTACCCTTGCTAGCCTCTGCTGCTGCTGCTGCTGCTGCTGCTGCAACATCTTCAGCAACCACCACCTTATCCTGCTGCTGCTGCTGCTGCTGCTGCGACTGTTTCTGGTGTTGCTGAGGTGGCTGCTGCTGCTGCTGCTGCTGCTGTACCTGCGAATCTGCCTTCTCCTGCAACCCGTCCTGTATGCTCACCTCAGTACCCACCCTCCTACCACCCTCCCCACTCGACGACGGTGCTTCCGAACCCACGACGCTAGGCTCGGCAACCGGTTCGGCAGCAGGGCTCGAAGCAGGTTCGGTGACAGGCTCGGGCGCGAGATGGTCGGCGCAACTGCTCATGCTGGCGGAAGGGGAAAGGCTGGTCATGGCGCGCGGGGTGGAGGGGAAGGAGGAGGGCGGGGAGGAGAGACCCGAGGTGGTCGAAAACTCGCACTCAGTGGGGGTGGTGGAGGAGGAGGAGGAGGAGGAGGATGAGGAAGGGGGAGCGGAATGGAGAGAGGAGGTGTGGAGGGTGGAGGAGTGGAGAGAGGAGTCTTTCGTCCAGACGGAAAGGGAAGTGGAGGGTGGGAGGTGGGCGGAAGAAGCGGGAGGGTCTGGGGACACGGTGGTTGTGGTTTTGATGGGAGGGGGTACCGACGGAGGAGGCAAAGAAGAAGGGGCGACGGTAGTATCTGATTTCACTTGCGATTCTCTTGTCGCCTTTCCTTCCTGCTTCCCCTGCTGCTGCTGCTGCTGCTGCTGTGGTGGCTGTTTCTGCTGGTGAGGCTGCTGCTGGCTCTGCGCCTGTTGCTGATTCTGTCCCTGCGCCTTCCCAGCCTCTGGCCGAAGCAGAAGCGCGGCAGGCTTGGCTTTCCAAACCGAGTTCGCAGGCACGGCGGCGGTCACCGGAGCAGGAACTGCAGGTGCGGGAACCACTTGCTCCTTCCCTTTCTTCTTCTGTCTCCCCTTCCCTTCGCCCTTACCACTACCACCACCATTCTCCGTCTTCCCTTCCCCATCTTGGCTGGACCCCTTGCCCCCAGCCTTGTCTTTCTTGCTCTTCTCCTCGCCTCCTCCCCCTGCTGCAGGCTTGTCAGAGGCCTTGCCCCCGGTGCTGGCGTCTTGTTGCGAGGAGGGGTCCTTAGGGGACGAAACTTTGTCCGCCTTGCTCTGCCAGACAAACAACATGCAACCAAAAGCGGAGGGGACTATGACGCGTATTTCCCTTTGGATAGCCCAAATGCGATGACACGCGACGACGACCATGCATTCCCATCCCAGGCATACCGCCACCACCGCTACCACTACCACCACTACCACCACTACTAACACTACTAACACTACTGCTGCTGCCACACTACCAACGAGCAGGAGCAACAAGGCTCACTCACACATGACTTACCTCCGAGGATTTCCCTTTGGATGGTGCGGACACAATGCCAGGCGACGACGACCACGCATTCACAGGCACACCGCCACCGCCACTGCCGCTGCTACCGCTCACACTACCCACAGCAGCCGCCGCAGCATCCTTCAGCCCCGCAGCAGCAGCACTCCAGGACTTTGACAAAACCTTCACAGCCACTCCCCCACTCCCGCCACCACTAGCACCAGCACCGGACGAGCCTATACCCCCGCTCTTAGACGACGGGGAAAGAGGGTCGGTCCCAGCAGACGAGGACTTAGCGGCAGCCTTGGCAGCTGGTGGTAGCGAGGAGCGGACGAGCAGAGCAACGGTGGGCTTTGGCGCGGGGGCGGCGGGTGCAGCCGGTGCAGAAGCAGAGGACTTGGAGGAAGAGGAGGGCACCAAGAATGACGATTTCGACTTGCCCTCCTTTTTGCTATCCGCTGCCTTCCCTTCCTTTTTCCCGTCGACGGCTTTACTGTCGGCCTTTTTGTCGTCCTTGCCTTTGCCGCCCTTCTTCCCCGCCGCTCCCACAGGGGCTGGAGGGGGCTCCGGCATCTTGGCCTTGCGCCGCTTCTTGCTGCAGTGAGGAGAGCGGGGGGGTGGGCGGAAGAGAAAGTAGTTTGAGACATCTAAAAAAGAGGGGAGGGGGCTCCGGCATCTTGGCCTTGCGCCGCTTCTTGCTGGAAACAGGAGAGTGGGGGGGGGGGGCGGAAGAGAAAGGAAGGACTCGTTTTGAGGCATCTAAAAAAGAGGGGCTAGAAGGGGCCCGGCATCGTGGCCTTGCGGCGCTCCTTGTGCAGTGTGGAGAGCGGGGGAAGCAGAAGAGAAGAAACCAAAAAAAAAAGGGAGGGTTGGACGGGGCTGGGGCATCTTGGCCTTGCGGTGCGTCTTGCTGCAACGAACGAGGAGAGTGTAGACATGGGTGGGGGAGCGAACGAGATGCAAGTTGAAAAGCGCGTGGGGGTCCGTTTAAAAGCGCGCGACGAACGAGGAACACATGTTTCGGCCCGACAGTAATTCCGGTGGACAAGGGAGCCGGCAACGACGGGAAACACGCATTCGCACACATTCGGGTACAGCAAAACCGCATTTGGCAGGACTATAAAGAAGGGGAAATGGAGGCAGGGGGAAAGACGGAGTGCAGGAGCAAAGAGGCTGCACCTGTTCTCGTTCCGTGCATGAATTGGATGCGACTTGGTGATCTGGAGAGGTTGAAGCGCCGCGAAAGAGGGAAGGAGAGAAACGCACGGATGAGAGACACGGAGATGGGTGCATGGATGAGAGGGAGTATACGGTACAGCGTACGGAGGACAAGGGTACACGCATGGAGGGGGGAATATTGACCAAAACGCGGAGGGGAGGGACGAAGACAACCAGATAAAACGAAAGGAATGAGAATAAACACGCGGATAAAATTAACAGCGACTGGAGGGGAGGGACGGTGGCATAAGCAGCAGGGGAGGACAGATGAGCCAATGTCTAAACGCTATCATACGAATGCAGGACGGCGCGGAATGATACAATAAAAATAAGAAGTGAGATGACGAATTATATTGTTTAGGATTGGTTGATATTCGTCGTCAAGCTACTTCATATAAAAGAGCAAGAAGCACCGAAATCATTAACGTACAAGCGTGGACGTAAAATACGGGATATGGGAAAGGAAGCAGGGAAGAGAGGCTTACTCGTCCAGGACACGGCTTGTCAAACTTCGTCGCTTTGCCATTGCCACGTGGGCATTGAAAACCCGTCTTTCGTTGCCTGCGATAAAATGAGTAGTGACGAAAGCAAGTGTCATAATCGGAAAGGGGTTGTCAAGACGGATTTTGGGAAGGGGGTGTGTGAGTAGGACGAAAAAGGAAGACAGTGAGGGCTAAGATAGTGGATGGATGAAAAAAACTATTGGGATGCAGCGGTTTCAAAAACAAAGATTATAATAGGTCATATTTCAAGGATCTTTTCGAGAAGCGGTTCTTGCGGGGAAAAGAGACAGTCTGTGAATCGCTTCGGCATGTTGCGTGAGTCCGGTAAACTATGCTGGGCCTATAGCCGAACATTGTAACTTATGATCTATGATGACGAAAACAGGCAAAAGCGAGCTGCAAGTTCGGAGAGCCACGTCCACCAGGATGCATTGACTGCAACGATGTCCGACGCCGAAACGGTAGCCGACGGAAAACTAGGCCTGACGAGGCGGAAAACTAGGACTAACGATTTACAAAGACGGCGTTCGAAAGCCTTCGAGCCGTGACGGATCATCCGGCTCCGGTATCTCCCATATACTACCGTATTCTGTCGCGTCTAAGGTACAGATCCTTCTGAGCCGTCTCGCGTCTAAGGTACAGATCCTTCTGAGCCGTCTCAGAAGTAGTTTAGTCTTGAGGCTTCTCAAAACCAGGCTCCGGTGATTCCAATGTACTACCGAGTTCTGTCACTGGCTAAGGTACAGATCCTTCTACTTCCCAACAGCTACTAGAAGTAGCGAGAAGTATTCTAAATGCTATCGAAGAATAACCTAAAGGCGTCTGTTTGCGAGCCATACTTGTCCAGGCGGATGCTCTTAAGAAACGCCTCGATGCAGTGTTGATGGTACACGCCGGAGCTCGCACATCCTTCAAACGTGCAAGCGAGCGCGTTTAGCTCGTCCTGCGTACTATCACACGGCTCCCCGCAATAGTCACAAACTCCCTCGATGTCGTGCAGGGAGTGACCCGCGGCCGGCACGGCTGGTACGACTGGCGGCGGCATTTTCGCGAAAGAGCTTCGCGGGGACTCGCACGAAGGCTGCAGCAAGAAGCGAGATATAAAAGGACCGCTGTTAGGGAGGAGTCAGGCAAAAAGGAGTGGCTGCTCGAAAGGTTACGACGGACAAGCTGTCCAAGACCTGTTCTACAAGCTCATCAGGACTCCACTCTACGATGACCAAGATTCGGCTTAGACAGACCTCAAACTACTCCAGAGTTCTTAACACAATATCGCGTGCACAAAGCTGGAAAAAATGCTGTGACGAGCGTGCTCTTACTGTGCAAGAATAAGGCTGAGGTTGCAATGCCGTAAATTGCGGAACGCGAAACTCTCGTTGTTGTGGTGGCAAGAAGGGAGCCACAGCAGCAGCAGCAAGACAACCTAGATTTTCCCCACCTGATCTCCCATGCCTTGGCCTCTCCGTCAAGTTCCCCACACCTAGCTCTCTGCGCGTGCTGTTCGTTTCACAGAATCCGTCAGTCATTTCCACAGTCCTGGCGCATGGCTTTCGGCCTACGCGTTCCCGTGGTGGGCGCTGGAGAGTCTTGGGTGGAGGCTTGGAGCAGGCGGGCTGGAAAAGGCTCCGCCGAAAGCAGGGGATGTGCGCATACAGTATGGTGGTGATTCGGGGGTCGGTTTGCGCAGGCCGGGCGGGAGGATGTGGCCACAACGATGGATGACCCAAATGGGATGGAAACTTGACAGATGTCGGTTACTCGGTCACTTGGAGGTTTCTGACTGACCGTGACGTCTGCGACAGCCGGAGTGACGGTCATATCGGACACGAAGGGAGGCCTAGTGGCTGTGACGAGCATTCTCTGCGGGCAGACCGAGACCGACAGGCAATGAAGCATGGTGGCTTCTGGGCAACCAAGTCAGGATTTGGCGGAAGCAAGCAGCCAATCACTGGCGCGCTGGAACCTCAACACATCCACCACGGTGTACTCCACAAGTCCATCTCCAAGCAAACCTCGACCAGAGGAATCCGAGAACGTTTTAGGGTTTTGCTCGAGACGCAGCTGTGGAGCTCGCGTCTGGTTACAGTGTCAGACGCTAGGTTCGTGTGTGCGAAAGTTGCAGGCGGCGAGCTTTGCCACCAGCTACCAAATTGTTTGTCGCGGAAAAATCCCGTTACAAGTGCTATCCGAGTTACTAGAAGAGGGATACATTTTCACAAGCCACTTGTCGGCATATATCGAGAAGGTTAGGGATGTCAAGTTTTACAGGAACAAATTGGCTTATATTTGAGTTACATGATATAAAATAACCCAGATATAACATTATATACTGATTATGCTCCCACATATGATTTCATTATTCTGATATGTGGATTTTGTTAGGCGTTCACATTAATTTGATGGCACTACTGAATTAAAGATAATATGTGATTTTATTTTCTTTTGTGAAGCAGAGAAAACACACATAGTGTCTAGGAGTAGGTTGCATAATCCTTACATGCAGAGGTACATTTGTAACATAGAAGTTGTTATGAATGAACAAGCAGAGTAGCACGGAAATTAATAACGAAGTGTTGAATCACTGGACGATACAAGGAATGGCAAGCCAAGATATAGGAACACCAGAGCTAGTCCAACCATGAGATGTGAAGGTTCGGGAAGGAGATCGAAGGGTCTCGAAGTGACGAAGCGAGGCCCGGAGAACTTCCGAAGGTCGAACCGGAAGGTCTGGAGAAGCCGAGGTGGTTCGAGCGTACGCGGTAGCGGTACCGCTCGGTAAGGAATGGAAAAATCCTTACAGAAGTAGTTCTATGTAACAGGTGTTAGTGTCAGGCATAGCATGCAGGGGTTTGACTTTGGCAGTGCAGTGCACACAGACTAGCCACAACCAATCCCAAGGGCGGGATTCATAACCTGACCTAGGAAGTATGCGCAGGCAGCACTTAGACCACCAGGCCCTGAGCCGTTGTCAGCCACTTGACACCCAGTGGCCGACTCCACGTGTTGCTGCGGACTTTCTTCTCAGCCGAGTCTCCGTGTATCAAGTGGCCCAGTGCGTGTACATTACCTGTGCATAAATCTTAGATTCACTCTACGATCAATTCCGGCTTCAGCCTTATCAAGGTCTTTATCAAGGTCGCTAAGAACAAAACTCTTAGAGTCGGCTGCGTTCTGCTATCCGTCCATAAAATCTCCGTTCGTCCGTGCACAATATGGGTTCCATTCGTTAGACTGCTTACACAGGGTACATCCGAAGTTCGAACCTTATCCGGCTGGGTCGAACGAGCTTGCGTCCCATCCAGCTGTAGCGGCCGGCAGTTCGTTTGGCAAAGCCACCAGCTTCTACCACTGTAGCAGCAGCTGGCACGCTCGTCATCGTCCACCGGGCCGATCCTACGGCTGTAGCGTCGTTTGACGTAGCGGCTAGCTTCTGCTGGCTGTAGCAGCAGCGAGTAGACTCCTCGGCGAGTACCCGATTGTTGCTACTGCTGTAGCTGCGGTTGCGGTAGCCAGCAGAGACAGTCTTGTCAGCTGTAGCGGTAGTGTCGGCTTTAACAAGCTTGACTTCGCGGAGTTATCGCTGTGGGTGTAAAAGCTGCTACAGCAGCAGCAGCAGCAGCACCACCACCAGCAGGAGGAGGAGCTATAACGATGGAGCAGCTCCTTACGAGTGAACAGCGGGAGGTGCTTATAGCGGTGGATGGAAGCGACTGTACGTTACACACTCCCTCTTTTCAACACACACTCTTCCCCCCCTCCTTCTCTCCCTTCCACCTTCCGCCCTCAATCCCTCCCTCGCCCTTCTTTCCCGTTTCCCTTCACCTCTTCTCCCTCCTCCCCTTCCCCTCCTCCCTTTCCCCTCCTCTCCTTCCCCTCCTCCCTCGCTCCCCACTCGCCCAGTTTCCCCTTCGAATTCAGAGAGCCAGTCAGCCGTGGGTTCATTTGCCTGACTCCTGCCACTCTCCCTCTCATGCAAGGAACTACTGCAAGCTGCAGGACCACGGGTTTTGAGGCGTCCCAAGTCACGCCTTGACGCACTTGCCTCTGTCCCTCGTGTGCTGCCAGGTTCAGAGCTCGCGTTCAACTGGGCTTTAAGGAACTACTGCAAGCCGCAGGACCACGTGCGACTCATCCATGTCCGGAAATCATTCGCTGGTAAGTGATCTGTGCACAATGCACTTCACTGTTTTCCCTCTTTACCTCTTCCCCCCCTCCTCCCCCGGCTCCCTCACTTCCCCTGCTATCTTCCCCCTTCCTTGCACGCGTTTGATTGTTGTTCCCACACCTAAACCTAGAAATACATTTTCTTATTTTTTTAGGCTGTTAATCTTATTTATTTTGTTCCCTCGCGTCCTCCTCGTGTTTTTTCCCCCCCAGACATGCGGGCAAGCTGCTGCCAGATGCCATGGGGAAGTGTCAGCATTCAATCCCTCGCCATCCCCCCTCTGTCCCCCTCCCTCATCCCCCCTTCCCCCCATTCCCACCGACCCGTTTTTCCTCAGGCATGGAGGGCAAGCTCCCTGCAGACGCCATAGAGACGTTGGCGGCGCTCAAGACATCCCAAATGCTTCTGCAACCGCCCAATCTCTCTCCATCCCCCCCTCCCACCCACCCCCTGTTTTGCCTTCCAGAAATGGAGGGCAAACTCCCTGCAGACGCCATAGAGACGGTAAAACAACAATCAGAGGCAGCAATCAGAGGCAGCAATCAGAGGCCGCAATCAGAGGCAGCAATCAGAGGCCGCAATCAGAGGCAGCAATCAGAGGCCGCAATCAGAGGCAGCAATCAGAGGCCGCAATCAGAGGCATCCCAAATGCTTCTGCAACTGCCCAATCTCTCTCCACCCCCCTCGCCCCCCCCCTTTCCTCCCCCCTCCCCCTCCCAACTGGTGCCATGCCATGGAGACGTGGCAGCACTCAGAGCATCCCCAGCGGTTCCGCATCCGCTCAATCCCTCTCCACTCCATCCCTCCTCCCCCGCCCTTCCCCCCTTCCCCCCAAATCCGTTTTTCTCCCAGAAATGGAGGGCAAGCTTCCTGCAGACGCCATCAAGCGGTTGGAGCAGCAGCCTGTTTTGCCAGAAGGCTTTCTCCTTCTCTTACTTGCTACCCCCTCCTTCCTCCCCCACCCCCTCTTTTCCCCCCCAGACATGGAGGGGAAACTCCCTGCAGACGCCATAGAGACGTTGGAGCAGCAGTCGGAGGCAGCAGCGCGGGTTATAGTGGAGAAGTACATGAAGAAATGCGCCGTGGCGGATGTGAGTGCGCTTATACAGCATATGTGGGTCCGCTTCTACAGCGGATTTGAGTGGGCTTACAGAGCGGATATGCTTATAATGGGCACGCGTGTGCTGATTAATGTTCATCTCAAGGCGGTTAGTGATCCATAGATGTTACCTGTCTCCACCGGTCTCCACCTGTCTCCACCTGTCTCCACCTGTCTCCACCTGTCTCCATCTGTCTCCACCTGTCTCCACCTGTCTCCACCTGTCTCCACCTGTCTCCACCTGTCTCCACCTGTCTCCACCTGTCTCCACCTGTCTCCACCTGTCTCCATCTGTCTCCACCTGTCTCCATCTGTCTCCACCTGTCTCCACCTGTCTCCACCTGTCTCCACCTGTCTCCACCTGTCTCCACCTGTCTCCATCTGTCTCCACCTGTCTCCATCTGTCTCCACCTGTCTCCACCTGTCTCCATCTGTCTCCATCTGTCTCCACCTGTCTCCACCTGTCTCCACCTGTCTCCACCTGTCTCCACCTGTCTCCACCTGTCTCCACCTGTCTCCACCTGTCTCCACCTGTCTCCATCTGTCTCCATCTGTCTCCACCTGTCTCCACCTGTCTCCACCTGTCTCCACCTGTCTCCATCTGTCTCCACCTGTCTCCACCTGTCTCCACCTGTCTCCACCTGTCTCCACCTGTCTCCACCTTTCTCCACCTGACTCCACCTGTCTCCACCTGTCTCCATCTGTCTCCACCTGTCTCCACCTGTCTGCACCTGTCTCCACCTGTCTCCACCTGTCTCCACCTGTCTCCACCTGTCTCCACCTGTCTCCACCTGTCTCCACCTGTCTCCACCTGTCTCCACCTGTCTCCACCTTTCTCCACCTGACTCCACCTGTCTCCACCTGTCTCCACCTTTCTCCACCTGTCTCCACCTATCTCCATTGCTCTCCATTGCTCCCCATTGCTCCCCATTGCTCCCCGTGTTTCTTCTCCTCCTGGGCTCACAGCAGGATTGTGACTGGAAGATAGCGGTGGGGGATGAGCGCGAGGTGGTTTGCTGTTCGAGTTGTATAAGGGTGACCTTTCTCCTGCGCTTTCTGTCTCCCTTTTCCCGTTTGGTTCCCAGCTGGACTGCGACTGGAAGATAGCAGTGGGGGATGAGCGCGAGGTGGTTTGCTGTTCGAGTCGTATAAGGGTGACCTTTCTCCTGCGCTTTCTGTCTCCCTTTTCCCGTTTGGTTCCCAGCTGGACTGCGACTGGAAGATAGCGGTGGGGGATGAGCGCGAGGTGGTTTGCTGTTCGAGTCGTATAAGGGTGACCTTTCTCCTGCGCTTTCTGTCTCCCTTTTCCCGTTTGGTTCCCAGCTGGACTGCGACTGGAAGATAGCGGTGGGGGATGAGCGCGAGGTGGTTTGCTGTTCGAGTCGTATAAGGGTGACCTTTCTCCTGCGCTTTCTGTCTCCCTTTTCCCGTTTGGTTCCCAGCTGGACTGCGACTGGAAGATAGCGGTGGGGGATGAGCGCGAGGTGGTTTGCTGTTCGAGTCGGTGACCTTTCTCCTGCGCTTTCTGTCTCCCTTTTCCCGTTTGGTTCCCAGCTGGACTGCGACTGGAAGATAGCGGTGGGGGATGAGCGCGAGGTGGTTTGCTGTTCGAGTCGGTGACCTTTCTCCTGCGCTTTCTGTCTCCCTTTTCCCGTTTGGTTCCCAGCTGGACTGCGACTGGAAGATAGCGGTGGGGGATGAGCGCGAGGTGATCTGCAGGGAAGTGATGAGAGTGTGTGCAGACGTGCTAATAGTGGGCACGCGGGGGCTATCTCCAGTCAAGAAGTGAGCTTTTATTCTGCCAGTCTTTTCACTGACTCGCTGAGTGTTTCTGTGTAATCGTGTCTGGTTAAAGGCTTTGATCACTAGTGTTATTTTCGCTCTCTCTCTCTCCTCTCCTTCCGCCCCTCTCCTCGCCCACACCTTATCCCCCCCCCTCTCTCGCCCCTCCTTGCGTTTCCCCCTGCTCCCCTTTGCCTTTCCCCTCCCTCCCCTTTGCCTTTCCCCTCGCTCCCGTTCGCCTTTCCCCCCGCTCCCCTTTGCCTTTCCCCTCTCTCCCCTTTGCCTTTCCCCTCGCTCCCCTTTGCCTTTCCCCTCGCTCCCCTTTGCCTTTCCCCTCGCTCCCCTTTGCCTTTCCCCTCGCTCCCCCTTGCCTTTCCCCTCGCTCCCCTTTGCCTTTCCCCCCGCTCCCCCTTGCCTTTCCCCCCGTTCCCCCTTGCGTTTCCCCCCGCTCCCCCTTGCGTTTCCCCCCGCTCCCCCTTGCCTTTCCCCCCGCACCCCCTTGCCTTTCCCCCTGCTCCCCCTTGCCTTTCCCCCCGCTCCCCGTTGCCTTTCCTCTCGCTCCACCCCCTGCTGTTACCCACACTCTCCTTGTCCCGCCACCCACTCTCTCTGCCTGCAGGGCTCTGCTTGGCTCTGTTAGCGAATACTGCGCACACCACAGGTGGGTTCATTCGCGATAATTTTTTTGGCGCCTAAAAAATCGTCGCATTTTGAGGCACCTAAAAAACTAGTCATTTTTTGTGCACACTTCAGTTCAGACGCACGAGTGTCTGCATGTTTCTCTGTGCTTCCTCTTGTTCCTTGGCAGCGCATGCCCTGTGATCATTTTCCAAGGTTTTCTGGGCACGTCCCTCAAGCTTCTTTCGGCTGGGTGTGTGCTTCTTGAATCCCCATGGCACTGCATGCCCTGTGCTCCCTCTAACCAATTCCATCTCTCCTCCCTCTGCTGCTCCTTGCTCCTCCCTCTGCCTGTTCTTCCCCCGCCGCCCTTCCTGTATTTCCCTTGTTACTCCGCTACCCCGTGGCAGCGCTTGCCCTGTGATTATTGTCAAGGCGAAGGAGCCCAAGCCGAACGCATAGGTGGATGGATGGATGGTTAGTTCTTGCTGTGATGCGCAACGCATACCATATAGTAACATACCAAATCATCACGTACAGTACAACATTTCTGTGTACAACATTTTACCATGTAGAGGAACATCAACAATTCATTCATTTCAGAAAAGACAATGGAGAGCATTGTCATGCACGGCTTGCACTTGCATCCTCTGTATACTCCGACTCATTACCATCACCATCACTCGATTCCTCTTGTGGACAAGCATCCTCTAAGAAGCTAAGTGCTCGTAGCAGCAGTTGCTTAGCTGAGAGCCGGTACTTAATGGCCTGAACCTTCTCCTCTGGTAGCTGCAACACAGGCACTCCACATGTCCCTTCACTCTGACCCACCCTCTCCTTGCTGCTGCAGCTGCTGCTGCTGCTGCCGCTTCTGTCACTTCTGCTGCTGCTGCTGCTGCTGCTGCTGCTGGCTATTCTATCTCCATTGCTGCTATACCCCTTCCCTCCACTCTCCTCCTTTCCCCCCCTTCCTCGATCACCTGTGTCACACGAGGCGTCCCCTACAAGCGTCCTCTTTAGCAGGTTATAATCGTCGATAAACGTGCTGCTGAATCCGTGTAGTGTAGCATGCAGAATGTTACGTAACACGTCAACAGCTCGTATTATGGACCCTGCGAGCATTGCAGAGCGTGCTGCTGCATCCACTGCACTGTTGCCTGATCTTCCTCCATCACCCTTCCCTCCTGCTCCCTCCTCCCCCCCTCCTCTTCCTGCGGAGGCTGCTGGTGCTTCCACAACTGCCAAATGGTACACCTGCTGCTGCTTCAAAGAATCACAGGTGACCCCGCCTCGAAATACGAAACGCAGAATGGCCTCTGCTAAGGCCTGAGAGTCCAAGGCAGTGTCTGGTGAGGGGGAGGGGGGGGGGGGGAGGGGGGGAGGAAGGGGGAGTGAGGGAACAGAAGACGGGTCAATGGAGATAGAAAGGGTTGGGTTGTCGTTGTATCCAAATGACACAGGTATGCAAGACAAGAGCAGGTGATTAGGTTAGAGAGCAGCAATTTGTGGCGCTGCTGCAACATCATGGCAAACACTGTGATGCGCAAGAGCCGTTGCACTCCGCAGTTGTGAGGTCCATCCATGAGTCGATTCAGCAGATGGATATGCTGTTCGGGGAAAAGGCCATGGGGCAGCAAATGGCAGAAGTGGAGGGCATTCAGCGCAATGGCCAACTACCTGCCGTTCCTCTCATCCGCTTCCCCCATACGTACTAATCTGTACCATACGTACTACTCTTGAGGCGCCTCAAAAGTTCCTCTCATCCGCTTCCCCATACGTACTACTCCGTACCATCTCAGGGTACCATCTCAGGGTACCATCTCAGGGTACCATCTCAGGGTACCATCTCAGGGTACCATCTCAGGGTACCATCTCAGGGTACCATAAAAGCCTTCGCCCCATTTAGCGTCTGAGTCGACTCATGCATGGACCTCGCACCGGGTGTAGTGCAGCAGCTCCTGTGCATCAGAGCGCTTCCACAATGGTTGTTGCTACGGCCTGTTTTGTTGCTCCCTTTCCTCCTTCTGCATTGCGTGGAATGGTTGGATTAGCTCCTGAGAATTCTCACACCCAACTAGGAATCGTCGCTGCTTGCATTACTGCTGACAAACCAGCCCCGTTTGCATCCTTGTTATTTTTTAGGCGGCTCAAAAATAGACTCCTTGTTATCAGCCAAAATGAAAGGAGCTGTGCTTCAGTTGCACCTGTTCCTGCTGCACTCTTGGTGCTGGTGCTCCCAGTGCTCCCAGTGCTCCCAGTGCTCCCAGTGCTTTCACATACCCCTCTTGGTCTATGGTCAGCCCTTCAGCGCAGCGCCTCTGTAAACTAAACCTCACGAAGTCTATTGCAGCCAGAGCAGCGACCAGCTGAGCATCCACATGCCCCGTCCTTGAAAGAGACCTTCCAAGCCATACGTCACCCCTTACAATCGCAAATGATTGAAGATTTACCAGGAGAGAACATGGCCGCAGGCTGCTAGAGCAGCGACCAGCTGAGCATCCACATGCCCCGTCCTGGCTATTGATAACCCCCCCAAGCCATACTCACCCCTTAAAGAGCAAAGACTTGGAAGCTGACCATACCAGCGAATCACGAACACTGCCAGAGCTGCGAACTAACAGGCATGGGCATCCACACACCCCTACCTGCCTATTCATGACCGTCCGAGCCATACTTAACTCTCCGGAAGCCTCCAAGGGTAAGGATTTCTTAAGCCATACTGAACCCTTAAAGGCCCACCATACCAGGAGATTAGGAGTGCTGCCAGAGCTGCAAAAAGACGCGCATCCACATACCCGTCACTAAATATTTGGGAAGGTACGAAATTGACGACTCACCATGTGAGCAGTGAGCACCCACTGAGTGCACCCAGCGCGGCCAGCAGACAGGCATCCACGTACCCCTCCCTGCCTATCGCCAGTGCTTCCGAGCCATACTTCTCCCCTTACGATGGCAAGTGCTTGACGACTCGACTCACCATGCGCCGACATGCCAAGAGCAGCCAGAGCACCCAGCAGACGAGCACCCACGTACCCCCCCCTGCCTATTGCCTCAGTCCAGACCAGACCAGACCAGACCAGAGCAGACCAGGCCTTACCATGCCAAGTGAATATAAGTCTCACCATGTGGGGACATGCTGAGTGTAATGAGTCGACTCAAAAATCGACTCATTACACATGCCTATTGCCTCAGACCAGGCCTTACCATGCCAAGTGAATATAAGTCACACCATGTGAGGACATGCTGGGGGCAGCCAGAGCGGCCAGCAGACGAGCATCCACATACCCCCCCCTGCCTATCGCCTCAATCCAGGCCTTGCCATGCCAAGAAATTAGAAACTCACCACGTGAGGACTGGCTGAGTGCAGCGAGAGCGGCCAGCAGACGGGCATCCACATACCCCTCCCTGCCTATCGCCAGTGCTTCCGAGCCTCCCACCGCACCCGCTGCCATGCCTAACAGCTGCTGATCCAACTCATGCTCGGCTGTGTAGTGCGGTTGCCGAGCCTCCACCGCAGATATGGCAGTCGTTACCGAAGCTGCGGCCAAGTCTCGATCAAACGAGCCAGTCAGCCACGGGTATTTCTCACTAAAATCCGTTCCTTTATCACCATCAGTACCAGCTACAGCACCAGTGCCAGAATCCACTCCTTCTAACGTGCCTTCTGTAGCCGCAGCCAAGTATTTTGTCTCATAGTAGTCAAGGAGCTCTGCAGTGTTTTCAAAAAGGACGAATCGGTCAAACGGGTTGTTGGGCGGCACGAAGCCGTACAGAAGAAGGAACTGGGCGTTGTCCATGGAGCCATAGCCCACGCTGATTGGCCCGCCTGGCGAGATGACGTCAGCAGCAAAGATGTTGATGTCAGCGGTGGAGGAGTGGATGGTGGGCTGACGAGGCAGGGAGGGGAGGTAGGGGGGGAGGGGGGAGAAGGGGAAGAGGCCGGAAGGGGGGGGGGAGGCGAAGAAGGGGGAGGAGGATGGGGAGAAAATGGGAGGGAGGGAATAAAAGAGAGAAGAACAAGAGGTGGATGGCAGGGGTGGCATGACATAAGGGAAGGCGATGGAGGCAGGGAGAAGAAGCAATGCGTGCCAGTATCCGTCAATACGTCACAACTTCAAGATTTCTGATCTGCCTGTACCTGCCTGTACCTGTACCTGCCTGTACCTATACCTGCCCGTACCTGCCTGTACCTGCCTGTACCTGCCTGTACCTGCCAGTCTGCCGTGTAGTAGAACTCATGGTTGAACAGATCCAACAGCGGCAGCAGCATGTGTACCTCTTCCCCCTCCTCCCCCACCCCTTCCCCCCCCTCTCCCTCCTCCTCCTCCCCCTCCGCCTCCTCCTCCATATACTGCCAAAAATCCTCCTCGTCCGCCTCCTCCTGCTCTCCCTTCCCTCCTCCCTCTCCACTTCCCCTTCCCTTCTTCCCCTTCCTTCCCTTCCCCCCCTTCCCCCTCCGCTTCCCCCGTTTCTCCCTGTCCTTCAAACCAACGGCCGAGATTGGCACAGATCGCGACCACACGATCGAGACCGCCCATTTAAAATCGTCTAGAGAAGCCCCAGCGATGGAATCAGGAGAGCAAAGAGAGTACGCTTCCTCAACATACCTCAACGACTCCTCAACCCTCTCTACCATCTCCCCACTATCTAACTCCTGTAATGTCCCCTCGTCCCAGAAAATAGGCAGTGGTACATAGCCCGGCAGGAGATTAATCCACGGGGCATAAAACGACGCAGAACCCCTTTTCCACTCCCTTAGAAGCCACGCGGCTACAGTCACATCGTCCCCCGCGTGCTTGTAAGGAGCGGGGGGAGGAGAGGCGGGGCGATTCAGGCGCGAGTCCCAGCCGCCGTGGCGTTTGGAGAGCCACAGGGGGAAGGGGATGGGGATGAGGGTGGAGCCAGGGGCGGTGTGGGAGGAGGAGAGGATTCCGAGGGGGAGGCGGGAGGGGAGAGGGGGGGTGGGGGGAGCGCAGGAGTAGAAAGCGGGGCTGGTAATGGCGAGGACCTGGGGGGGAAGTGGGGGGAAGGTGGGGAAGGGGGGAAGGGGGGAAGGAAGGAGGGGAGGGGAAGGAGGGGGAAAAGGGGGGGAGGGAGGAGAGGGGGGGAGAGAGAGGGTTGTAGGGGAAAGGAGTGTGGGGAAGGGAAGGATACGCATGGAGGCATGGGAGAGATATTCAAGAGAGTGAATATATTGAGGATTCAAGCTTTCTTCCAATAGCCATATCCATACAGTCTCACTCACCTGAATCTTTGATCGCAGCCCGCCGCCTTCCTTCGATTGGTCCCCGTGCCTCTCCATCCACGTCAGCAGTTCATCCACCAATCGCGCCTCCCTCTCTGGCAGCGGCACCATCGCGGAACCCTCCCTCTCGTATGCGAATATGTCGCTCAGATCGAAATCCGGATCGATATCCGAATCCGAATCCCAGTCCGATCCCGAGCCGAGATCGGATTCGAAACCACCATTGTCAGAATCAATGTTCTCAAAACCATCATTTTCGAAATCACCACTTTCGAAGCCATCATTTTCGAAACGATTATCATCATCATCATTGCCGTCCGTGCTGAAACCCTCATTGTCGTCATCGTCAGAGTCGCTCCAAACGTCCTCATCGACTTCCGCGTCATCTTCCACGTCATCTTCTGCGTCAGCGCCCACCACGTCATCATCCGCGTCATCCCACCCCTCCATTTCAACGCCCTCGTCAAAAGGAAACTCGCTATCCTGGTCCAAAAACTCGCCATCCTCTTCAAAAGCATGCTCCACTGCATCCTCAAATAATCCATCACTATTATCACCATCATGATCCCCATATAGTTGATCCAATTCATCTTCGAATCGCTCGCCGATTTCATGGTCGATCTCATCGTCGCTTTCACCGCCTAATCCGCTATCCGCATGAGCGGCGGTATCCCCCTGACTCGTCCCGATAACATCGAGGCCGCTAAGGTCCCTGCTCTCGCTGCTGCATTCACTGCTACCTCCGCCGCTGCTGCCGCCGCCGCTGCTGCTGCCGCTGCTTCTGCTGTCGATGCCGCATTCACTGCTGCTTTCACTTCTGCTGCTGCTGCTGCTGCTGCTACTGCCGCTGCTGCATTCGCTGCTTTCACTGAGAGTGGATCGGGCCAGGACGATCAAGACAAGGAGGACCGCCGGGAAAACGCGGATCGGCCAAATGCCACGTGGCTTTCGTTTCGAGCGGCCGAGGAGCCTTCGAAACTCGGATTTCTCGCGGGAAGATCGAGCGCTAGTCCAAAAGCGGCTGCGCGCCGAGCTGGCCTCGTCAACTGGGCCTGCTGACATGGTGGGCCTGTGGCTGGGTCTGCTGCCAACTGGGCCTGCTGACATGGTGGTTTCTCCCCACCCAACGATCCTCTGCTTAGTAGATCCACATAAAGGCACCAAAAAAGAAAAGCCGTTTTAGACTCGAGTGAGCGTTGAGACCTGAATAATGGAGGAGTACAGGAGGTCGAGGTATTTTGGAACGAGCAGAATGGCGTCTGGCATTTAGTAGATTGTTCGTCCCAGAGATCAAACGCATATGTGAGGGATGGAGGGTGACAAAATACAGGCGAGATGAATTTCTCAAGTGCTTTTCTAAGTACATTTGCAAAAGGCGGCCTCGTTCTCCAGACAGGTGATTCTGTCATGGGAATCTCACGCCAGTAGGCGCGAAATCGCGGAAATTAGGCTCGGTTGGCTGGGCAGTCGAAAAAAACTGCCAAACCTTGCGATTCCGAACCTGGCGGAATCAGAGGACTGCAGAACGCCCTTTCCCAGCGACGGAATCAACCACGGCGGACTTACCAAGGCACCCCCCCCCTCCTTCCAAGCAAATTAGAAATCCTGCCCGCTTCCGTCAGCAAACCACCAAATCTGAGGATTTCACTTGGAATGGAGCGCAGATGGGTAGCCTGAAACTACCTGCGTTGTTAGGATCCACGCCGAGGGACGCCCGCACGTCTCCCACGCGAGCTCTCTGGTCTGGTTTGGGTTGCTGGTTTGTTTTCGCATCATTTTTACCCCTCGGTTTTGGGGGCATCAAGTGCACAAGGTCGGGCAGTTTGTGTTGCACGTTCCCACGTATACCTGAGCTGTGAGTGACCTGCCCTCGACGGGACCCACACCTTCGTCTTTCGCAGGGCGAAATTGCGCAAGCAGGCCTGGCAGCCGGACCTCGCCACCCACCTGGTCAAATCTCGAGGCCACCTTCCTGCAGTTCCGAGCCAGCCAGACTTCCGTCTGCCTGCAGAACTGGGCCGTCGAATGGGCAATCCAATCCGCCACTTCCTCTCCTACCCCTTCAATACCCAAAATCGAGGAATCGAAAAACGCCGACTTGCCTTGTTTCCGTTGCATAGCGGCGCGAACGCAGCGGCAGCCGAGCGCTCTCTAGGTACGTGACAGGCAGGCTACTGGAATCGCACCGCAATCGCAAAGCCACCCCGCCTCGATTCGCGGCTATAGTGACACGTCACTCTATAACAGAGTGACTGGGAATTCGTCACGTCACTTCCGGAACAGTCTCAGTGGCGCATACCCTCCCGCGTCTTCATAAAGTGCTTCAACCCTCATACACCCTAGTCGCGAGTTGATATTCTCCGCATCGCGTTCCGCCATGTCCTTGGTTCCCGACCGCGCTCGCCCCACTCCTTCTCGCGCCGCGATCGCATTCTCGTCCGGCGCGATCGGCGGGCTGTGCGTCGGATTAGCCGTGCCGCTGCTTGCGGCGGCGGGATTCATGGAACTCCTAGGAGTCGCAATCCATCCGCAACTGACGCCGCCATTCGTGTACCAGAAAGTCGTCTGGGGTGGCCTCTGGTGCGCCGCTGAATTACCTCACCCCTCCTCCTGACGCACCACAGACGCACTCTCTGCCCACCCACCCCCCCCCCCCCCCCCCCCCCCCTCTTTCTCCTTCCGCTCTCTCCTCTTTCTCCCTCTCCATCCGTGCGGCCAATCATCTCCCTTTCTTGAACCCCCTTTGCCTTCCCCGTTTTTGGCATTCACATTCTCTCGTTTGCCCACGCGAACGGAACAAGTTAAAGAGCAATCTCTCATCTGACCTCCGTCGCACATGGTGGTTGTTGTGTCCTTGGTCCTCGCACCCGTGGCTTCAGGGGGTTCATCCTGCTCATTCCCTTCAATGCAAGCGCGCTCGCCAGAGGAACTCTCTTTGGTACGTGCGTGTGTAATGAGCCTATTTTTGGTACTCTCTTGCACGAGGAACTCTCTTTGGTACGTTCACGTGCACTTCGCATTCTTCTGCCTTTTCCAAGCATGTGCGTTTGCCATGTATGCATGCATTCATGCATGCATCCTGGTTTATGAGAATTCTTAAAACCCAGCTTACCCCCATCTGTGTGCATTGAGACATCGCACAACCTTCACCACTCCACCTTCACCACTCCACCTTCACCACTCCACCTTCACCACTCCACCTTCACCACTCCACCTTCACCACTCCACCTTCACCACTCCACCTTCACCACTCCACCTTCACCACTCCACCTTCACCACTCCACCTTCACCACTCCACCTTCACCACTCCACCTTCTTCAACACTCCACCTTCACCACTCCACCTTCTTCAACACTCCACCTTCACCACTCCACCTTCACCACTGCACCTTCACCACTCCACCTTCTTCAACACTCCACCTTCACCGCTCCACCTTCACCACTCCACCTTCACCACTCCACCTTCTTCAACACTCCACCTTCACCACTCCACCTTCACCACTCCCGTTCTGGCCTCTCCCTCACTCTCTCTCCATGTCCCCTCACCACCTTATAAGTTATAACAGACCTCCACCTCCTTTTCTCTCGTGTCCCTCCTCCCTCCCACATCCCTCCCTCCCACATCCCTCCCTTCCACATTCCTGCCACAAATGCAGGGGCTTTGGGCCCTGGGCTGGCGCAGCTCCTCATTGTGTTCCCGCTGAAAGAAACGGTAACAAGTAGAGGATACAACGGAGGAAGGATTAGGCGATCATGGCTGCAATTACATTGAATTCTGTGGAGCTCTCTTTTCCCGTGCTTGCATATTCTTCATACAAAATCAGTGATTCGTGTATATTCCCTTCTCATGCGTGCAGCCGGGTTCAATCGCCGGTCTCTCACTCGGCCCGCTCACCCCTCTCCTCGTTCTCTTCCTCAACGCGTTCGTCTGGGGCGTGCCCTCCGCCCTTGCCTACTCCCTGCTCCGACCACCATCCCCACAGTCCTTCGTTGGGTACCCGAATCTCTCCCCCTTGGTTTGAGATTTTTCAAAGCACTCCTTTTTATTCGTTCGTCTAGTGCGTGCGCCTTCCGCCCTTGCCTATGCCCTGGTCCGAACACCCTCCCCACAATCCTTTGTCGGGTAGCCACTTCCCCCCTGCCACAATCCTTCACTTGCTTCTCCCCCTGCCACCCTTCCTCGCAATGTCTTCCCCTGCCGCCGCCTTGAAACCTCACCTCACCTGTGCTGGATCTCATTCGCCTTCTTCCCCACCCCATCCCCAACCCCCTCCCTTCCCTCCTGCCCTTTCTCTGCCTCTCCCGCTCCCCCCTCCTGACCCTCCCCATGTGCGCCCCTACGACTCCCCTTGTGGCACCAACAGTATCAGAGCTCTAGGAGAGAGTGACCGAGACCTTGAGCTACAGGGGAGAAGTGCTCGTGATGCCAAAACGGGTCTCGCTAAATGAAACTCCATACAATGCTCCGTAACAAGCACTTAATGTTTTGCAACTAGGTAGTCACACAAGTTCCGTACACATCCTTCCTCTGCATGCATCAGATAGATTGCATGTACCCATTCGGTGATCCAAACCAGCCACATCCCACAAGGGTTAGATGCATATCAAACTAACTGAGGAGGATGTACCCGTTCTCGAAATTCTCTCCAGTTACTGTTAGGACGTGGTACATCGGCTGTTCGAACGGCCCAATCCGAACGGTCACCACACTTCACCGAACCGTTACTTATTCAAACCAGCAGTACCGTGTGTCAACTTATGCATTTGGAGTACATGTATAGTGATAGGCTAGAAGGGTATGTGCACTTAGTGAGTACAACACCAAACCCTAAAACACCCTGTGTGCCCTTGCTTGAGTTCACTTACCTACTCTGAGATGGTATCATGCTAGGTAGATCCCACCCACCCGTGCTTCTGCCCTAGCCTACCGTAGAGCTTCCCTACCCTAGCCCACCGCGCCTGCCCCAGCCCGCCGCGCCGCGCTGGCCTTAGCTCAATGCGCTGGCCCTAGCCTGCCACGCTGGCCCTAGCCTGCCGCGCTGGCCCTAGCCTGCTGCGCTGGCCCTAGCCTGCTGCGCTGGCCCTATCCTGCCGCGCTGGTCACTAGCCTGCCGCGCTGGCCCTAGCCTACCGCGATGGTCCCTTGCCCGCCGCGCTGTGTAGGCCCCCACCTTGTCGCGCCACGCTGGCCCCTCGCTGCCGCGCTGCTGGACCAGCTAGCCACCGTCTTGCCGCGCTGGCCCCTAGCTGCCGCGACGGCCCCAGCTCGCCGCCAGCCTTTGCTCGCCGCCTGCCCCAGCTCGTTGCGACGGCCCCAGCTCGTCATGCGGCCCCCAGCTCGCCGCTGGCCTCCGCTCGGTGCTGGCCTCAGCTTGCCGCCGGCCTCCACTTGCTGCAGGCCCCAGCTCGCCGCATGCCCCAGCTCGCCGCCGGCCCCGACTCGTCGCAGGCCCCAACCCGTCGCCTGCCCCCAGCGCGCCACCGACCTTTATCTCACCGCAGGTCCAAGCATGACGCGCGGCTCCAGCTCGTCGCCGGCCCAGGCTTGCCGCACCGCCCCAGCTCGCCGCCGGCCCCAGCTTGCCGCTGGCCCCAGCTCGCCGCGCCGCCCCAGCTCGATGCCGGCCCCAGCTCGCCGCGCCGCACCAGCTCGCCGCGCCGCCTTAGCTCGCCGCGCCGCCCCAGCTCGCCGCGCCGCACCAGCTCGCCGCGCCGCACCAGCTCGCCGCGCCGCCCCAGCTCCTCTTGCCGGCCCCTACACCCGCCTGCCCTAGTGCCCCTCTGAGCCTGCGCTCCTGCCAGTTGTCTCCTCTCGCGCGGATTCACCGCGCTCCTACAGCACACTACCGCACTCCACCACACTCCACTGCACTCCACCGCTCTCCACCGCACTCCACCGCTCTCCAACGCACTCCACTGCACCCGACTGCTCCCATCTCCTCCGCCTTCTACGTCGTGCAGCTGCTGCAGCTGTGCGCGATGGCGGACTCTGTTCTCCGCTTGGACGCTGAGGGTCAGGCTGTTGACTTTGAGACGTGGCTCACCGACCTGCGCCGCCACCTGAAAGAGAAGCACCTGGATGGCCATTCTCTGGCCATCCACATCGATGGTAAGCTGCCCTGCCCCCCCGTGCCTGCTGCCCTCCCTGACGCCCCCACGCCTAGAGAGCGTGAGGCCTTTACCGCTGCTGAGCTAGCCGCCTCGGTCTGAGAGTCGCGCGAACGCCGTTGTGCAGCTAACTATCAGTCACGCCCTCCCTTTGTCTGAGTGTCCGCGCTTTCAGGCCGTAGAGACTGCGAAGGAGTTCCTAGATGCTGTCATTGCTCGCTATTCCACTCCATCCTCAGCCTCTGCTGTCTCTCTTCTCCTACTCCCGCTCTTCCCTGATCTCGCGTCCCACTGTCGCTGATCTTGCCACTTACCTGCGCGCTCTTGAGACTAGCTACCGTGCAGCTAGCACTGAGGCTCACCTCACTGTACTGCCTCCCCCCCTTGACGCTACACTTTATTTCCTTGTCACACGCCTTCCCAGCCTCCTAGCAACTGCCCGCGACACCTTCCTTAGTCTCCACCCCACTTACCTCACCCTTACCGAATTTGTCACCACCCTGTCCGCGAAAGAGACCCGCCAGCGCACTATCGCTCAGTCTAGCGGTACTGCGGCAACCCCTATCTTGCAGGACTGTGCTCCCTCCCAGTGCACTTACTCTGACGTTTTCGTTGCTGTCGATGAGACAGTTCGTGTTGCTGAGACCACCGCAGTGGCCTTGGCGTAGCCTTGTCAGGGTACGGGCCGCGGGGCGGCAGGGGTGGCGAGGGTGGCGGAGGTGGTGGAGGTGGTGCTGACACGGGAGGTGCTGACAAGGAGGTGAGAGCTGATGCCCTAGAGCACCAGCAGCAGCAGCAGTGGGGGGCCTCGCCGCTGTGGTGGCCCGACGGCTTTGGTGGTGGTGGCCGCGGTGGCGGCCCTCGCAACTCGACTTCAGGTGGTGGCTCCAGCTCTGTGAGTTGCTAATACCAGATCCAGTCTAGTCCCCTTCGTGGCACCGTGTGTGACCGTCCCAACCACACTGCTGCCCGCTGTTACCGCCGCCTTGACGACCTCTTCCGTCTCCGCTTCGGGCCCACGCCGTCCCTCTCGAACTAGCACAACCTGGCACGTCATCGTGTGCCGGTCTTTGAGTTAGACATGGATCATATTCGCTCTGCTATGTATCTCATGTATCATGTTGACTCTCTTGTGACTGGACCTTATTACCCGGTGTTGCCTAACCTAGGTGTGTCTACTGTGTGTAGTCTAGGCTCGCCTGTTGTGCCAGGCGTAGGACTTCCTGCATTGTTTAGCCTTGGCTCCACGCTAGTGCCCCCGCCGACTGACGCTACCGCCGCGCTCTCCTTCACGCTGGACTCTAGTGTGTCCGCCTGCTTCTTTCGCGACCACACTGCACTCATGCCGCTTGCCGCCCCAGCAGTTGTCGCCCTTGCTGACCCCTCCTTCGGTCCGGTAGTTTCACGCAGCTCCATAACACTTCCCTGTCTGGCGGTTCCCTTAGGTTCACTAACAGGTCTGCACATCCCCTCGTTCTCCAGAAACCTAGTTGGTGTCGGCTCTTCAGGACCTCGGTGTCACCACTACGTTCCCTGGCCACGAGTGGTACGCCGTTTGTACTGACGCCGCCACAGGTACCCCCCTCACCACATTCCGTCGGGATCCGGTGTTTGGCCTGTTTACGCTGGACACCGCGCCCCCCCACCGGTGGCTGTGTCCTCCCAGATGGCTGCGTCTACCCTGGTTGTTGCGGCTTGTTCGTGTTGGTCGCTCATTCACCCGTCGCTTCTGTGGCACCACCGCCTAGGTCACCGTGCACTCCTGCATCTACGTTACATGTCTTAGCACGGTCTTGTTCTAGGTCTCCCTACGTCACTCCCTGCCCTCCCTCCCTCGCCCGTGCCTTCGTGCACGCCTTGTGTCGAGCGCCGGCTGCGCCGTGCTCCTCACTCCTTCTCATTTCCCCCCACCACCTTGCCACTCCAAACCCTGCACTTGGACGTCTGGGGCCCTGCCCCCGTCCCTGGGCCGCGCCCTGCCAGTGCTCCGTCTCCACTCCGTCATTGGCGGTGAGTTCGCCTCCGGTCGGCTTGGCCATTTCTGCCGTGCGGAGGGCATCACCCAGACGTACGCACTGCCGGACTCCCCAAAGCAGAATAGGGTCGTTGAGCGACGCATCCGTTTGGTCATGGAGGTGGCTCGTACCTCCATGATCCATGCCGGTGCACCCCATTTTCTGTGGCCGTTCGTAGTGCACTACACCGCTCACCAGCTTAACCTGTGGCCGCACTCCCAGCAGCCACAGGTTTTGCCAACCCTTCTTTAGACCGGGTCCCTTGGTGACACGTCTGCGTTTCACATCTGGGGTTGCCTCACTGACGTCCGCGACTCTCGCGCGGACAAGCTCACTGCACGCACCGTCCTTTGTGTCTTTCGTGGCTTCCCCCTGGACACGTCTGACTGGCGCTTTCACCACCCGCCGTCTCATCGCTTCTTTCATTCGCGTGACGTCACCTTTGATGAGTCTGTGTTTTTCTACACCCGCTTTTCCCACCGAGGTCTCCAGGTTACCCCACCCCTGTTCCTTGTCCCCACTCCCCCGGTAACTCCCGCTCCTTGTCCTGCCCCGTCTGGTGTGTCACACGTCAATCCCCTTCCCTCGGTTGGCCCGGCGTAGGAGCCTGCTGTCTCTGGGGGCCCTGAGGCTCAGGGTCTACCGCTTGTTGCTGCATCGCCTGCCTCCTTGGCCCCGGTGTCTCCTCCGCCGCCGCAACAGCAGCAATCGCCGCCACAGCAGTCACCATTGCAGCAGCCGACACCACATCAGCAGGGGTCTGGGAGCTCTGAGGGTGCTGGCGCTGGAGGTGCAAACGCTCGAGAGGGTGCTGGAAGTGCTAGTCCTGGGGGTGCTCATCCTGGGGATGCTGTCGTGGTGAGTCCTGGAGGTAGCCGTAGTGCAGCTTGAGGTTTTGGAGTGGGTGCGTAGCAGCAGCACTCGCTACCAGTGTCCGCCCTTCGCCTCTTCGGTCTTCCCTCGCCTGAACGACCACCCACGCCTCCCACTACGCTGCCTCCTCATCCTGTCTACGGCCTCGTGTTCCCTCCGCCGAACTCCTCCCTGACTCGTTTCCCCCCTCGTTCTCCTCCTGTCTCTCCTCCATTGTCTCCTGACCATATGCTCTCTCTTGCTAGTCGCCACGCCTCTCGTGCTCGTCTCGTCTCTCCCGCTCTGAGTGTTCACCCAATGTCTCTCCGTTCTCACGCGTCTCGGGCTCCTCCTGCTCCTCTTCTCTTGTCACCTCCTCAATCGTCTCTCGTTGTCTCTTTGCCTCCTTTGTCTGAATTCCTCTATGCTGCTCGCCCTCTTGTTTCTCGTGTCCTCACCTCTCTTGTTACCGACCCGTATGTTCCCCTCTCCAGTCTCAACGCTCTTGTCGTCGCCGTCGCTGACTTTGCCTTCACCCGCCGCCTTGACTACCCCACTGCTCTGGTCTCTGACCCTGCCCGTCCTCAGTCCGCCGGGGGTGCACCTGCCCTTTGCAGTAACGTCCTGTCCGAGGCTGCTCCTCAACTCTGCTCCATGCTGCTAGCCCTTGAGGGTGACCCAGACGCCCTTGACATCCCGACCTCTTGCACCTACGCTGACGTGACTTCGGGACCTTGGGCCTCGCAGTGGATAGCTGCCATGGACGCAGAGATGGCATCATGGAGATCCACCGGCACCTTCGTCAACGTAATTCACCCACCTTGGGCGAACGTAGTCGATGACCGGTGGCTCTTCAAGGTGAAGTGCCCTCCGAGAGAGCTGCCGGTGTTCAAGGCGCGCTACGTTGCTATAGGCTTCAGTCAGCGCGAGGGCGTTGGATTTTTTCAGACCTTCGCCCCGACCCCAAAGATAACCACTGTTCGGGCGTTTTTACTTGTAGCAGCACAGCGCGACTACGATGTTCACTCTCTGGACTTCTCCGCTACGTTCCTCCAGGGGAGCCTGCACGATCATATTTACTTGAGTCATCTGCCAGGCTTCTCTGGCCCTTTCCCACTTGGGATCCTGTGGCTTCTCCGGCACCCGGTCTACGATCTGCGATAGGCGCCCCTAGAGTGGCACGACACGTTGCGTGCTATACTAGCAGACATCCAATTCTTTCCATGTTGTGCTGACCCGTCTCTCTCTTTTCTCTCAGTCCATAATCCATTCTATATCCTAGTCTACGTAGACGACCTAATCTTCGCTACTGCAGACAGTGACGCACTGGCCTTAGTGAAGGCTGAGCTGCTGAGGAGACACACCTGCACTGACCTAGGAGAGCTGCACCACTACCTTGGCTTGCAGATCTCAAGGAACAGAGCAGCGCGCACCATCACTCTTACACAGACACACTTGGTGCGCCAGGTCCTTCGGAGGTTCGGCCTTCAGTTCTCCTCTGCACAGCCCACCCCTCTGCCAGTCGAACACAGTCTCTCAGCTCTTCTCCCTGACGAGCTCGTCAAGCGCAGTGGTCAGTACGCAGAGCTTGTGGGTTGCCTCATGTACTAGATGGCTTGCACTCGTCTAGATATCGTATACCCTCTTAGTATCCTCGCACGCTTTGTTGCGACAAGCAGACACCGACCCTAGCACTCGTCGGCTGCTAAGAGGGTGTTGCGTTATCTAACAAGTAAAAAAAGGCATGGGGCTAGTGCTGGGAGGATGCAGGCCAGTGGTTCTCACAAGGCACACAAACGCTTCGTGGGCGGACGACGATGAGATGCTTAGGTCCTCCCAGGGCTACTGCTTTAGCCTTGGTACTGGCGCCATCTCGTGGAGGTCTAGCCGCTCGTCGTCTGTTGCACAGTCTAGCTGTGAGGTTGAGATCAACGCTGGTACCACGGTGGCACAAGAGCTTCGGCTGCTGACGTTCCTGCTCACAGACTTAGGTGAGCGGCCTAGCTATGCCCTGGTCCTGTACGCTGACAACAGGACCATGATCATCCTGTGTCAGGAGCCTCGAATAGAGGGCAGAGCGAAGCACATCCAGCTGAGGTACTTCCTCCTGCGTGAGCTACTGCAGCGCGGACAGGCACGCGTAGTACACTTAGCCCCCGGTGCCAACACAGCTGATGTCTTTACCAAGGCGCTTGCACCTAAAAATCATTAGCGCCACCGCTTACAGCTTGGCCTAGTTCGAGTAGCTCCTCGATTTCTAGGACCCTGAATAGTGTACTCCTTATATTATCTTGACTCGTCTTGTGACTCTTGTCTCAGTGGCAGGACTAGTAGTGCCGCCCTGAGTTACTCTTGTATAGTTTGTACTGTACTCTTGCTGACTGGTCTTCGGACCCCTGCCTCAGAGGCTGGACTAGTAGTGCCCCCCTGAGCTGCATGGCTCTTGCGCCGCACTGCCCCTTATCTAGCCTAGGGGGTGTGTCAAGTGATGCTCTTGGAGTATTTGTATAGTGATAGGATAGAAGGGCACGTGCTCTTAGTGAGTACAATACCAAACCGTACAATACCCTGTATGCCCTTGCTTGAGTTCAGTTTGCTACTCTGAGATCGTGTTGAACCTTTTCGAAAAGTCCGTTCGAACGGTGTTTCCACTCCCAATGTACCACGTGTCAAGATTATATTAGTTATATATAATTGATAGGCTTGATAGTTGTTACTGAACCTTTCTGTAGATGGTACAATCCCCTCCTTGTACTCCTCTCTCTTCCTAATCGACCCTCTTCTCTCTCGTCATCTTCCCTAGCTAAACCCTGGCCACCATTCCATGGCGGCCTTCTTAGCTTCCTAGTGGCAGCCTACCTACGTTCCTTCATCCCAGCTACCTAGCTAGTATCCTAAGCTTCTTTGAGATGGTATCAGAGCCGGTCCCTTCAACCGGACCGTTCTCGATCACTTCCGCTGCGCATTCCTCGCTCTCCTGCACTGCCATGGCCGCCGCTACTTGCTGCTGTGGCAGCGTCGTCGTACCGCGGCGTCGCGCTGTTGTGGCGTCGACGTCTAGCCGACGCGGCGACGTCGCTGTTAAGTCGTCGCGACGTGCCGGCGCCGCCGTGCTGCCTCAGCGACATGGTGCCCGTGCGCATTCGTCTCTGACGACGGCGGCCAGCGCCGTGCCTTAGAGCACGCCAGCACGCCCACGACCTGTCGCGCCACACCGGGGGGCTGCTGTTGCCCTGCCCCCGTCCTCTGCATCCCCTCTTCCTCGCCGCAGCCAACGGCTGCCTTGCACCGGCAGTCCCACCGTCGCGGAACCTGGCCACGCCGTCGAGTGGGGCGAGCGCCGCCGTCGCCGCTGCTGTTGTCACAGCACCCGCCGTCGCCGCTGTTGCCGCTGGCCTACTTGCCGCCGCACGCCGCCGCCGCCGCTGCTATCGTCACTGCTGCCGCCGCCGTGGTCGCCACCGCACCCGCGTAGCTGTCGTTGCTGCCCCGCCCGTGGAGAGGTCTACCGGGTTGTCAACAGCCACTGCTGCTGCAGGGTAGTAGGGGCTAGGTTAGGGGGTGTGTAGTGTGTGTTGGGGGGGTGTGTGACTACCAAGCCTAGGGGGTGTGTCAAGATTATATTAGTTATATATAATTGATAGGCTTGATAGTTGTTACTGAACCTTTCTGTAGAGGGTACAATCCCCTCCTTGTACTCCTCTCTCTTCCTAATCGACCCTCTTCTCTCTCGTTATCTTCCCTAGCTAAACCCTGGCCACCATTCCATGGCGGCCTTCTTAGCTTCCTAGTGGCAGCCTACCTACGTTCCTTCATCCCAGCTACCTAGCTAGTATCCTAAGCTTCTTTGAGACCACGCTCGCGGGTTCCCGCGGCCTTTCTCAAGGTTTTTGCGACATCGCATTTCCATGGGTTCGAGAAAGGGCTGGCGAACAAGGGTTACCCGAAATGCACGAACTACTGTACCTCAGGTGACATTGTTGAAAGTGGGCCCAACGGAAGTGGACTTCGGGAGCTGGGTTCGGTAAGGAAGTGTGCAGGCGGGTAGCCCTGAAAAACGAGAAACCCACTTGTCAATGATCGCGGTTTCGCCTATGACTATATTGCAAGCTCGATTCAGAATTCCGAATGTTGCGCCTGGTTGAGCTGGCCGGAATTTCGGTGTTGGGCAGTTTGGTCAGTATCGACATGCAGCCAGCCAGAGGGGAGAAGACATGGGCCGTGAAACATGCATGAGGAGTGATGTGCTCACAACCTGGCTCGTTTTTCTTGGACTTGCGGGGTGATCAGGCGAGAGAGTGATGGTGGGGGACGAGGGATGTCGGGGAGAGTGAGGTGGGAGGAGGGGGCGAGGGACCAGAGGGAGTCAATAGCTGGCGAGGGGGTGTTGAGGGGAAGAAGAAAGCGGGAGAATAGAGGATGGACGATATAGGCCCATGCAGGGGTGAATGGGGGAGGAAGGGAGGAGTGGTGGGAGGTATGGATGGAGGATTGGTGGGAGGTATGGATGGAGGATTGGTGGGAGGTATGGATGGAGGATTGGTGGGAGGTGTGGAAGGAGGGATGGTGGGAGGTATGGAGGGAGGAGTGGAGAGCCGAAGCGAAGTGGAAGACGGGGAGGAGGAGGGGCAGGGGGATGGAGAAGTTGAGGTGGGGAAGAATGGTGCCGTGGCGGTTGTGCTTGGCGTTGCTGGTAGGGAAAGGGAGAGGAGGGGGGGAGGGGGGACGGGATGGGGAGGGGAGGGGATAGGTAAGGGGTTAAAAGAAACAAAAAGGCAAGGGAAGAAAATATTAATGGCTTGTAAGAGGATGTGGAAGACAGACGGAGAGCGGAGTAATGAAATGTCAACTGAGCAGACAAGCTCGTTCATTCCAGATTGAACTATTACCTTGTGGCTTAATCACACCTCGCAACACTGCAACATGGTTACCTGGTAACAAGGGGGATCTTTCACCATTGCCCCACCACTGGTCCCTACGTGCAGTGCTGCCATCGTCAGCACTAAGGCTAATCCAGTTGTATTTTGAGTCGACTCAAAATACAACTAATGCACTGCAACAGTCTTACCTGGTAACAAGGGCAATCATCTCCCCCTCAACATTCACCACCGCCCCACCACTGGCGCCGGCGTGCACAGCTGCCGTGGTCAGCAATATGGCTGCCGCCCTCCCTGGCGTTACATGCGACGGCAACTTCCCTCGGTCTGCAGTGGTTGGAAGCGGCTCAGAGGAATGTTGCTGTTTTTGCGATTGGTCCGCCGTGACAATCCGAGACACAATGCCAGCGAAGACTGAAGGAGGTGTGGCTGACACAAGGTGGAATGACAGGCAGAAAGGAGGCGGGGAAATAGTCATGCGTGGGGTGAGAGTGGGAGTTGGTTAGTTTTTTTTTACTCTAAAAGGCCGACTCGAGTGAGACTATTGGCAGCGTTGCGCAGTGATGCGCCAATGCATCCAAGCAAGCACATGACACGTGAAGGCAAGGGAGGGCAACGTGTTTTTGATCATTCTAAAAAACACCATAACACGTGAAGGCAACGGAGAGCACGGAGGACAAACCGTGCGCCTTAATGGGAAGCACGCGCACTCCCCAAGATGCCAACTGACAGACCCATGACTGCTGCAGCTGGAGAACAATCCACTTACCAAGGGCAGGAGGGAAGACGGCATAGGCAATGACCACAGCTGTTGAGCCACACTAAGGCACCGAGGGACACGGACGGATGGGGCGGAATACTAATAGACTGCTGAACTGTGGGCCATTCATGCACCCTCGAGGAACGAGACAGAGGCAAACCACTTACCAATCGCAGGAGGGAAGACGGCATAGCCAATGACCACAGCCATTGATCCACATTCAGGAACCATTGCACACGGACGGATGGGGGAGACTACCAGACTGCTGGATTGTGCGGCATCCACACCCTCCTGTGGTTGGACTGCTGCTGCTGCTGCTGCTGCTTCATCAGGATCCGAGGCTGTGATTGGTTGCAGCCTGGGTTTGCACGGCACAGGTGGCATCTGGTGCAGGTGCAGGCTATGGTCTCGAAGTGAAGTTTCTGTGTGGTGCAGGTGATTCTCAGGCTTGCTGGTGCTACTAGCAGGTGGCATCTGGTGCAGGTGCAGCCTGTGGTCTGGAGGTGCTGCAGGTGGCATCTGGTGCAGGTGCAGCAGGGCAACGTCCAGCGAGCCAGAGCAAACGTAAATGATGCCTGCACGCACCCATGAGGCACGCGGGGAGGAGGAGAGTGGGGAGGAGGAGATTGGGGAGGAGGAGATTGGGGAGGAGAGTGGGGAGGAGGAGGGTGAGGAGGAGGAGGAGGAAGAGGAAACTCGGACCCATATGTCGTGCGACGGGGGAGACGAGAGGAGGTCCAATGAGGGGGATGCGAAAGGGGACGAGGAGGAGAGGGAGGAAGAGGAGGAGGAGGGGGGAGAGGTGGAGGGAGGAGAGGAGAGGGAGGGGGAAGAAGACGTGGAGGTGGAGTGGATTCCGTGGCGTGGTTGGTGGTGTTTGAGCAAGGGAGTGAGGATGTGTGCATTGGTGAGTATGAGTCCAGAGGGCGATATGATCACTCCAGAGCCCCACACCGTTCCGCCCACCACTATCCCGACCACTGATGGTAGCGCCGCTGCCACTGCTCTAACTACCCCAGCTGTCCCTTCTCCTGCCCCACCACTTCCTGCTCTTATTTCTCGTTCTCCTTCTCTTCCTCCTCCCACCACCGATGGTAGCGCTGCTGCCACTGCCGCTACCACTCCTCCTGCTGCCCCTTCTCCTTCCCCTGCTCTTGCTCCTATAACGTCTCCCTCAATCCCCCCTCCCCCCATTCCTCCGATTCCCTGTGACTCCCCACAACCCACCGCAGGCACCATTTCAATTTCAGAATCTAGACCACACGAGTCAAGGTTTTTATGCGCCTCAATAGTAGCATCTAGACCAGAAGGTGCTCCGTGGACTGCTTGAAATGGTACCATAGGATTGATCTTTTGAAGGGGTGTGCCCTCAAGAGCTGAAACCCGGGGCTGCTGGGATAGTAGCTGGGTGGTTGCAGAGTCGTGGGTGTGGGATGACGTGGCGGCCACTGATTGGATGGCAGATGCTATTAATGAGGCAGAGGCAGCAACCTGAAGGGAACGGGAAGGGAAGGGGGGAGAGACGAGCAGCGAATAGGGGCAAAGCAGAAAGGGTCAAGGAAAGTGAAGGGGAGTCAAGGGAAGTTCTTGTGGAGAGTACAGAATCAACTACTTTTGAGGCGCCTCAAAAGAGAGTACACATCAGCCACTTATTTTGAGGAGGAAGGAGGAGGGATGAACAGATGGGAGAGGAGGGGGAAAGGAAAAGAACATCTCAGATGGGCAAGGGGGGAAAGGAAAAGGAAAAGGAGGCGGATCAGCCAGAGGATGAGGGGTGGATGAGGTGGGATTGTGTGACTGACCGGGATAGTGATGGTTGCTGACGTCATGAGGTGATGCTTCATGGTGATAATGGGTGGCAAGAGTATGGCCCTCATGGATCCAGAGGCATCAAACACTGGTGCCCCCTCCATGCCTGCATGCCATGTCATGCCATGCCATGCCATGCCATGCCATGCCATGCCATGCCATGCCATGCCATGTGATGACATGTCATGTCACAAGGAATGATTTGTTTGACGCCTGTGAAGATCATCCCGCAATGGTACTTGGAATCTGACCAGAAACGTGATGTGATGCTGCTAGGGTCGGGAACTCGCAGATTTTATGCTGACACTCCGTCATGAGACGTTTGCTACCTGATGTGATTCTCCTCCTCAGATACTCCCTCACACGCTCCCTGATTGCTACCTACCTGGCAGGAAGGGCAGATCGAGAGCCAGGAGCCCTGCAGGTAACACTGCTGACACTATCCCCGATGACAGGCTGGCATGAGGGGAGTGAGAGGGCGGAGAGATGAGGCAGGGGGGGGAGATCAGAGAGGGAGAAAGAGGGAGAAGTGGGTCGAGGGCCAAGAAAATGGAATAAAACATAACAGATACAGTAACTTCCACTCATTAATTACGACGAAGAAATACTTCATACCCTCACCGCGCTGCGTACTCCTTACCTTACAATGCATCACCTGTTGGCGAATAGAGTGGGCGCCAGCACTCCGAATGGGGAGCCAAGCAACAGGACAGGACTGCCAGGTGTTGACGTGTCATTGGCAGAGATGGATGGGGGGCTGACCTGGCACCGCAGGCAGGATGGGATGGACATAAGATTGTGTGCTTTAAACAAGTTGCAAGGAAATATTAATGACACCAAGAAATGTGGTAGAATAATATTTTTGAGTCGACTCAAAAATCACCTTTGGACAGAACTACCCTCCTTCGTCACGCGTCTTCTCTTCGAGAGACTTCGACTCGTGGCCCCCTTGTGCTGAAATGCCTGCTCAACCCGTTGGTTGACCGTTCGCACTTGGGATCTTTTTTGAGTCGACTCAAAAATCACCTACGGATATTGTCACACGAGACATTCGAAGATCGGCGTGCTATTATCGCGTGGAAGCTTCCGAAGCGTACAGGGGATTTTTTAGTTTCAGCTAGAAAATGTTAGGTGTAGCTACACTTAATCGATTTTTTTTATTTTTTTTTTCTAGCCTAGGTTTCAAACTCTGAGAATTCCCTCGAGCTGCATTCTGGCCTTGGGATACTCGCGAGCTTCTGCCTATTTAGTCTTGCTCGTTTACTCTTTGTGTATGGTCTGATGAAGGCAGCCACCTGCCGAAACTAGTTACCATCAATTTTTGCCCTACGTTTTCAAGAGATTTTTCAGAGCAAGATTTTTTCTCTAAACAAAGTGTTCTACAAGCCCGCTGCCACGTATGGCTAAAACCACCACCAAGTGGTGTTCTCAAGAAATGTGGTAGAATAATATGCTAGAATGACGCATGCGACATTACACGACAAATTGTGCTATGTGGTACAGCTAGATATGAGAAAAAAAGGGGTCAACAGAGCAGAATAGACTATGAAATGAGCAGAAAAGCAACAATGAAAATGGCCAACTTAATGCAGCGCAGGAGACCTTTGAGTCGACTCAAACGTCACCTCGCAACAATGAAAATGACTAACTTAATGCAGGTCAGGCGCAGTGTTTCCAGCTTGCATCCATACCTTTAACGCATGCCGCAACCTTAGCTGTTCATGCACCATGCCCCTCAAAGCATCAGCTGCTGCCGCTGCTTTTGCTGGTGGTGGTGGTGCTGCTGTTGAACCGATTTGCTGCCCACAACTGATTTGAAGCACAGCAAATTCTACTGGTTCTGCTGTTGCTGCTGCTGCTGCTGTAGGTGGTGCGGGACAGGAGGAGTTGGAAAGGGAGGAGGCGGAGGAGGAGCCGGGTGCACAGTGTGCAGCAGGGGTCTGCAGAGACATAAGGTCGGAATTGACGGTTGGAAGATCGACCTGCGAGCAGAAGAGAAGAATAAAGTGAAAAAAGGAGCGCTTTTGAGTCGACTCAAAAGAAAAAAAGAGCGGGGGGTGGGTGTGGGTGGGATAGGGGTGTGTTTGCATTGACTGAGGGGCAACCTGGATGAAAAGGAGGAATTTTTCAGTCGACTAAAAAAAAGGCGGGGCGGTGGGCGTGGGATAGGGAAGGGTGCACTGACTGAGGGGCAGCCTAGATGGATCATGGAATGAAGTGATAGTAATTTCGTCTTGGGTCTAGAACGGAATTAAAACGAAATTACTATCACACGCAACCTGGATGGAACGGAAGGGGCTTCGAATCAAAGTGGAGGGAAGCGCAACGAAGAGGGCAAACGGGAACAGATATCGGTGCAGCGCAGGAGACAAGGCAAGCACTCACCAAGCAACGAAGCTCCGCAGGCAGGGTGAAGGATAGAGACGGTTCGGGAGCAGTCGCAAGCTGGCAGGGACCTTCTTACCTACTGCCAGGCTCCGGCTCCAAAAAAAGTTGAGCACTCACGAAGCAACGCTGCTCCACAGGCAGTGTGAAGGGCAGTGATAGTCCGTGGGGGGTTTGCAAACTGACAGGCACCTGCTTACCTACCGACAGACTCTCGCTCCACCAACGGTTGAGCACTCACAATGCAACGCCGCTCCGCATGCAGCGTGAAGGGTAGTGACGGCCTGGCAGCGGTTACAGACTGACAGGCACGTGCGAAAATACAGACAGGCTCTCGCTCCAATAAAGTTGAGCACTCACAAAACAAAGGCCCTCCGCAGGCAGCGTGAAGGGCAGTGACGGTCCGTGGCGCGCTGCACACTGACGGTCACCAGCTTACCGACTGACTGACAGGCCCTGCCTCCACTGGCCCTACTGACAGGCTCTGCAGCTAATCACTCACAAAGCGAAGGAGCTCTGCAGGCAGCGTGGATGGCAGTGACGATCCGGGAGCAGTTGCACACTGAAAGGGGAACAAAAAAAAATTACGACAGAAAAATGTAGAGTTAGAGAAGCGGAAGGGAGGGGAGTGGTGTGGGTGGGAGGGGGGGGGGGGGGAGTGAGTGACAGCAGCATTGAGCTCGATAAGTTAAGAAGAGGGTGCATGGATGGAGAATGCGGATAGCAGTGGTTGCAGGAGGAGGAGGAGCGCATATTTGAGGCGCCTCAACACAGACTCCTCGCGCTTAACTGGAGTATGCGGATAGTGGTGGGCGCGGAAGGAGGAGGAGCGCAGGGAGAAACCACAAGAATGCACCCAGCCACATGGGATCCGTGGCTTGGCGTGGTGCCAGCCACATGGAATCCGCGGCTTGGCGTGGTGCCAGCCACATGGGATCCGTGGCTTGGCGTGGTGCCAGCCACATGGGATCCGTGGCTTGGCGTGGTGCCAGCCACATGGAATCCGCGGCTTGGCGTGGTGCCAGCCACTTGGGATCCGTGGCTTGGCGTGGTACCAGCCACATGGGATCCGTGGCTTGGCGTGGTGCCAGCCACATGGGATCCGTGGCTTGGCGTGGTGCCAGCCAGTGCCTCAAAGGTAATGTCAATGCATGTGCCAGGGAGCCGATGCGGAGCTATTGAAGTGCGCACACTTAGAAGAGACAGAAGGAACTCACACATGGTATGCATAACCTTTGAGGTGGTGGCGTTACCTCAAAGGTAATGTCGATGCGGGTGCCAGGGAGCAGATGGGGAGCCAAGGGACATCGCTGCTGCTGCTGCTGCTGCTGCGGCTGCCGCTGAAGCTGCCAGCGCTGCTGTGCCACAGATTGGTACTTGAGCGGCTGCTGCAACACAAAGGAACGAAGAATCTTGCCAGGCACAAGCACAGTCACCTCCTCTCCATCCCACTCGTCGCTCCCACCCCCCCCTCCCTCCACTGCACCTTCGTCTAATCGCCTGCCCGCGTCCAGCATTGCCCCGGGCAGCAGAACGCCAGACGCTGACACCGAGGTCGTGCCGTTGCTGGTTGAGGTGGGGAGAAGAAGGGAGGTGGACGGGAGGGGAGGGATGAAGATGTTTCATAGGCCCACTCCCCCGGGCAGCAGAACGCCAGACGCTGTCACAGAGGCCGTGCCACTGCTGGTTTGAAAGGGGAGGAGCGGGGCGAGGGGAGATTGCTTCAAGTCAAGTGTCGCCTCCATCCAGCATTCCTCCAAGCGCCAATGGCAGACGCTGACACGGATGGCTCTGCCGCTCACTCGCTTGTTGCTTACCTGGCCTGGTAAAAGTCATATCGCAGCAGCTTCCGACCCTTGGGGTCCTGCAGTCAACATGGGTCAAAGTAAGTAAACCCGAGTCAACGCCAGTCAACGCAAGGCAATTCCACTCAACATAAGCAAACTGAGGATGCGCCACTGGGGGTGACACAAAAAATGTTGGCGGTCATCCATTAAATTGCCACAAAAAGCACAGACAGCTGAACAGAATAAGGATCGCTGAGGAACGTAAGGACACGGCTAAGGGACTCGTTTCTGAGAATTCTCAAAAACCAATTCAAATCGGACGAGTGAATGACTCACGGGCCCCTGCACCCGAACGAGGCATCCCGTGGCTCGCGCCAGTCGAATCACTCTCTCGTCCATGCCTCCTCCGTCCGACGATTCTAAGAAATCCTGCAATCAGCCGTCAAGTTGAAAACTCTAGCAAATCCAGCGCTCTCGCCAGTCGAACCTCTTTGTCGGCCATGGCATCTTCGGTAGAACCTGAAAAAAAACTACAATCAGCTGTCACGTCGAACACTCTACCGAATACAGCGCTCAAGTCAATGGAACCTCTCTCGCGACCATGGCTCCTTCACTTCGCCACGCCTCCTCACTACTCTCGCGCCTCCCACCCAACTGCTCTCGCCTCTCCCCTTGCCGTCTCTTACTGCTTAGAAGGCGGGGGGGAGTTCAAAGTAGTATACGCAATGACGAGCCCCAGGGAGAGAGTGTTACAGTGCGGTACGTCACAAAGGGTGTGTGTGGAGACTCCTATCCTACATATGCGTCCTCGGAGCTTCCTATCCTGCGTATGCGTCCTCGAATCTGCCAAAATGCGCTTTCTGAATTCCTCGACCTGTCTAGCCCCAGCAGTCTAATACACGATAAAAGGAGGATGTCTGACTCGGAATGTAGATTGATACACTTCATCCGAAAATGGAAGTGTTGGGATGAACGAATTCCGATTTGCGGTATGCTTTCGGTTCCGTAGCAGGAAGACAGCCTGGCCGTCTGTCGTGACTTGACGGTGGAGCTCGCGCACCACAGTACCAACTGCACCACCAGGTCGCTGTTGTCGTTACACGGATTGCCAGTTTGCTTTGAGAGAGCTAAGAAGAGCGAACACTGACCATCCGATGGTACAGTAGTGAGTTTTCCAACATAATCGTGCTCTACTGTATTGGGCAAACTCTGGCCGTCAGCTTACGCCGTTGCCATTGACGCTCCGCCGTCGACTTTCACTGAGATGGGCTGTTCTCCACGATGGGGCAGTATTTACGGACTTGTAGTGTTGGTCGCTCCTACCACCTCTCGACACCTTCACCCTAGAGTACTGGAACTTTGATTCCCGCCTTCGAATTGTCTAAGATCCCTCGGAAACCGTCCGATGTCCGCATCTTCCAATTCTTGGTCAAACCACCGAACACCTTTTCGAGGACCCTGGGGCATCGGGGCAAGAAAAACAATGTACGGTACTGTACACCGAACCGCACTGAGACGTACGCTTAGGTTGGGACCTAATTCGTGGGCACAGAACGGGACCAAACTTGCGCATGGCTGACAGAACCCAAGGGGAGGGAGTCGAGTCGAGTCGTCCCGGCAGCGAGTCACAAGCACAGAACATAAATAATCAGGAACAACACCCATTGATCGGTGTCTAGTAGGAATGCACATAATCACCTTGCTTCTCATGGCATAATTAGCCCTCATATTCGCCTTGCCAGACCATGGTTGCACGCACGCGCGCGCAGGCCGTGTGTCCTTCTTTCACGCCTTTCATCATGTAACCCTGTCCCTAATGCCTGAGCCGTAGTCTCACTGGCTGTCAAGTCGCAGAACCCCGCAAATCGACGACTGCATTCCCAAAATGGGTCGCAATTCCGTGAGTAGCGACAAACCCACTGGCACGGTGAACCCTAACTCTAACCCTAGCAGTAGCCGGGCAATGGGCCGGCATAAGCACAGTTACAGTATGGACTGTTCAACCACTTCCAATCTCACACTTCCCCCGTCCGTCCCTAAGCCGAAGTCGCAAAACAACAGCCCATGCGACAATAGCGGCCACCGCGGCAGCGGCGGCGGCGGCGGCGGAGGGAGCAGGCAATCGCCTCTCTCCGGTTCGGTCGCAGGCGTGCTGACGTCGTCGTTACGGGGCGGCGGAGGAGGAGGCGGAGGAGGCGGAAAGAAATCATGGATGCCGAATCTTAGTCCGCGGTTCCTCTGTTCCGCGGGAATGCCGCCGGATCTCCGCGAAAACGGCTACTTCGGCCATTTAAATCTCGATGGCGACGGATGCGACCTGGACGACGACGACGACGACATTCGCGGTGGCGAATTAGGTAACCGGTCGCGTAGCGAAGTCCTCAGGCGCGGGCCCGTCGCAGAAGACGCCGTCGACCTCAGCTGCAGCGGAGGCTACGCGCGCGCGAAAACCGACATCCCACGCCACGCGCGGGCCAGAGCCTCCGCCGCCGCCGCAGCAGCAGCAGCCGCACCTGCACCCTCCCGCGCGCCTGTGCCGCGGAACCGTTCCGTAGACGCAGCTGCTATAGGCGCGGCTCATGGCGGGCCTCAAGGCGGGGCTCACGGTGCGGCGCACGGGGAAGCAAGAGGCGGAGCCAGCGCGAGCGCAGCAACGCTCGGCGCGCTGCAGCAGGAGGAGGCGGAGGAGAGCGAGGGCCGGTACGGTAGGGCTAGCTCCATGCCTACTATGCACCGGCGACGCAAGTCCCTAGGAGGCGGTCTGGTTTCCCTCGGGTCGCCAGGTGTTTCTTGCCTGCAGCCTAGGTCGTCTGAGGTGGACGAGGAGATGAGGATCCGCTTTACAGAAGGACCCGCTATAAGCTCTAGGTCGAGCTCTTGTAGAATGGGGGATGTAGTGGATGATTCTCTAAGCTCGTGTGGTAGTGATCGGTTTGGTAGTGGTCAGGTCGGTAGTGGGCGGTTTGGCAGTGATAGGGTTGGTAGTGGTAGGTTCGGTAGTGGACGGTTATCTATGAATTTTTCTGCCGGACGCGAGACTTCAAGGGATGGGGCCTCAGAGTCTAGGGTGCGCCGAAGCTACTCAGGAGCTTCGGACAAGTACACAGACAGGCTCGGGGACAGGCCTGGAGACAGGTCTGGAGAGGCATATCCTGACAGGCGGGTTGAGCGGGTGTCGGAAGAAGGTCGAGCCTCAAGCAGTATCACGTACAAAGGACGAGGTTCGCAATCAGGACCGTTGATGCCTCGAGATTACGAACAAATAGACGGTCGCGATCCAGCAGGGAGGGAACGCACAGAGGAAGCTTCCACGCTCACGCACGGTCTCCGATCCGGAAGCTTCACGTCCAGGGCCCACGCGGCACAAGACCGGCACGACGAGCGAGGGAACAGTGATGGTTCTCGTCCTGCTGATGGCTCGCAGCGTAGACTGCCAGCAGCAGAGCGGCTCAAGGCGCGGAGCTACATCGGGCGGAGCTTCTCTGGTGGAGGGATGGAATCCATGGCTGCTGCTTCAGCGTCTATCCGCGCTGCGCTGAGGGCGTCCGTTCTCAGGAGCTCCTCAGGCGCGGGGGAACAGAAAGGGGGGAGATTAGATGGGGAGGGGAAAGCAGGAGGAAGCGGAGCAGGGGTGGGTGGGAAGCGGCTGGGAGGGGGAGGGGGGTCGGGGCGATGGTCGATTGGTAGGAGCTTCTCAGGTAGCCGTGCAGGCAGTCGTGATGGTTCTGCTGCTGCTGCGTTGACTGCAGATACTGGCGCTTGCATTGGTGCGGATGGGGGGGACTGCGTTGGTGGTGATGGAAGGGACGCTTCAAGGGAAGCTGCACAGGAAGCTGCGCGGGAAGCTGCAAGAGAAGCTGCAGCGTTGGAAGGTGATGGAGAGAGGTCGTCTAGGTCGTCCCTACGGCCTTCCTTGAGACCCAGTAGCATGGAGAGAAGGGATGGTGGCAGGAGAGGTGGGGTGGAGGAGGAGGAGGAGGACGAGGAGGAGGACGAGGAGGAGGAGGAGGAGGAGGAGGGAGAGGAGGGTGTCAACAGTGAGGAGGAGAGTGAGGAAGAGGAGGAGGAAGAGGGGGGAGAGGGGGGAGAGGAGGACGAGGGAGAAGACGAGGAGGGCGAGGAAGTGGCTGTGGGAAGGGGGCTGTGGGAGGATATTGAAGAGGATGATAATAACGAGGATGGAACCAGAGGGGCTGAGATGAGCTTAAGGGGGCACGGCTGGGCAGGAAGAGGACCCGGGGATCAGGAAATGCAACCCAGCAGGAGCAGCAGGTTAGCGCCACAGAGCAGAGATGAGGGAGATGAGGAAGAAGTGGAGGAAGAGGAGGAAGAGGAAGAAGAGGAGGGCGAGGAGGACGAGGAGGACGAGGAGGAAGAGGAGCAAGAGGAGGAGAATGAGGGCAATGAGGGCATTGAGGACGATGAGGACGAAATGCAGGGGCCCGTCCCAGGCAAAGGAGGTGTGAGAGTGGAAGGTGCTGGTTGGCTTGAAGGGGGTTTTTACGGAACGTTTGATTCAGCACCAGAGCCAAAACCAGGTGAGGGTGAAGGAGGCGGAGGGATGGGCAGGAGGGTGCTGATGGGAGCCCCCTCCCTCAACCCCGATGCAATCTTTGAGGAGCCTCAGCAAAGGATGCTGATAGGAGCCCCCTCCCTCAACCCTGGTGCAACGTTTGAGGCGCCTCAAGAAAGGATGCTGGTAGGAGCCCCCTCCCTCAACCCTGACGCAGCATCTCAGGCGTTCTGGGTGAGCCTGAAAGACGGCAGGGGAGCGGACGTGTGGGAAGGCGGGGAGGGAGCAATAGAAGAGGAGGAGGAGGAGGAGGAGGAGGTGGAGGAGGAGGAGGAGGAGGAGGAAGGGGAAGGGGAAGGGAATGAGGGAGATGGAGCGAGTGGGGTGTTTGACCTGGCTCAAGGGTTGCTGCGGGAGGAGGGGGGAGCCGGGGAAGAGGGAGAGGGGTTTGGGTTTGATGTGGGGGAGAGGGTAACCATTGGGGAAGGACGAGACGAGGGAGGGGGGGAGGGGAACTGGGAAGGAGGATCAGGGGTTGCGAGTGGCGATAGGAAGAGGCAGAATCAAGAGGAGGGTGCGAGTCCCTGGCAATCAGTGGCAGATGCAGAGAGCGAGATGAACGGTGTCTTCCGCACTGAGATGCTTTTCAGAGGCAGCCAAAGCCTTGGAGGCCCGGTAACCCAGGTGGAGCTGAGAGATGACTCATGGGACGGGGCATTGGGGCTTGAGACCAGTTATACCTCCCAGGAGACTCCCCTCTTTCAGCAGCCGGGTAGGTTAATGTACTCGTCTTCTGTCAGAGAGCAGCGCAGCAGCAACAGCCTCAGCAGCAGCAGCATCAGCGTCAGCAGCCCCTTTGGTTCACGCCGCGAACGAATGCCTATTGCAGAGCGGGACATCGGCTCGTTTGCTGACGTGGACAGCGACGCCATGGCACGGCTGGCGCGCGACGCAGCGTCCCTGCTGGCTCTAGACCCGAGTACTGAGGAGGAGCAGAGCAGAGATAGAGAGTCCATCCCCCCAGCTTCCTCCTCCAGGCCCAGCAGCCCGTTCTCCGGCCCGCTTTCCGGCCTGCTTCGCCGCTCCAAAACTCCTCCCCGCTCCCCCAACCAGACCCCCCCGCGCACCCCCCCCGCTCCCCTTCCCAAACCCCCACCCACACCCCTCCTCGCACCCCCCCTGGTGGGCCCAGTTCGAACCGGTTCTTAGATAAGAGCCGGAGTGCGCGGATTGACCGGCCGAGTAGCCCGTTAAGGTTTGATCGGCCGGGGAGTCCGCTGAGGGGGGTGTGGAATGCGCTAAGGAGCCACGGGGAGGGGGATAAGGGCGGGTGGGAGAGAATCGATGTGGATGCTGTAGTGCTGGCTAGTGCTGCTGTGAGTAGTCCAGTGGTGGGTAGTGTGGCAGCTGCGGCTAGTGGTGTGGCTGCGAGAGCGGGTGATCAGTTCTTGCTGATGAGGGCTAGGACGGACAGTAGACGGATGGAGGATCGGGATGGGGATGGAGGGGGCATGGGAGGGTTGTGGGGAGGTAGAGAGATGGGGGTGGGGGCAGAAGTGACGTCTGCCTGGGAGGAGAGGCTGGCCAAGTTGGAGCAGGTGGCAAAGACCGGAGGGGGAGGAGGAGAGGTAGGATGGGGAGCAAGAGAAGGAGGAGGAGGAGGAGGAGGCGGAGGAGGAGGGGAAACAGTGGAAGCAGAGAGTGCAGGGGACCTTCCAGTGAGGGCAAGTACAACCGGTAGCAGCTTGCTGGGGGGAGGAGCAGCAGGAGGAGCAGCAGGAGGAGCAGCAGCAGGGGCAGCAGCAGCAGGGGCAGCAGCAGCCGGGGCAGCAGAGGAGAGAGAAGCAGCGCTGGAGAACGCATGGATGATGGCGGAGGGGGGGGACGAGGAGGACACACCAGACTACGACGACTTTCACCGCACTCGAACCTTCACCTCAGCCATTATTGCTGGGCTCACCAAGCGAGTCACTGGGCCCATGGCAGGCTTGGCCAAACGGGAGGATACAGGCAGTAGTAGCAAGACGGTAGTGCCGAGAACTGCTAGTGATACGCACAAGGATGGGGGGAAGGAGGGTCCGGGAAAGGGCGAGGGGAAGCAGGGGAAGTGGTGGGCTTTCAAGGAGAAGGGGGAGGAGAGTGGCAGGGGTGCAGGGGGCGCAGGATGGGGCATTTTGACTTCTAAGCAAAAAGCAGGAGAGCCGGGTGGAGTGGCAAAGGTTCAGGCGCATGGGTATGGGCAGGAGCAGGAGCAGCAGGGAGCGATGAATGCTGCTAATTTGGGAGTGGCGAATGCTTCTGCTCATGTAGCATCGCACCATGCACGGCAGAAGTCTCAGGTCTCGTTCGGATCTGGCGGAGACTCTGCTCTGCTTTCCGGCTTGCCTTCGTTTCTGCGCTCAGTCACCTTCACCTCGGCTGAAGCCCAGGCTCATAAGCAGCAGCAGCAGCAGCAGCAGCAGCAGCTCTCAACGCACGAGCATGAGGGAGAGGCACTCATAGGATTGAAGGGACAACAGGAACACATACAGCAAGGGCTACTGGATCAGCAGGCAGGACCCGACGACCAGCACGTTGACCCCTCACATCAACACAACCAGCAGCAGCAGCAGCAGCAGCAGAGAGCAGGGTCTGCTGTCAGGTGCAATTCCCTGGAAGGGGACTTGAGCAGGCACAGCGACGAGTTTCAGAGCAGTGATCTGCGCAGCAGGAGCAGTGGCAGCGCAGTGGAGCGCCTGAGAGGGGAGGAGGGCGTCTCCAATCACAGCAGGAGCCTGTCCAGGATGCGCCCTGGCAGCAGTGGGTCCTTTTCCGGCCACATGGGCGCTGGTGCTGCTCCTGCTACTACTCCCACTGCCGCTGGTGCTGCTGATTCCCCTGATGCCGCTACCAGCCCTGCTGCTGTCACTCCCCGCGTTGCCTACTTCTCCTTTGACAAGTACCGGGAGTCTGTAGCTGGGGGAGGTGCACCCGGGGGAGGTTCTACTGAGGAGCACGACGGGGAGGGACATCATCTGCTGTCTCACTCGTTTGGTGGGAGGAGTAGAGGCAGGAGCAGCCTGAGCAGATATGGCAGCAGTGGCAGTGGGAGTGGGAGTCTCACTCCCCCCCCTGGAGCATTGGGAAAAAGTGGCAGCGGCAGCCTAACCCCTCCCCCTCGTTCACTGGGTAAGAGTGGGAGTGGGAGCCTGACTCCCCCTGGCAATGTGTTTACTGGCAGTGGGAGTCTCACCCCTCCAGGTAACATGTTTGGTAGGGGCAGCAGGGGGGACCTCACCCCACCAGCAGGGAACGCGTTTAGTAGGAGGCATGCAGGGGATTTGACTCCCCCTGGGAGAAGCAATTACAGCTACAGCCATAACCACAACCACGGGTATAATAACGGCTACAGCCACAAACACAGCAACAGCCACAGCAGCCACAGTTACAGCCACAGCCACGCCAACAACCAAAGCCATTTTCGCACCCAGAGCCACAGTCACAACCACAACCACAACCAGGACCAGGAACAGGAGCCTCACTGTCAAGAGATTCAAGACTATAGCCCGGGCTCCAGCCAATCCCACTTGCAGCGTGGGTTTCCGCACGTGCGCAGAGGTGTGGAGAGAGTAGCTTCTGACTGTGCAGCAGACATTGGAGCAAGAGAAAGAGCAGCAAGAGAGAGAGGAGGAGGGGGGTGGGAGGAGGCGCAAGGAGGGGAGGATATTCGGGGGCGAACAGGGTCGGGGCGTTTGAGCAGAGAGGGGGGGGGTCTGAGTGCGAGTCTGGGAAGGCGGGCAGGGGAAGGGCGAGGGGGCTCGTTTGGGGAGTGGAGTGAGGCAGGGAGTGGGAGGGAGGCGAGTGGGAGGGACGCGAGTGGGAGGAGCAGCAAGCAGGGGGACAATGTTCAGGCGCATACATTGACGCATACTCGTGTTTCTCGGGTGGGGAAGGGCGGTCAGGGAGACAAGGGGGCGGTTAGAGGGGTGGAGGAGGATGAAGAGGAGGAAGGGGAGGGTTATGGCTCAGGCAGAGTGGATGCAGGGCGAGGTGTGGAAGCAGGAGCGAGTGGGGCACGACCCAAGTATGACAGGAAGCTCAGGTCAGTTTGGACAAGGGCTGGAGCGACTTTAAACGCATCCACTCCTCTTTTGAGTCGACTCAAGTAAAATCCCGTCCCCTCGTTTACCCCCGTTCTCCACCCCTCCCCCTCCCCCTCCCCATCGCCTTACCAGGAGTCGCACGTTTGGTGACCCAGAAGGGCTTTCAGACCTCTATTCTCCCCACAGCGTCTTGGAGCGATAGCACTTGTCTTTTCTGCTGACTCAAATGGCACTCTTTTCCCTCTGTTTTCCCTCTGTTTTCCCTCTGTTTTCCCTCTGTTTTCCCTCTGTTTCCCTCTGTTTTCCCTCTGTTTTCCCTCTGTTTCCCCCCTGTTTCCCCTCTGTTTCCCCTCTGTTTTCCCTCTGGTTTCCCTCTGTTTTCCCTCTGTTTTCCCTCTGTTTTCCCTCTGTTTTCCCTCTGTTTCCCCTGCTTCCTTCCCGTCCTCATCCACTCACCTTTCCAGGAGTCGCACCTTTGGTGACCCAGAAGAGCTTTCAGACCTCTACCCTCCCCCCAGCGCCTTCGAGCGATCGCACTCCACACCCGAGCGCCGGCGGCCCCCCGACCGCCCCTCAACCTCCTCTGCTGCTGCAGGGTCTACTGCCGGGTCCGGTCGGCCTCCCACTCATCATGCTCCGTCCGGCTCTTTGTCGCACCATTCGTCACTGAACAGTCACCTGAGCAAGCAGCGGCACAGGACAGGTGATTCTGGTGGGCACGTTGGGGCGAGCAGACTGTCAGGGAAACAGCAGAAGAAGCAAGGCCAGCACGAGCAGCAGTATGAGCTCCATTATCAGCAGCAGCAGCAGCAGCAGCAACAGTGGGAGAGGAAACAGCAGAAGGGGACGCATAAGGAGGCACAGCTGCATGTGGCGTGGAGAGATGAGGAGGAGGAGGATGGTGGGGAAGAATGGGGCAGGCAGCACCTGCACCCTGTGAAAGGGGGCAGGGAGAGGCGTCAGACTGGAGGGAGGCCAGAGGAGGAGGAGGAGATGGTTGGATACAGGGAGGATGACTGTGAAGGAAACGCAGAGGAGGAGATAGAGGAGGAGGACGAGGAGATTGTTCGATATAGGGATGGTGGTGTTAATGAGAAGGAAGAGGAGGTGGACGAGGAGGAGAGGGGGGAAGATGGGGGGGGTGGGGAAAAGGTGGTGGAGAATGGGCGGAGAAGGTGGTCCAGGGAGTGTGGCACAGGTCTGGGGAAGGGAGCCCGAACTAAGGCCGGTCGCAGCAGGCATGACTGTGGAAGTGAGGGCGAGGAGGAGAATGCGCGAGGGAGAATTCCCAAGCAGCAAGAGCGCCCACGGGGAATGGGGAGAGAAGACAGGGAGTGTGGGTGGGATGGGCGCAATGGAAGAGATGGAGAGCGGCGCCGGCTGCAGGACAGTCAAGAGGGGAGTGAGGAGGAGGGGGGTGAGGGTAATAATCAGGACAGTGACAAAGGGAGCGTTCTTGAGAATAGTGAGGAGTGGAGTGGAGAAGAAAAGGAGAGTGAAGGGGTGGAGAGTGGTGACTCGTCCGAGGGTTCTCGTAGGAGCGAGCGTGTCAGGGAGAGAGGGAGGACTGAGAGACACCATCACTCACTGAGGGAAACCAGTCACAGAGAAGATAAACATCATCACAATGAGAATCACAAGAGGGGAGATCGCTCAAGTGGGTATAGGGAATCGGAGGAGTGGGATTCCAGTGGTCCGGAAAATGAGAGGGAGCGGGATGTTGAGGGCTATGATCGAAGTAGCAGAGTAGAGAGCCGGGACAGCAAGTATGGGTACGGCAGCACTGGGGATTTTCGGCGTGGGGCGGCTGATACAGGACGGCACATACACAGAAGAGACGAGGAGGAAAGGGACGAGCAGTACAGAAGTAGAGGTGGTGATAGGAAGGAGCAGTCACGGGGGAAAAGGGGTCAGGAGAGTGCACGGAAGTATGGGGAGAGGAGCAATGGAGAAAATAGGGAGGTGTACAGCGGGAACGAGGTGGACAGAGTGTATAGAAGGGAGGAGGAAGAAGAAGACTATGACGGAGTGTGTAGACGAGATGACGAAGATGAGGACGATGGAGAAGGCGAGGAGGCATACAGGGAGGGTTCCTCCAGCAGGGTAAGCCACTCTCACCGAGAGAGAAAAGGGGGCGCAGCAAATGGTGGTGGGCGGCACTCCCGCACCTCAAGCTGGCTGGACCAGAAGAGCCGGTCTCAGCGGCCTGGGCGGCAGCAGCAGTAGGGGGGTTTCGGGATGGGTGGGGGGCAGTTCACTCTGCTAGAGAAAGAGCAGGCTGGCTCATCACTGCAAGCTGGTTGGACCAGAAGGGCCGGTCCCACCAGGGGGGCGGAAGCAGCAGTAGCAGGAGCAGCTGCAGCCCGTTCCTTTCAGAGACTTGGGGAGTCCAGCAGGCTGGTTCGTCAGGCTCGTCCTTGTCCTCGTCTTTCCTTGGCCTCTCTGCCCGTCCTCTCCCTGTCTGCCCGTGACTAGGCAGGAGGAGTCTTGCAGAAGCTTCTTGAGGGGTACAGTGAAGCTTCTGTCGCTGTGCCTGTGGTGCAAGCTGCACAGCACATGTTGAAGGCTGTGCGTGCACATATAGAGAAATCAAATGTCAAGGCTGGCGAATTGGTGTTGATGGTTGTGACAGACAACCCCACTGTTCCTTCTTGCCTGCAGCCTGCCATCAGGGAGTATTTGAATTAACACCTGCATTGGCAAAGCCGTAGTTGATCAATGATAACCTCAACCTTGGGGGGATGCCAACCCTGGTGGTGTGATTCCTGGACGTACATGTCAGTACTCCCTGGCCTGCATTCCACATCCCTCTGGCAAGTGTTGTCAGCTTAGCTAAACTGCTTACTGCTACCATGTTATGGGAGCAAAGTATTGTCATAATCAGCACAAAGATGCTGAACCATGTCTTGCCAGTCACAGTGTGGTATAAGTAGTTTCGTGGCTTACATTCTGCACAAAGAAGCTATCAACAAGTGAGAAAATGCGCACAGGCTTCAAGAATTCCGACAACTGTGTAAAAAAACCTGAGCACAAGGGTGTGTCAGTGTGGCCACTCATGCCTGTTTCTGAGGTGCCTCAAGAATAGAAACCTGGATACAAGGGTTGTTGTTAGTAATTGCCAGCGTCATGCCTGGAGCCCTCTCATCAATGCCTCCACATTGTTCACTTCTGGAGCTGGGGATGCCATGTCCTCCATCCTGAAAAGAACTAGATAGCATTAGCATGGGGAGGACAAATAATAACCTACTTGCGGAAAGTGTTACGATGCAAGAGTTACCGTTGTCTCAATATCTGCTGTCTTGTCAGCACATTCGTGTGCTGTGTGTGATGAGCCCATGGATGGTTGCAGTTGCACACCTGATGATTCAGAATAGAAGACGCCAAGTTCAGAAAAGAAACAGGGCGACGTGAGAGAGTTGAAAAGATGAGACATGCGCAGTCAATCATCGCTCTATGCACATGCGCAAATAGGCTGACCGACCCATGGGCTGTCGAACTTGTCGCATGAGCACTTTGGCCGGGTGCATCTGTGGGACGATGGGTCATGTTCCACGTGCTTGTGCTGCAGGAACGACGGACAGAATTAAGAAAAACAAGACAATTCGTTGGAAAAAAGACGAACAACTGCAAGCAGGAGGAAAGTCACATGGTCAGCAAGCTCTAACTGGCTGCATGCGTAACCAGAAAACATTTGCATATCACATAATGCGGGATGAAGCAGAAAGCTACGCGCCTTGCATCTGCAGCGAAGGATCCAGGAGCCTTGAGCGGGAATGAAGAAGAAGCTCTCGCACGCACACTTGGCTCGTCCGCACACAACCTGGAATAGACCACATGACGACAATCTGGACGGGGAGGACGAGGAGGAGGAGTCTGAAGGGGAATCGCTCGGATTCCCAGGCAGGGAACCTAATTTCTGCAATTCAGGGTTTTTGTCAGACGGCTGAGTGTCGGCCACTTGGTCCGGAGCCATTGCTTCGGAGGAAATATGCTGGTTGAGCGGTTTCAGGCGGTGCTCCCGAAGCCGATGGCCGCAGATGCATTGAGACTCGTCGCGGACAGGAAGACAGCTGCGGTCGCAATCTGTCAGGGAAGCACGAAGGGTCTGCATGGTAGTTAGCCACGCTAGCTTCACATTTGCACCAAAAAAAAAAAAAAAAAAAAAAAAAAACAACAACAACGGATTGTGCGAATGTGAAACTAGAAGGCCCCTGTCGCTTGGGCTCTGGGTGGATAGAAGGCATACCACGGCAAGTCCATGCGAATTTAGCCTTGAGGTCGGCAGAGGCGTCGTTGCTATCCTTACTTTCTGGTTCCGCGTTTGCAGCCTGCTCTACAGATTCTAAACCGCACTGAGCCTTAGCCTCTGCCTCTGCTGGTACGCTAGAAGTGGCCTTAGTAGCCTTGAGATCAACAGATGAGTCCATGCTGTCCGTACTTGATGGTTCCGCGTTTGCAGCCTGCTCTACAGATTCTAAACCGCACTGAGCCTTAGCCTCTGTCTCTGCTGGCACGCCTGAATCGTGTGCCTGACCAGTTGTGACCATGACGCGAAATTACGGGAATGCCAGCACGAGTTATAACTCGCCTTAGCATGCTAAGTCGCGGTCCCTTTTTGTAACGCGGACACGGAATCAGTGCCTGACAGGACGGAGGGAGACCCGTAGAAATGCAATTTTCGCTGATAAGGGAGATGGGAGCTACCAGGCAATCCCAAATTCGCTTTGGCAGAGAGACTCCCGTAATGGCAGACAAACAACTGCAGAGTGGTAGCAAGAAGGGTGGAGGGTGGAGGGTGGAGCAGAAGTCCTCGAAATTGTCGCGGCGGAAGCTCTGTTGTCGCCGCGGTCTGTCAGAAGCTCTTACTGGGGATGCGATGCTTCTGTAGCATGAGTGTTTCGCTAAGAGTACAAAGACGCTACATAATTTCAAAGCTACACGAACCGAACAATTTGACGAACATTAGCATGCCATGTCTACACATAAAGGGCAACTCAAGAGGCAATTCGTACTGTGAAATATCATGCACATGCCATGTCTGCAACAAAATTCTATGAGCTACCTATGGTACCCAGTCGCATCCCTGGAGGCTCGATCCCCATACCCTCCACCACCCCAACTGCCACCTCCACTTGAACGTCTATACCCATGAGGACTCGGCTCATTGCGACCACCACCACCACCTCCACTCCTCCAATCCCCCCCACCACCACCACCTCCACCCCTCCAATCGCCCCCACCAGCATCACCTCCTCCTGACATCCACCGATCACCATCATCGATCACTCGACCTCCAGCAGCAGCAGCCCCAGCCGATGCCCTAACACCACCCATACCAGCAGCAGCAGTGCTTTTCTCCGCAATTTCCAACTCCTTCACTGCTGCTCTCCCCGCTTGCTCCAGAAGCCGCACTGCGCACCCCACCACTCGCCTCTCATTGGCCGGCCGCGGCCCTCCCGCCACCCACCGCCCCAGAATAGAATCCAGCACAGCTCTGAGCTGCAGAAGCAGCTCGCCCACATGCCGATCCACCACGAACTCGATCCAACGGTCCACAACGAGCAGCACAGGCTGGGAGGAGGACGTGGAGGAAAACCCATAACCACTAGCAGGGTACAGGTTACCAGACGAGAACGACCCACCCAGGGGTAGAAACGGGCCTGGGGCAGGAGCAAGGTAAATCGGCCCCCCAAATAGGACGATGGAAAGAGCTGGGATGAGCGTGCAGCCTCGGATGAACACCTGAGATGTCTGAACACGCTCGTTGAAGGTGAGAAAATGCACCCCCCCATCGTCCAATGCCTTGCCCTGCTGTGGTATCACCCCCGTCGGGTGAATCCACACCCGGCCCTCCGAGGTCCGGAATCCGAACCTCAGCCGAACTTTCTGCTTCCCACTGCTGCTGCTGCCCGCACCACCGCCCCTGGCCTCTGGGAGCATATCGGAGCGGGCTATATGGGGGGAGAGGCCGGCAACTAGCACCGAGCGGGCGATAAAGAGCGAGGACTCATCAGTCTCGTCTATTTGGGGCTCGGATTGAGCCGCAGTTGCTTTGTACTCTCGGCTGTCTAGCTGCTCGTCCATGCGCTCGTCCGCCACGCGCACATCCCACCGCGACCTGCGCTGCCGACTCTCACTCTCCTTCTCCCTTTCCTTGTCTCTGTTCTTCTCCCTCTCCCTCTCTCGATCCCTATCCCTGTCCCGATCCCGATCCCGATCCCTATCCCTATCCCTATCCCTATCCCGATCCCGATCCCGATCCCGATCCCGATCCCGATCCCTGTCCCTTTCAGAGCCCCTGTCCTCCCTGTCCCTCCAGCTGTCCCTGCTGCCACCAGCACCCCTGGCATCAACCACCTGTGTCGAGGTGGAGCGAGCATCGATGCGAGTCACATGGCGGATGTCAGGCCTACCAGCAAGCGGAGATGCGCCACCGCCAACACCACCACCGCCACCACCAGCGCCAGCACCAGCACCAGCACCAGCACCAGCACCGCCGGCACCATCGCTACCACCACCACTGCCAGACCGTCCCTCTACCCCCCTACCTCTTCCATTTTCAGACTCCTTCCCATGCCCCAACGTAACCCCCTGAGGCGTTTTAGGCGGCAGGTCAGCATCAAGGGACTCCCCCAAGCGGGCCAGCCCAGCCCCCCATAACATTCGCTCAATCTGCAATTTCAGACCCAGCATCAGGCGCATGCCGGAAGGTGCCAGGAAGTTCTCATCGCAGTATCCCATCGCCCGGCCTTCCATATTCGCCTTCATCCACCCCTCATGGGCCATCACCACCGCTAGATGGTCGCTCCCCGCTGCCGAACCTGCCGCGAAGGCTCGGCGCGCAGCATCGGCGGCATTGCGGTTGGTGATCGGTGCGAGGAACGGGTCGCGGGAGAGGGAAGCAGCCGCAGCGACAGAGAGGAGAGGAGAAAGACAGTGCAGGAGGGAGCCGTAGACGAGCATCTTGCCGATCCGAGGGTGCACAGCGAGCCGGCTGAGCGTCGATCCAAGGGCTGTGAGCTCTTCGTCTTCGTCCAGAGCTCCTAGCCTCTGGAGATTCTCGATTGCGTGGCGCACTGCGAAGGGGTCCGGGGGAGAGAGAGCCTTGGCGAGAAAGAGGCCGATGTTTGTGCTGCGATGGACAGAGGAGGAGGAGGGGATGGAGGAGGAAGGGAAGGAGGAGGAGGGGTGGGAGGAGTAGGTTTGGGAGGTGACGGCAGCTGCGAGGGGGAGCGGTTTGATCTGCAGGCAGATTTCTTCGAGGGGCACTCGCTGCATCTCAGGGACTGAGTTGGGAGCCATGGCTTCATACACCTGTGCTTGGAGGGAAGGAGAGGGGTAGGGGTAAGCGGGGGTGAGTAAACGGGGGTGAGTAAACGGGGGTGATCGGAGGTGGCAGTGGCTAGGAAGAGGAGTTTGATCTGAAGGCAGATCTCTTCGAGGGGCACTCGCTGCATCTCAGGGACTGAGTTTGGAGCCATGGCTTCATACACCTGTGCTTGGGGGGAAGGAGAGGGGTAAACGGAAGCGATGCAGAGAATTACTTTCCCGCCACCAGTAATTCGCTGTAGTTTTTAAGTGCTAGCACAACAGAATGAGTTGGAAAGTACCAGTGGTCGCACTGTGCGAGTGAGTGGCGTCTCACAGTGCGAGATTGTGGCATCTCACTGTGCGAGTGAGTGGCATCCCACCGTGCTTGGAAGGTATCAGCTGGTCTCACCGTGCGAGTGAAGAGGCGGAAGCATTTTCCCGGCCGCACGCGCCCCGCTCTGCCCTGCCTCTGCTTGACACTGGCCTTGGACGCCCACTGCACGCGCATGGACGAGATGTTCCTCGCCGGCTCAAAGTACTTCTCTTTGGACTTGCCGCCGTCCACCACAAAAACCACGTCGTCTATAGTCACACTCGTCTCAGCGATGTTGGTCGATAAAATCACCTGCCAAGGGGAGGCGTGAGGATAGACAGAGAGAAAGAGAACAGAACTATTAACTGCCGGAATACCTGTTTACAAGCATGTTACACCACTATCACCACGCATTCACACTCATAACCGGCATCTTGTGCTTTCCTTTTGGGGAGCATACGATCACAGGCTGCTCTCTTCCCTTCCAACCCTTTGAACCAGAAAACCGCACCATCACACCCATCAGCATCACATTCACCGCCATTAAAGGGTTGGAATCACGTTACCTTGCGCTTTCCCTCTGGAGGGCGATCAAACGCTAATTTTGAGGCGCCAAAAAAATTGACTCCTCATTAAAGGGTTGGAATCACGTTACCTTGCGCTTCCCCTCTGGAGGGCGATCAAACGCTAATTTTGAGGCGCCTCAAAAATAGACTCCTCATTAAAGGGTTGGAATCACGTTACCTTGCGCTTTCCCTCTGGCGGGCGATCAAACGCTAATTTTGAGGCGCCTCAAAAATAGACTCCTCATTAAAGGGTTGGAATCACGTTACCTTGCGCTTTCCCTCTGGCGGGTGATCAAACGCTAATCTCTGCTCTGCTGGCGGCACCTGCAAGGCGCGGTTGGGGGGGGGAGGGGGGGGGGGGGAAGGGGGGGAGGAAAAGGGGGGGAAACGGATATTTGAGGTGCCTAGAAAATTGGCTCTGCTGGTGGCGCCTGCAGGGCACACTGCATGGCAGGCACAGCAAGCGAGAGGGGGGGAAAGGATGGTAGGGTAGCAGGGAGGAAGGAGGTACACAGGGAATAATGAGGAGGAGGAACAAGAGAGGAGCAGGGAGGAATGAGGAGGCACAAGAGCGGAGCAGGGAGGAATGAGGAGGACCAAGAGCGGAGCAGGGAGGAATGAGGAGGCACAAGAGAGGAGCAGGGAGGAATGAGGAGGCACAAGAGCGGAGCAGGGAGGAAGAGACAAGAGCACAAGGGCTGCTCAACTTGAACAGGACATACAAGAGTGCAGCATACAAGAGTCGACACACTCGATAAAGCAGTGCGGTTGAAGCACGACAACGATCACAAGTTGTGCACATGTAGAACAGGACATACAAGAGTGCAATGCAACATAAGCTCACCTGCGAGTGCAGCATGACGATGTGGAAGCGGGAGGAGCCTGGGAGGAACTGCAGCTGGCGCTTGGCTTCAGCTATGGTGTCCCAGCCCTGTGCATGTGGGAACAATGTGGCATGGCATGGGACGGCATGGCATGGCATAATCAACTATGGTGGCCTGGCATGGCATAATCAACTATGGTGGCATGGCATATTGATGGCATGGCATGCAATTGGTACGTCAGTCAGTGGCTTCGGGCTATGGTGTCCGAGCCCTGTGCTTACACACACCATGGAATGCATACACACACCATGGAATGCATACACACACCATGGAATGCATCCACACACCATGGAATGCATCCACACACCATGGAATGCATCCACACACCATGGAATGCATACACACACCATGGAATGCATACACACACCATGGAATGCATCCACACACCATGGAATGCATACACACACCATGGAATGCATCCACACACTATGGAATGCATCCACACACCATGGAATGCTTACACACACCATGGAATGCATACACACACCATGGAATGCATACACACACCATGGAATGCTCATCAGCAGCATAAGTCATGGTGCTACGGCCATAAAAAATGGCACAGGAAGGCGAGACAGAGAGACACCCTTGGGGTGGCAGGGGAAGGGATACGACCCTCAGGGAGGGAGGGAGGGAGAGTGGAGCAAACGAATGACGGAGGGGAGGGAGAGTCAACCACAGGGAAATAGCAGAAATAGGAGCCGACTTCCCTCGAATACTCGTCATCCACCCACGCCACCCAGTTAGCAAACGAGTTCAGGCCAGTTTTCCACACCAAAAGATTGTCATTTTCAGGCAGGACGAAGAGAATGGACGGACCCATCCTCTCTCCGGCACTCCTCATCCAACCACGCGCCACCAAGTGACTCTCAAGCAGGGGTGAATAGGTTGGATGAAAATTGACTTACAGGCAGGAAGCAGAGGATAGACCCGTCTTCCCTCGAATACTCGTCATCTACCCACGCCACCACCCTCGCTGCCAGCTCAGCATCGAGCTCGTCCTCGTCAGCGGACCCGTACTTGGGGCCCAGGGCCTTGTGCACCACAGGGGGCGCGTATCGGCCCATGAGGGGGGGGAGATCGTCCAGGGAGTGCACTGACACGGGGTGGATGAACCCAGGGATGGCGAGCATGGGGCAGTGGTGGAAGTAGCTGGGGGGGGGGAAGAGGGGGATGGAATGGAGCAACAGGGAGGAATGCAGGGAAGGGTTTGAGGCACCAAAACGTGCACCACAGGGGGCTCGTCCTCGTCAACGGACCCGTACTTGGGGCCCAGGGCCTTGTGCACCACAGGGGGGGCGTATCAGCCCATGAGAGGGGGGAGATCGTCCAGGGAGTGCACTGACACGGGGTGGATGAACCCAGGGATGGCGAGCATGGGGCAGTGGTGGAAGTAGCTGGGGGGAGTGGGGAATGGGGCAAGAGAGAGGCGGCCAGGTAAGGGTTTGAGGTGGCTTGTGCACCACAGGGGGCGCGTAGTGGGGAGGAGATCGTCAAGGGAGTGCATTGACATGGGATGGATGAAGCCAGGGATGCTCAGCATGGGGCAGTGGAGGAAGTAGCTGAAAGGGGGGGGAGAAAGGATAAGGGGAGGATCGCGGCCCGGGCAGATCGTCGATGAAATGCACTGACAAGGGTTGGATGAAGCCAGGGATGGAGGCACGGGGCAGTGGACTGTGGAGGGAGTAGGTGGAGGGGGGAAGATGGACAGAAGAAGGATAGTGGGAAGAAGGGGGGCGGTGGAGGGTGGGAGTCGGGGGAAACGGGTGAGATGACATGGGAAGAACCAAGATGAATGACGATCAAGGGAGGATTTTGAGAACGCCAAGAAGGAACAAGGAGGAGAACGAGGAACTAGGAACGAGGACAAGGGGAGTAAATCTACCCCAACTGCAGCAACAAGAGAAAAGGAGCCAATGATGCAACTCTACAGAAGGTCAGGCAGACAGACATGTGACGCATTGGTGCCAGGTTTTGAGGCGCCACAAAACAGATCCGCGATGCCGTGCCGCCAGCTCGCTCACTCGTCCCATCCCGGCCAACAACGGTCGGTCTAGTGTAGCCAGAAGCTGAAGCAGCCACCTCCTTCTTCTCATCTCCCCAGCTCACGAGGCTCAGCAGCAGCAGCAGCAACCGCAGTGGCAGCAAATGGCTGTTCAGCGGGATCAGCAGCATAAGAGGAGCTGTCGCCTGAATACACCATCTGCTGCCACTGCCACTGCCGCTGCCGCTGTCCCGGGCACTGCTGCTGAGCCTCCCAGCGGCAAAGGAGCTGGGAGCAGGTGAGAGGAAGGAGGCCGCTGCCCGAGAGGCTGACTGAGAACGGGACGAGTGAGCGAGCTGGTGTCACGCAAGGGGGAACAGGGGGGAGGCGCAGGCTGGCTAGATTAAGCATAATCGGCTAATTAAGGAAGATGCGACGCGACATTGCTAAAAAACAAAGGCAGAAAAAAAAGGCGGTGACCTTTTTGGAGTAGCAACACAGAGGTTCAAAAATAACTATTTGCTACAATTGGTCAAATCCTTTTCCTACTAACCCCATCCTTGCCCCTCGTGCACACGCCCTGGCCCTTGTTACCTTAAAAAAGGTGTGGGGGGTGAGAGAGTGTGGCAGCAAGAGGGGGAAGAGTGCGGTAGCAAGATTCAAGCTCGGAACAACTTGTTCACTGGCAGAGGACCATCGTCAAAAGTGGCGCTTATGATGGTCACACAGATGCGGCGGTAGTGTGCAGTGCAGTGGGAAGGCAATTTCATGGCTCTGGCTAACAAGCAAGGGTATCGTGACCAGTGAAAAGAGCAGCGTCATCAGTGACGCTCATGATGCCCACGCAAATGTGGTGGTGTGTGGTGGTGTGCGGTGGCCAACACATGCATGTCCATCGCTAGCAGCAAACAGGCGTTAGAATTTTACCTGGTGTGTGGATCAGCATCGATGGTGGTGGCGATCAGCTCATGATGACGACGCGGAAGCGGGCGGGCGTGCATGGCCACATTTTACTCAGTTTACGTTGCGTTGCTTTGCGGTCAACGGGTACTGTAACTCACTTGTGAAGTGATCAGCATCGATGGTGGCACTCTTGATGACCACATGGATGGAAGCAGGCGTGCATGGCAGGGGACGAGTCACGACAGCATCTTTTGAGTCGACTCAAAAGGACGACAGCCTCTGCTTGAGCACTATGAGAAGGAAGTTTGTATCCACGTCCCTCTCATGGGATGAGGTACGAGGTGCATGAGAGTCACATGTCCCTCGCAAGGGAAGCGCATGGCACACCTGGTGAAGAGGTCAGCGTCTATAGTGGCGCTCACGATGACCACGGGGATGCGATGTTGTGCGGTGGAGAGCACCTGGCTCTGACTAACAGAGACTCCAGCCACCTACCTGGTGAAGAGATCAGCGTCAATAGTGGCGCTCATGATGACCACGGGGATGCGGTGGTGCGCGGTGGAGAGCACCTGGCTCTGACTAACAGAGACTCCAGCCACCTACCTGGTGAAGAGATCAGCGTCAATAGTGGCGCTCATGATGACCACGTGGATGCGGTGGTGCGCGGTGGAGAGCATCTGCTTGAGCACGATGAGTAGGAAGTCTGTGTCCATGTCCCTCTCATGCACCTCGTCCACGATCACGTGGCTCACGCCCTCCATGCCCTCTGGGCTCTGGGGGATGGGAATGATGGGAATGATGGGAATGATGGGAGTGATGGGAGTGATGGGAATGATGGGAGTGATGGGAATGATGGGAGTGATGGGAGTGATGGGAATGATGGGAATGATGGGAATGATGGGAATGATGGGAATGATGGGAATGATGGGAATGATGGGAATGATGGGAATGATGGGAATGATGGGAATGATGGGAGTGATGGGAGTGATGGGAATGATGGGAATGATGGGAATGATGGGAATGATGGGAGTGATGGGAATGATGGGAATGATGGGAGTGATGGGAATGATGGGAATGATGGGAATGATGGGAATGATGGGAATGATGGGAGTGATGGGAATGATGGGAATGATGGGAATGATGGGAATGATGGGAGTGATGGGAATGATGGGAATGATGGGAATGATGGGAGTGATGGGAATGATGGGAATGATGGGAATGATGGGAATGATGGGAATGATGGGAATGATGGGAATGATGGGAATGATGGGAATGATGGGAATGATGGGAGTGATGGGAATGATGGACGGAGGACAGGTTAGTGAGGGAAGGAAGCACCAGTGTCCCTCTCATGCACCACGCCCACTACCACGTGGCTCACGCCCTCCATACCCTCTGGGCTCTGAACGATAGAGGATGGATGGATGATGGGAGATGGGAGGGATGAGAATGATGGATGGGATCAACCACCCAGCACAGCCCATGCTCTTCCTACTGAGGCAAGGACAAACCAGCACAACCCATGCCCCACACACCACACGCACCTGCATTCGTCGCAGCAGAATCCCAACAGTGCAGAAGAGAATGCTGCCTCTGGCTCTGGGCGGGTTGCTGTCCAGCCGAATGCGATACCCCACACTGTCTCCCAACGCCTCGCCCCTCTCCCATGCCACACGCTCCGCCACACTGCGGGGAGGGATGAGCGCAAGAGGGGAGGATGGAAGGGACGGGGATCAGATGAGCCGTGCCCAACTGAATGCCGCACCCCACACTGCTGCTTAATGCTTCACCCCTCTCCCATGCCACACGCTCTGTCCCACTGGAAAGGGGGGATGAGGATACAACGCGAATGGGGGAATAGAACAAGAAGCGTTGAGAAAAAGAGGATAGGGCCAAGGGAGCGAGCGTCAGAGCTGCTATGGGGAAACGAACGGGGGTAGACAAAGAAGGCACTATAACGGTGCCATAGCAGCAGCACTACACCTAGTGGAGTTGACAAGGAAGAAGCGTACCTCAAAGCTGCAATTCTGCGAGGCTGCGTGACTATGATGTGCGTGCTGCTAGCGCTGCCATTTCGCTCCGAATCTTCCAGGATGAACTGAGGGACCTGGAAACAGACAAGGAAGTAGAACCATCAGGTGAGTGGAGAAACATTTTTGAGGCCCCTCAAAAATAGACTCCTTTTGAGGCGCCTAAAAAATAGACTCCTTTTGAGGCGCCTCATAAATAGACTCCTTTTGAGGCGCCTAAAAAATAGACTTCCAGGATGAACTGAGGGACCTGGAAACAGACAAGGAAGAGGAACCATCAGGTGAGTGGAGAAACACATTGCGTGTCACAACGCAACGCAACACATGGCAGAGCAAGCAATCTGCATGTGAAGGTGGAAACAGACTCAGAATATGACTTTGCAGGGTGTTTTTGAGAATTCTCAAAAACACCCTCAGAATATGGCATTCCGCTACCTAAGTGGTCTTCCACAGCCAGTTTCCCCCCGCAATCAGCAACACTTCATTCTCCCGCACCATCCTAGCAACCTCATCTCTCTCCTTCCATGCTTGAAACCGCCCCAAACCCACTCCACTCACCTGAGTGGTCTTCCCACAGCCAGTTTCCCCCACGATCAATGACACTGGATTCTCTCGCACCAACCTCACTACCGCATCTCTCTCCTTCCACGCAGGCAGCCTCTCCCTCGCCCTCCACCTCTCCCCCATTTCCCTTGCCGTGCTCCTCCTCTCAGCCGCCAATCTGAACCGTTCATCCAGGTAAGGGTCCCTCGGGTACGGTCCAGATACGTCCAATGCTGCTGCTGCTTTAGAGGCAGACGAAGCACTTGCGCTGGAGCCAAGGGTGGTGGTGGAAGGGATAGCAGCGGAGGGTGGGTGGAGCGAGGAGGAAGGGTAGGGGAGGGAGGAGGAGGAGGAGGGGAGGGTACCAGTGGAGTGGGGGCGAGGTAGCAGGCCGGTGTCGTGTGTGGTGGAGTGGGGGGGTTGATAGGGGAGAGGAGGAGAGTGGGAGGGAGGGGGTAGAGGCGGAGGTTGGGGGAGACTGGAGTGGAATTCGGAGAGGACGGACTCGAGGAGGGTGATGTCTGATGGGGCGAGGGAGAGGCGGGGGGTCTGGTTGGGAGGCACAAAGTAGGGAAGACACGGGAATGGGGATGGAGTGGAGGATAGAGGGAGAAGAACGAACTGAGTGCAAAGTTTTGAGGCGCCTCAAAACTAGACTTCTATCACGCGGTTTTGAGGCGCCTCAAAACTAGACTTCTATCACGCGGTTTTGAGGCGCCTCAAAACTAGACTTCTATCACGCGGTTTTGAGGCGCCTCAAAACTAGACTTCTATCACGCGGTTTTGAGGCGCCTCAAAACTAGACTTCTATCACGCGGTTTTGAGGCGCCTCAAAACTAGACTTCTATCACGCGGTTTTGAGGCGCCTCAAAACTAGAAAGAACTGGGTGCAAAGTGGAAGATACGGACTGAATTCGGAGAGGATGGACTCAACGAGGGTGATGTCTGAGGGATTGAGGGAGAGGGGGGGGGGGGGAGTTCTGGATGGACGCATAAGAGCAATGAAAGGATGGGGGTTGGGATGCGCGGATTGGGTCAGCAGTTTCTGCAAGATTGGAGCATTCTGAAAGTGAACTTGATCAGCAAGCTTCTCCCCAGCCATCCCTCCTCCCCAAACCTCTCTCTCCTCCCCAAACCTCTCCCACAGGTGTGCATGCATGCCCCCACACACATGCACACAAATGCATGGACGCACATGCACGCGCACACATACACGCGCACGTACCCACACGCGCACACATACACGCGCACGTACCCACACGCGCAAAACCACGCGCACACGCACACGCACGCACACATGCACACCCACCCACATGCACTCTCCCCCACACACGCACGAGCGCACGCACACGCGCACACGCACGCACACGCGCACACGCACGCACATGCGCACACGCACGCACACGCGCACACACATGTCCCTGATCCTTGGCCAGCATGCCTGCCGCACCACCACCCCCACTCTGCCCAAGCCAGCATGTGAATGCCTGAGCAGCCCGAGCTCGTGCAGCCGCTCACACGCTGCCACACCATACTCGCACATGCCCACACCCACGCCCACGCACACACACAACACAATACAAGCACTCGTGCCCGCACGCACGCACCTGTCCCTGCTCCTTTCCCAGCATGCCTCCACTGCCGCCACCACTTTGGCCCATGCCAGCAAGGGAAGACGAGGAGGCGCTCGCACGGCGCCACACACACACACGTCCACACAGACACACAGCATAAACACACGTGCACGCACGCACGCACCTGTCCCTGCTCCTTTCCCAGCATGCCTCCACCGCCGCCACCACTTTGGCCCATGCCAGCAAGGGAAGACGAGGAGGGGGCCTTCAATAGCCCCAGCTCGTGCAGCCTTTCACATGCCGCCACACAGCAGCTCCTCTCCGCGTCCGCCTTGTTGCGCCCCCTTCCCCTCGCCACCCACACCTGCCCGCCGCCCCTCGCTAAAGGCACGTCTAGCTCTGCGTAAAACACCTGGGGGAGGAAGGCGGGAGGGGGGTAACGGGGGAGGGGGGAGGGGGGAGGGGGGAGGGGGGGGAGGGGGAGAGGAGGGGGTGGTAAAGGGTGTTCGGGTTGGGTCGGGGGGAGATTAATTTAAGGGAGGGGATACACTGGGTGGATGTGCCCGCCTTTGGTGGTAGGCGTGTCCGGCCGGCTCCACTCTAAAAAACGGTGAAAGGGGAGGGGGGAAAGAGGGAGGGGCTGCAAGGCCAAGGTGAGAGAGGACAACATACCATGCCATGGTAAGGGCCTGTGAATCTGTGATAGTAATCTAGCTTTGAACCGTCTCAAAACTGGACAACATACCATGCCATGGTCGGGGCTTGTGATAGTTATCTCGTTTTGAAAGGTCGCAAAACGTGGACGACGTGCCTTGCCATGGTCGGGGCCTGCAGAGGAGACTCGGATTGTTGAGCTTCTGCCCCTTGTTGACGATCCAGTCCTTGAACACCGCACAGTGCTGCAAGAGACTCATACAATTCGCAGCCCACACTAGATTGCGAGGCGAGGGGGGGAGAAATGACGACGTGCCTTGCCATGGTCGGGGCCTGCAGAGGAGACTCGGATGTTGAGCTTCTGCCCCTTGTTGACGATCCAGTCCTTGAACACCGCACAGTGCTGCAAGAAATTCTTGGGGTTCTCAGCCCACACGGATGACAGCCCACCTCCTCCTCCCCCTCCTCCTCCACCCCCCCCTCCTCCTCCCCCTCCCCCTCCCCCTCCTCCTCCTCCTCCTCCTCCTCCTCTTGGTCCGGACCCACTGCCTGTGATGACCGCAAGGGGAGGAGCTGCTTCTTCAGGCAGCCGTAGCAGATCCAGATCCTGAGGGAGGGGGAGAGGAGGGAGGGAGATCAGCACCAAGGAGACTTTTGAGTCGACTCAAAAGTCGGCCCGTAACAAGTTCACACACGGAACTTCTGCTTCTTCAGGCAGCCATAGCAGATCCAGATCCTGGGGGAGGGGGAGAGGAGGGAGGGGGATCAGCACCAAGGAGACCTTTGAGTCGACTCAAAAGTCGGCCCGTAACAAGTTCACACACGGAACTTCTGCTTCTTCAGGCAGCCGTAGCAGATCCAGATCCTGGGGGAGGGGGAGAGGAGGGAGGGGGGTCAGCACCAAGGAGACTTTTGAGTCGACTCAAAAGTCGGCCCGTAACAAGTTCACACACGGAACTTCTGCTTCTTCAGGCAGCCGTAGCAGATCCAGATCCTGGGGGAGGGGGAGAGGAGGGAGGGGGGTTAGCACCAAGGAGACTTTTGAGTCAACTCAAAAGTCGGCCCATAACAAGTTCACACACGGAACTTCTGCTTCTTCAGGCAGCCGTAGCAGATCCAGATCCAGGGGGAGGGGGAGAGGAGGGAGGGGGATCACCACCAAGGAGCGGGAGCGAGTTGATGACATACAGCCACGCCACGCCCACATCATATAACCATATCTGCACATGAGACCTTGCAAGTAACAAAAAAATACAAGAGCGCACATAGGCGCGTGCGTATAGGCATCAATGGCCGTGGTATGGTAGCTGATGAGACGTATGGAAGCAACAGCACATGAGAAGAGCTGTCCCGAAGTAACAAAAAGTCATCCAGCTAACTGAGACACACACTAAGGCCAGGAATGACTTTTCAAACCCGATCTGAATCAATACCGTCTTTGCAAGAGACCCCCATCCCCCTTCCCCTCAAGCCAATAAGAAATAGGAACAAAAATAACAATGATAGTAGTAGTTAGCTTAATAATGATATTAATCATCATGACACACCTTAAGATGGAAGCATGCGTCTATGGCGCACTGCCGTTCGGCCTCCTTCCTCGTCCTTGATGTTCCCCTGGCCGTGAAGCTCGTGCGCTCCTGAGAGGTCCACGGGGTTGACACAGGACAGAGTACGTGTGAAAATTCATCGATCGAGTCTCTAGCTAATACCATGTAATTGTCTATGCGACGGATTCCAAACGCATATATCGCTACGCAGTAACAACGTCGTAAGCCCTTATCCCCCTCTTCTTCCAGCTCTCCTACAGTTTCCAATTGAACCGGCCCATTCCACACGGGTCCTTACTTACGTCGACGATCACGCGAATCTGCACGGAAACGTCACCGCCACGTGTCGGTCCCGGAGCGAGCACAAACGGCAGGCTCTTATCCGTGTACCGACCGTGAAACACGGGACTGGCCGCCAGAAGAATCTTAGGGTTTCCCTGGATCATCGCGTCCAGCTTTCCCGCTCGTTTCCGTTTTAACCCGACATCAGCGCCGGGACAAGGCCCCCTGAATCGCTCTGACGTGGAAAGCTGCGCGAAGGATCGCATGGTGCCTTGAATCTGCGAAACCGGGGGAGGAGGAGGACCTATTATCGAGGATGACGAGTACGGGTAACCATATGGCTGCTGTCCTTGCTGCTGCTGCTGCTGCTGTAGCTGCTGAAGCTGATTGTAGGGTATTGACGCAGGTCCACTCCAGGGGTCCGTTTCCATGCTACACGGCCGGTTTCGCCTCGCTGAAGCCAAGCTCTTAGAATTCCAGATAAGAGTTACACTCGAGTCAGTCCGCGGCTCCGTAAAGCGAATGCGAGAGAGGTGACCATAACGACTGGATGATGAGAATCGAAGATTCAGAAATCATGGTAAGCCCTGCGATCATCTAGCCCTGCGCAATCTTGAAGAGCACTGTGGCATTTCCTAGGCAGGAACCAAACCCAGTATTCCTGGGACGTATTTTCCGCTTGCTAATCATTCCGTCACGTTCCAGATCTTTTCGTGCTGCCATTATGGGGAGAGCATAATAAACATTTCACTTTCACAATAATGCACTAGTTTCAGCTAAGTTTTTGTTCAATCATTCAGGATTGAAATATGGATTCTACCTGCTTTCAATATTTATAAATTATTACACGGGAGCTGAATTTTTGTAATCACACCTTCGTATGAGCACTTCAATGTAATAAATATACCATAGGGTATTGAAAAGGCATGAATCGACTAGATGCATGAGAATCTGCACCCGAAAATGCACTGCAAACGGAACTCTTTTATTTGAATACCGCCTCATGATCCTTTAAACTTCGGATCCTGCTTTTCCGTCTCCTCTCTTCCTTACAAGGCAAGGCAGCACGAATCACCCCCCTGGGATTTGTTTCTGACCCTAGGCTTCTAGCCATGGCTTCCCTAGCAGATTGGTGGATGAACACCAGTTGCCCTGTCGCTGGCCTCCCCTCACTGCGTGCTGTTGCGATCCTCTCAGCCTACGTAGCATTTCTCATAGTCGCAGGCGCGATACTGCCAGGAAAAGTTTTCCCTGGTACAGTGCTCTCCGATAGTACTCGCCTGCATTACAAATGCAACGGCTTCCGCGTTCTCCTCCTCCTCCTCGCTCTCCTGGGCTACGGCGTCCAATCCGGCCATCTATCAGCAACCATTGTCGCCGATCTTGCTGGCGAACTTTTCGCGACGACTTTCGCCTTCACTGTACTCCTCTCGCTCGCTCTCTACCTCGCCGGACTCCTGTCAAGTAACGCCAAATCTTCTTCCTTGAAGCCGAAGTTCCATGGCAACTTTATCAGCGATTTCATCTACGGAGTGCAGCTAAACCCGTCCGTGTTCGGAATAGATCTCAAGTTCTTTTGCCTCCGACCCGCCATGATGGGATGGCTTCTTATCAACCTCTCGATCGCAGCGAAGCAGCATGATCTTCTGCTGAAATCTCCCGACCACTCACACGCCATCACACTCGCCTCGCTGAACCTCACCTCCATTCTTCCCGCCAGCATCGCCAGCAGCAGCATCGCCACCCTCCCTATAATCACAGTCCCCATGTTCCTGTACCAGGTCTTCACCGCTATCTATGTCCTGGACTATTTCTGGTTCGAAGAGTACATGACATCCACGTGGGACATTATCGCCGAGAACTTCGGGTTCATGCTGGTCTTTGGGGATCTGATCTGGATCCCTTTCACCTTCTCCGTCCAGGCATGGTGGTTACTCGCTCACGGCACTGCTCGCGACAGTATCGCAGCCAGCGTTTCTATGCCGTTCGCTATTGTCACAGTCGCGGTTTTCGTTATAGGCTACGCTGTCTTCCGCGGCGCCAACCGCCAGAAGCACATATTTAAGCACGACCCGACAGCTAAAATCTGGGGTAAAACACCCCGGGTTGTTGGCGGCAGACTGCTGGTGTCTGGCTACTGGGGCATTGCTCGCCATTGCAACTACCTGGGAGATCTGATGCTGGCTCTCTCTTACAGCCTGCCCTGTGCTTTCTACTCCCTCTGTCCTTACTTCTACCCTATCTATCTGCTCACCCTGCTGCTCTGGAGAGAGCGCCGGGATGAGGCTCGGTGCCGAGCCAAGTACAAGGAGGTCTGGAAGGAGTATTGCAGGATTGTGCCCTGGCGCATTGTGCCCTTCGTATATTAGGTGGTGTCAGAAGGATAGGGTTGGGGGGGCAAGTAGATCTTGGGTAGTGCACCAAGACATATCAAGACCTGTGTGTAGGGTTTTATGTCTGGGGTGGTGTAACTTGGTTTGACAATAGGGCTTGCGTTCTGTTACCACCAACGACAAACATGTGTCTGCTTTGATGATGAACAGGCGTGTAAATGGGCTAGTTTCGGAACTTCTTTGTATTCTGGCAAATGTAGGCTCATCAAATCAAAGCAGCTCAAGAAGAACAGCCTCGTAGTTGCTTGATCCATTGTTGATCAGATCCACACCATCCATTGGCTGCCAGTACATACTTGCTCCCGCTTCCCTCATCTCCTTCCAGATGGAACCACCATTACCAGACTCAGAAATGCAGCCATCAGAAAGTGAGCTCCCATCCGTGAGTGATATCCACACACCATGAAAGGGAATGGCATGCTTTCCTGTGCTCTGGCCGGGTTGCAGAGTGAGACAGTGGATGGCAAAGTCAGGCCACTCGCCTCTCTTGTCTCGCTCCCAGCCAATCCCGGTCAGAGCTGTACCCTTGAGAGCACTTATTAACTCCTGCGGCTCTACCCCTAGAGGCACACTCGCGTCGGCTGTGGTAGAAACTGCTGCTGCTTCTGGGCCTGGCTTAGTCGGAAACACCTCAACCGCGACTATGTACATGGGCTCTGGATTACTTTGGAGGGAAATTACCCTGTGAATTTCTGGATGAGTGGTGTAGCTCGCGCAGAAACCCACGCGGCTGGGTAGGGAGGTATCGCGCCATTCCTGGCCGTAGATCTGCTTGCGATAGGAACCGCCGCTAACAGCGATGAAATATGTGTTGCACGCATGCCGGTGGAAGAGAGTGGCGGCTCCTGCTGGGATTGAGGCTGAGAAAACGCGGACGCGATCGTTGGAAAATACTATTTTATGAAACGGCTCTTCCTCTATTTCCACTACAGGATCCTCGGATGCCATGGCTCCCGTGTTGGCTCCTAATACGTGCCTAGAAATAGCTTGATACGGTATGCAGAGCAGAGGAGTGGAGTGCAGTGGATGGTGTTGAACTTGATGGCATTCCTCCGCTAGTAGCAGCTCCACCAAGAGCCCCTTGTTCCTTGTTAGTCAAGCGTCAGGTAACGTGGAAATCGGGTGGTCGCATTGGTAGGATGTCGTGTTGCATTTTGATTGGTTTCGAACGAGGTATTTCTCGTCTCGTGCGGGCCTGTTCAGTACGTAAGTACGTAGTCAGTAGAAACTGTGCTATATAAGATTCAGCTTTATGTCGATCTGGTGTCATGATGATAACAGCTCGTAAGCATGAAAAAGTTACTTATGATTCCTCAATAGTCTTGACACGAACTTTATTTGCTCAATCAGATCAGCATAGCCACCTGGTGGCGCTTGATGCAGAATACAAAACACGACCCACGACTCGCGATTGCGTGTACAAGCTCAAGATGAATGGGTGAACCTCGAGCTTTGGCAGAAGTCAGCAACAGAGAATTCGAGGTTCCTTCTCGGGGTTCATTCATCGCCCCATCCCACACAAACCACCTTACAATTCAATTATCCACAGCCACACACACACGGACCAGAGCAGAATTCACCGCCAGAGCACGAGCTTTGGAAGTCAGCCAATCACGCAGGCCACGTCGCCGACGAGACCTAGAGTTAGCTCTTCTTCGCTCAGGGAATCTGAAGTGAAGGACGCATTCGGATTAGCGAATTCGTGAAGGTCGTTGCGTCTAATCGGCTTCACAGACAGCTGGCGCGAAGACCGCAATCAGGGCCATGGCTTCCACAATGCGGACTCTCTCGATTCAGCTGCTCCCGAAAGCGCTCGACAGTATCGTGGTGTCGCGAGATGCGGCAGGAAGTGACCGCGATTGTTCACGAGCTCAGCAATTCAGGTTGTCGCATCCGGCGCGTCGCATTCTCATCGCTCTCGTCGCATCCCCTTCGCAAACCTTTGTCAAATCTCCATGCACAGAGCCCACGCACTGAAAATTCCTGTCGCATTCCGTTCGCAAAGCTCCGTCGCATTCGTCGCACTGGAGCATCCTCGTCGCATTCCGCTCGCAAATCTCCGCTGCATGCACTGCATTGAAACATCCTCGTCATAGCCCGGCAACATCTCCTCTCGCTTCCCGCTTCCTTTCCTCTCGCGTTCCTCGCACTTCCTCTCGCTCTCCTCCCGCTCTCCTCCCGCTTTCCTCCCGCTTTCCTCTCCGCCAGTCTCATCTCATTCGTCCACGCCCTCTCACATTCGCCCATGCGCGGCTCTCCCGTTCTTTCCCACTGGACGGGAGCACCTTCGTTAACCGTTACTTCTATTCACCCCTCTTAACGTGCGTCCCTCAGGTCTCCTTTCACAAATCAGACTCTCGCAAGGCGTGCATCCCACGCTGCTTCCAGAAGGACCGCTCTTTCCGGCGCTCTCCGCTCCAATCTGGAAACCCCTCGAAATCTCCGTGGCTCTGATCAAACCCTCGCAAGGCGTGCATCTCTCGCCGCGTCCAGAAGAATTCCTCTCTTCAGCACGCGTCGGCCTGGTCTGCGGACCCCTCAGAGCAGGAAAGGAGAGTCCAAGGCGGTGAGGGCAGCAGCGGTGGCGACAGGAGAGGAGGGGGAGAGTTCGGAGTGTGTGGCTGGCGATCGCCCTCCGTTCGACCTCAACTTGGCTGTGCTGCTGGCGGGATTCGCGTTCGAATCTTACAACACCCCTCAGGTGTGTGCAGTGCACGATGGCACAGTGGTGGGGCACGATGTGACACAGGAGGACTATGTTATGATGCATGCTCTCAGTTCGACCTCAACTTGGCTGTGCTGCTGCTGGCGGGATTCGCGTTTGAATCTTACAACACCCCTCAGGTGCGTTGTGGCAGCAACCTTTAGATGAAAGAAAGAGAAGGAAAAACATTTCTATGAGCCATTTTGATCCGGACTGAGTGCAAGCCCTCCGTTTGATCTCAACCTGGCCGCGCTGCTGGCGGGATTCGCCTTCGAGCCGTACGACACCCCTCCTCTCATAGGAGCAAAAGGAGACTCTATACAAGGAGACTCTATAGGAGGAGATTCTATAGGAGGAGACTCTATACGAGGAGACTCTATACGAGGAGACTCTATACGAGGAGACTCTATACGAGGAGACTCTATACGAGGAGACTCTATACGAGGAGACTCTATACGAGGAGACTCTATACGAGGAGACTCTATACGAGGAGACTCTATACGAGGAGACTCTATACGAGGAGACTCTATACGAGGAGACTCTATACAAGGAGACTCTATACGAGGAGACTCTATACGAGGAGGCTCTATAGGAGGAGGCTCTATAGGAGGAGGCTCTATAGGAGGAGGCTCTATAGGGGTTGTCACACTCACCACTTGTCCTTCCTCGCTCTTCCATTCGCTTCCTCGCTGCTTTCCCTGGTGACAGGAGCAGAAGGAGACCCTGTGGGAGGAGGACGTTGGGGGCTGCCGCACCATCTTCACATCCTACGGCTTTGCTTACGAGCTCTACTCCGGCCAGCTCGTCGTGACCGTCCAATCCGCCTCCAACGTGCCAGCCGTTGATCTCTGGGTGGGTGCCTGCCAGCCGTTAATCTTTGGGTGGGTGCCTACCAGCTGCCTATCTCTGGATGGGTGGCATGCCAGCCTGGCGCTTTGACCACATTGTAGGATGGACGCACGTTACCAGAATCCTTGCTCTGCATTGTCCGGCCTCCTCTATCTTGCTTGCCTCGTCGCCGTTCTACCCAAATCGCCCCGGATGCCCTTGTGGCTTGACAATGCGTGCATTGGTTTGTTGCTCAGTCAGCTGAAATGTACCTAGGACTTTTCTATCTTACGTGGCTGGAATTGTGCCTTGTTCTCCTAAAAGTGTATTCCTGCCCGTTCTACCGCTGATTCCTGCCCGCCGTGATTCCTGCCCGTTTCACCCCTCTTCCTTGCCTGCTCTAACCCTGATGCCTGCTTGTTCTGCCCTGATTCCTTTCCGTCACTCCCTCCATCGATGCTGCTTCTGCAGGGCACCAGCGATCCCTACGTGCTGGCAGCGGTGGGGGAGGCATCTGTGCGCACTCGCACCATCTGGACGTGAGTCTAGAGTCTGGAGTCTGGAGTCTGGAGTCTAGAGTCTGGAGTCTGGAGTCTGGAGTCTAGAGTCTGGAGTCTGGAGTCTGGAGTCTAGAGTCTAGAGTGGCCCCCCCACTGACTGCATTGCTTTCCGACTTCATCAGTTCAAAACGCATACTACCTCATAAGCCCACCTGTATGTCTCCTCGAGGCGGTGAGCGAGGCATCTGTGCGCACTCTCGCCATGTAGACGTGAGTGTAGACTCCCTTGCTCTCCCTAGGCTCTACCACCACCATCAACCCCCTCATGCATCCACCATGAACCCCCGCATGCACCCACCCTCAACCCTCATGCACCCACTATCAACCTCCTCTGCAAAATGTTGGAGCGGCATAACCGAACCCCCAAATCCCACCGTCACTTTTCCACGCATCCACCGCCATCAACCCCCTCGCACCCCCTATCAACATTGTGTGCACCACCCATGCCCCATGCACCCAAATTAACCCACGTTCACCCCCATGCACCCACAGTCATCCCCATGAACCCACATTCACCCCCATGCACCCACATTCACGTCACCAGGAGCACCGAGCCCGAGTGGAATGAGGAGGTTCGCCTGCTGGTGAAGGCAGATGACACCGGCACCAAATACCTCAAGGTAATGACTGCACCTTAGGATGAGCTGTTTATCACCAGGCGTCTGCTCATCCCTCCTTCTTCTCTTTCCCATCTCTTTCCCCTCTCTCTTTCCTCTCTCTTTCCTCTCCATAGGACCCCACATGTGCAACCAATCTGCTTCCTCCTATCTCTCCCCTCTCCCTCCACCAATCACAGCTGCCCCATCTGTTCCCCCCCTCCCCCCCTTCCCCTGTCTCTTTCTCCCCCCCCCCCCCCCCCCCTCCCTCCACCAATCACAGCTGTCCATGTGGGACGATGGCATCGTCATCTCTCCCCGCCGCCTCGGAAATGCCTCGATCCGATTGGACGACCTTCTCGATGGTAACATTCCTGACTGGCGTTGCTTTTTAGTGCTCGTTTTTGGTCGAATCAGAAACGTTGCTGCGCTGCAAATGCGTCAATTTTGTTGGACAACGACCTTCTGGCTTTTGAGAATTCTAAAAAACCAACAATCTTGCCACCGGTGTTCTTGAAGCAACACCGTCGAATTGGGCAGTCTTCCATTCTTCCACAGTCTTCTGGATGGTCATGGGATGCACTCCTCTTCTCCCATTCCTCTTCTTCCATTCCTCTTCTTCCACTCCTCTTCTTCCATTCCTCTTCTTCCACTCCTCTTCTTCCACTCCTCTTCTTCCATTCCTCTTCTTCCACTCCTCTTCTTCCATTCCTCTTCTTCCACTCCTCTTCTTCCATTCCTCTTCTGCCACTCCTCTTCTTCCACTCCTCTTCTTCCACTCCTCTTCTTCCATTCCTCTTCTTCCATTCCTCTTCTTCCACTCCTCTTCTTCCATTCCTCTTCTTCCACTCCTCTTCTTCCACTCCTCTTCTTCCATTCCTCTTCTTCCACTCCTCTTCTTCCATTCCTCTTCTGCCACTCCTCTTCTTCCACTCCTCTTCTTCCACTCCTCTTCTTCCACTCCTCTTCTTCCACTCCTCTTCTTCCACTCCTCTTCTTCCATTCCTCTTCTTCCACTCCTCTTCTTCCATTCCTCTTCTGCCACTCCTCTTCTTCCACTCCTCTTCTTCCACTCCTCTTCTTCCACTCCTCTTCTTCCATTCCTCTTCTTCCACTCCTCTTCTTCCATTCCTCTTCTGCCACTCCTCTTCTTCCACTCCTCTTCTTCCACTCCTCTTCTTCCATTCCTCTTCTTCCATTCCTCTTCTTCCATTCCTCTTCTTCCATTCCTCTTCTTCCACTCCTCTTCTTCCATTCCTCTTCTTCCACTCCTCTTCTTCCATTCCTCTTCTTCCATTCCTCTTCTTCCACTCCTCTTCTTCCATTCCTCTTCTGCCACTCCTCTTCTTCCACTCCTCTTCTTCCATTCCTCTTCTTCCATTCCTCTTCTTCCATTCCTCTTCTTCCATTCCTCTTCTTCCACTCCTCTTCTTCCATTCCTCTTCTTCCACTCCTCTTCTTCCACTCCTCTTCTTCCATTCCTCTTCTTCCACTCCTCTTAGTCTCTCCCTTCCTCCCATCCCATTGCCCCTACTGAATTTTGGAATTCCTCTCACCCTCTCAGATGGTGTCAGCGCAAGCTGGTTCCGCCTCTGTGTGCAGACCCACTCTGTCCCATGTGCGTGCGTGCACAGAGGAGACACACGAGCTTGAGGCTGCTCTGGACGGCCCGGGCACAGAGCCCACACTCTCAAGTCTCATGACACCTCAAGTCGTGTCTGTATGCCACCCCGTCCCATGTGCATGCATGTTCGTGCATGTATGTGTCCCATGTGTGCATCCCGTCCCATGTGTGTGCATGCACAGGGGAGACACACGAGCAGGAGGTTGCTCTGGAGGGCCCGGGAGGGGGAGCCACACTCAAGCTGGCAGTCCGCTACCGCAGCTTTGCAGAGCTGGCTGAGGAGGAGCGCAACAGGTGAGGCATGGCAGTCTGGCCTGCGGTTTGAGGGACGGCATGTGGTGAAGGAACCCCTTTGGCTCCAGGCTGCAGCTTTGCACAGCTGGTAGTGACTTTTTTTTAGGCGACTAAAAAATAGCAGCAGGTGAGCATGGCGGTCTGGCCTGCGATTCGAGGGACGGCATGTGGTGGATGAACCCCTTCGGCTCCAGGCTGCAGCTTTGCACAGCTGGCAGTGGAGGAGCGCAACAGGTGAGGGTTGCTGGCACTGATGCCTTAGGCTGCCACCGCAAGGCAAGCAGGAGTGTAGGAGTACCACCGCGACTCCAGGTTTGCTACCGCAGCTTCGCAGAGCTGGCTGAGGAGGAGCGCAACAGGTGAGGCATGGCGGTCTGGCCTCTGATTTGGGCATGGCGTGTGGAAGAGAAACCACTTTGACTTGAGGTTTGCTAGTGCTGCAGCTTTGCAAAGCTGGCTGAGGAGGAGCGCAAGGGGTAATCCATTGTGTGCCACACCACTCTCCCTCCCTTGCGATGTCACTCTCCCTCCCTTGCGATGTCACTCTCCCTCCCTTGCGATGTCACTCTCCCTCCCTTGCGATGTCACTCTCCCTCCCTTGCTATGTCACTCTCCCTCCCTTGCGATGTCACTCTCCCTCCCTTGCTATGTCACTCTCCCTCCCTTGCGATGTCACTCTCCCTCCCTTGCGATGTCACTCTCCCTCCCTTGCTATGTCACTCTCCCTCCCTTGCTATGTCACTCTCCCTCCCTTGCGATGTCACTCTCCCTCCCTTGCGATGTCACTCTCCCTCCCTTGCTATGTCACTCTCCCTCCCTTGCTATGTCACTCTCCCTCCCTTGCGATGTCACTCTCCCTCCCTTGCGATGTCACTCTCCCTCCCTTGCTATGTCACTCTCCCTCCCTTGCTATGTCACTCTCCCTCCCTTCCGATGTCACTCTCCCTCCCTTGCTATGTCACTCTCCCTCCCTTGCTATGTCACTCTCCCTCCCTTGCGATGTCACTCTCCCTCCCTTGCTATGTCACTCTCCCTCCCTTGCTATGTCACTCTCCCTCCCTTGCGATGTCACTCTCCCTCCCTTGCTATGTCACTCTCCCTCCCTTGCTATGTCACTCTCCCTCCCTTGCGATGTCACTCTCCCTCCCTTGCGATGTCACTCTCCCTCCCTTGCGATGTCACTCTCCCTCCCTTGCGATGTCACTCTCCCTCCCTTGCTATGTCACTCTCCCTCCCTTGCTATGTCACTCTCCCTCCCTTGCTATGTCACTCACACCTCTCCTGGTTCCCAGGCGGCGCCTGCCCTCCCTCGACGACATCTTCTCAGGCCAGCTCCCTCTAGTCTCCGGCTTCCAAGTCATCATGACTGCTGCCTTCCAACCAGCCAGCACAGATGCTAACCTTGATCCCCGTCTCGCATCACACCTCCCCCTCCCTCCCTTCCCCAGGTGGCGCCTTCCCTCCCTCGACGACATCTTCTCAGGCCAGCTCCCTCTAGTCTCCGGCTTCCAAGACGTCATGACTGCTGCCTTCCAGTCACCCACCACCACCGCCACTCCTGCTGCCGAATCTAGCCCCGATTCCAGCGGTGGCTCCCCTCCCACTACCAGCCAGCCATCGCCGGCCATTTCCTCGTACGAGTTTGTCCGGTCCGCCATCCAGCAGTTCGGGGGGGCGGCAGCCTTCCCATCGTCCCTCGATCAGATCAAAGATTCGGTCATCCCACCCCCACCCCCATCCTCGCCACAAGCCTCCTCGCTACCAGCAGAAGCAGCAGACGCTGCTGAGAATACCCTCACTAGGAGCGACAGCAGCATTGGCAGGGAGCAGCAGGTGAGGCAGGCAGTGGGGCTGGCGAGGGAGGTGCTACTCAGGGCAGGCTGGATCCCGGCAGGTGGGACCCTGGACCAGCTCAGCCAGGCGGTCATCGGTACCACAAGCAACACTGGTGAGACCAGCAGCAGTAGCGGCAGCGGCGACACTACCGCCGCTGCTGGTGCTGCTGCTTCCCAGGGTGGATTGCTGTCGTCCCTAGTCCCCTCAGGTGCCATCGGCGATGCCTTGGCAGCAGTGGACGGGCTGAGGAGGAAGCGGGAGGAGCTGCGGAGCACACTCACTGACATGGGCTTTGCGCTGCCATGGGCGGACACTGCAGGGGGGGCAGATAGTAAAGGGGGTCCTGCTGGTGCTGCTGCTGCTGCTGCTGGTGATATTGGTGCTGCTGCCACTGCCGCTGCGGGAGGGCTGTTGGAGGGAGCTGCGAGTGCGGTGGCAGGGAGGATACAGCAGCGCCGAGCAGAGCTCAGGAGAAGCCTTACAGACCTGGGCATTTCCCTGCCTTGGTATGATCAGACCGAAGGGGGCGGGGCAGATGGGCAAAGGGCAGATGGACAGTCTAGCACTTCTGTGGATGTCACTGCCTCTCAAGAGCCATCCACCGCTTCCTCTTCTTCCTTCTCCTCCTCCCTGGACGATCTGCGCAAAGCTGCCTTCCGACAGACCGAGGGCCTTCTGGGGTCCCTAGCCCTCCTTGGCAGCACCGCTGGCAGCCTGCCATTAGCCGAGGAGAAGAAAATTCTAAGCGCACCTGAGCCAGAGGGTGATACTGGTGGGGGGGGGAGCGAGGGGAGTGGGAGTGAGAGGGCGAGTGAGGTGAGCGTGGTGGGTGAGGAGGAGGCGGAGGAGGCGCGGAGGATGTTTGGGAGTGCGGAGACGGCGGTGGAGGCATGGACGATGCTGGCGAGCTCCCTGGGCCAGCAGACGTTCGTCAAGTCCGAGTTTGACAAGATCTGCTTCCTGGACCACCCGGAGTCCGACACTCAAGTGGCGCTGTGGAGGGATGTGAGGAGGAAACGGGTTGTGGTGGCGTTCCGAGGCACAGAGCAGGTGAGACTGGAGAGCTAGCAGGGCAGGGTGTAGAGCAGGTGAGGAGGGTAGAGGCCAGTAGGCAGCAGGTGAGATGCCTACTGGCATGGAGGCATGGACCATGCTGGCAAGCTCCCTGGGGCAGCAGACGTTCGTCAAGTCGGAGTCTGACAAGATCTGCTTCCTGGACCTCCCGCAGTCGGATACCCAGGTGGCCCTCTGGCGAGCCGTGAGGCAGAAGTGGATCGTGGGGGCATTCAGGGGCGCCGAGCAGGGGAATGAGATGCACCGGGCTGGTGCGATGGGATCATGGGAGTCGCAAGGCCGTTTGTCAGAGTCCAGGGAGCACAGTGCGGAGCAGGGCGCGGAGCAGGGTGCGTGGAGCATGCATGCCGCATGCTGGCGGCGACCCTGTCCTCTTAGATGTCTGTGGAACTGTGGACCATCTCCTCCGGTGCCCCTCTCATGCCCTCTCATGCCCTCTCATGCCCTCTCATGCCCTCTCATGCCCTCTCATGCCCTCTCATGCCCTCTCATGCCCTCTCATGCCCTCTCATGCCCTCTCATGCCCTCTCATGCCCTCTCATGCCCTCTCATGCCCTCTCATGCCCTCTCATGCCCCTCTCCCCCCCTCTCCCCTCGTGTCTCGCCCCACTATTTTCCCTCTCAGACGAAGCTCAAGGACCTACTCACAGACATATCTCTCTCACCCTCCAGGTAAGTCTCACTGGCTAGAGGTTTGGCTGAGGTGCAGTGCACGTGACGCTGGGGCGAATCTGGTGGGGTGAGACTTGGGTGAGGCTGGGGTGAGGCTCAATGGAGATGGCGTTGGTGTAACTATTGATTCATGCATGTTATGTTACCATGGATGATTGTGTACTCAATGTTATCTCCATTCAGCATTGTGTGGGGTGTTTTCGAGAATTCTCAAAACACCCTGCAAAAAAATGTTACCTCCATGGAGTGTTGCGTAGGAGGCCGATTATCATCATGACTAGCTGCCCGCTTACGAATGTCATCATGAGCCACCCTGAATAAACCCTACTCCTCCCATTGGCCGCCCTTCAGCCTGGACCCTGAGCGAACGTCATCTGGCGACTTCGACCAAGATGTCATGGTGAGAGGGGTGATGACGTCATGGTGAGAGGGGTGATGACGTCATGGTGAGGGGTTCATGACTCCATGGGCTGGTGCCGTTTTAGATTGGGCTGAGCTGTCATATTGAGGGGAATTCGTGAGGTCATAATGTGAGGCTGGTGACGTCATGGTGTGCGGCTGGTGACGTCATGATGTGAGGCTGGTGACATCATGGTGATGAGCTTAGCATGGTGATCATCAAGGAGCCATAAAAGGTTGATAATGGCAGTTGCGCATGTTGTGCATGTTGAGCATGTTGTGGGGTTGTGCATGTTGCGCATGTTGTGCTCCTCCCATTCTGTGACCTGTCCCCATGGTTCTCTGCTCCCCTGGTGCCTTTTGAATCCACTTCAAAGTCTCTCGCCCTCTTCTCCCACCACATGGTAGCAATGTGCGCAGTGCCTTGGCAAAGGATTCCTCTGCACCAGAGAGCTATGTGTGTTTGCCCTCAGTGTCTGTGGAGCTGAGGCTTATGTCCCCCATCCCCCACCCTGGTGCACGGTGGTTTCCTTGCCACCGACTCTGCGTGTGCCACATCCTTCGAGTCACCTCATAATCCCCCCCCCCCCCTTCTCCCTCCCCTCCTTCCCCTCCTTCCTCTCCTTCCTCTCCTTCCTCTCCTTCCTCTCCTTCCTCTCCTCCCCCACCCCGTGCCATCCTCAGGTGCACGGGGGTTTCCTCGCTGCATATGACTCTGTGCGCGCTCGCCTGCGCTCCCTCATAGCCCTCATCACCGACCCCGACCGCTCTGCACCGCTCACTGCTCAATCTGATGCTGCAGCTACCGATGCTGATGCTGATGCTGACTCCTCAATCCATTCAGCTGACAGCCTGTCAGGGAGTGACACGTGGCGGGTGTATCTGACCGGGCACAGCCTGGGGGGGGCCCTGTCGACCCTCTTTGCCTACGAGCTCTCCCAGTCCAACCTGGTCAGGTGGGTTCTGCTGTTCCACCTGATCAGGTGGGTTCTGCTCTTCACCTGGTCCAGTGGGTTCTGCTGTTACACTGGATCAGACATAAACGTTTCAAGCAGCCTCCACGTCTCACCCTCCAGGGACCGCAACATCCATCTCACCATGCACAACCATGGTTCCTCCATGCTTCCCTCACTCCCTGTCCCTCCCTCCTCCCTTGCCCCCCTCTCCCCATCCCCTACAGGGACCGCAACATCCATCTTACCCTGTACAACCATGGCTCTGCTGCATCTTCCCTCCCACTCCTCATTCCTCTCCCTGCGTCTCACCCTCTCCTTCCGCTCCCCTCATCTCACCCTCTCTCCGCGTTTCACCCCTCGTCCCACCCCTCCAGGGATCGCAACATCCATCTCACCATGTACAACTACGGCTCCCCCCGTGTGGGCAATGCGGCCTTTGTTGCCCGATTCAATGCGGTCAGTGACTCCTACATGGCAGTGCACTCAACCCTTGCATCCCAGGCGTGAGGAGTCTGTTTTTGAGGCGCCTCAAAAACAGACTCCCCCCGTGTGGGCAATGCGGCCTGTGTTGCCCGATTCAATGCGGTCAGTGACTCCTACATGGCAGTGCACTCAACCCTTGCATCCCAGGGCATTCAAGGTAGTGGGAGGTGGTATTGCAGGGCAATTCCAATGCATTCTTGTCACATGTGCCTGTTTACAAACCCTTAGTTTCCAATCACCACCATCCCTATCTCCCAGCACGTGGCTGACAGCTGATGCGCTCTGATGCAGTGACTTTTGAGTCGACTCAAAAGTCACGTGGCTGACAGCTGATGCGCTCTGACGCAGTGACTTTTGAGTCGACTCAAAAGTCACCTGGCTGACAGCTGATGTTCTGTGACGCAGGCACTGTCCCTCCGTCCCTTCGCATTCATCATGTCATCCTTTCCCCCCCTATCCCCCCATCCCCCCCCCCCCCCTGCCAGCACGTGGCCGACAGCTGGCGTATTGTGAATCGCTCGGACATCATCCCCACGGTGCCCAAGCTAATGGGGTACCGCCACGTGTGCTGCCCTGTCTACCTCAGCCCAGGGGGGCCCTCAGGTGACCTTCAGGTGGGTGTGGCCTTCAGGTGGGTGTGGCCTTCAGGTGGGTGTGACCTTCAGGTGGGTGTGACCTTCAGGTGGGTGTGACCTTCAGGTGGGTGTGACCTTCAGGTGGGTGTGGCCTTCAGGTGGGTGTGACCTTCAGGTGGGTGTGACCTTCTGGTGGGTGTGACCTTCTGGTGGGATTTTAGCATGGGGGCGCGCAATTAGGGAGGAGGAGTATGCCTGGTGTCGTGACAAGATGTTGGGTCTTCTGAAACCCTCCAATTTCGCAGAGTCCCTTTGCCCCACCGTTGACATCCCATGCATGTTACCTGCATACACTCTTGTGCGAATGTGGGCATCTACTTTTGATTCGAATCAAAAGTCACCTACACTCTTGCGTTACCTGCATACACTCTTGTGCGAATGTGTGCATCTGTGCATCTGTACATATGTGCACGTGTGCATGGGTGCACCTCTCCATGCATATGCACGTATGTGAATTTGCCCATCATGTGTATGTCCATGTCTGAATGCATGTGCTCATCTATGCATGCATGTGTGTGCTTATGCATGCATCTGTGCATGTATGCATGCATGTACCTATGTGTCGGCATGGCAGTCGGATGCATCCAAGGAGGAGATAGGAGTGGATGATGGCTATGCGGCCGAGGTGGTGGGGGAGGCCAACCCCAACGACATCCTCGAGGACTATGTGAGCCATGGACAGAGCCGTGTGAGCCATGGGGGGACAGAGCCGTGTGAGCCATGGGGAGACAGAGCCGTGTGAGCCATGGGTGACAGAGCCAGGGGCATGTAATAGGTGTGATAGTTGTGATAGCATGGGTTTGCTGCAGAGGCAGGGCCAGGCCAGCCCCAACAACATCCTGCTATCAGTCACTAGAAGCAGTTCCTCGTGCTCGCTTGTCCTCCCCCACTCCCCCCCCCATCCCCTTTTCACTTCTTGGTGGGTCCCCCCCCCCCCCCTCCAATCCCCCCAAACACCTTTTCACCTCTCGTAACCCCTGTCTTGTCACAGATGAGTGGCGAGCGGCGGCTGATCGACCGGCTGCTGCAGACAGAGGTGGCGATGCTGTCGGCACTGAGGGGCTCTGACACTTGGATTTCACTCATGCTCACTCATCTTGTGTTATGATTCTCAAAAATAGACTCATAACTCTAGGCTCTAAGGGGCTCTGACACTTGGATGACACTCGTGCTCACTCATCGTCTCCCCCACTCGTCCACCCACCCCCCCTCCAAACCAGATGAGTGGTGAGCGGCGGCTGATCATCCACTTGATGCAGGCAGAAGGGGCGATGCTGATAGTGATAAACTGGCCCTCATGCTCGCTCCCCCTCTTCCCCACTTCCCCTTTCTCCACTTCCACTCTCCCTCCACTTCCACCCTCCCGCCCCCCCAGATGAGTGGCGAGCGGCGGCTGATCTACCAGCTGCTGCAGACAGAGGTGGCGATGCTGTCGGCTCTGAGGGGCTCTGACACTTGGATGACACTCATGCAAACTCATATTGTTCCCCCCCCTCGCCCAACCACCCCCCCTCCAAACCAGATGAGTGGCGAGCGGCGGCTGATCGACCGGCTGCTACAGACAGAGGTGGCGATGCTGTCGGCGCTGAGGGATGGGTCCGCCATCATGATGCACATGGAGGACTTCTACTACATCGCGCTGCTCAAGGTGGGATAGATGTTACATGGCACATGGTACATGGCACAAGGCACATGGTACAAGGTACATGGCACAAGGCACATGGTACAAGGTACATGGTCCCATGATGCTGTTGGCTCTGAGGGATGGGTCCGCCATCATGATGCACATGAAGGACTTCTACTACATTGCACTGCTCAAGGTGGGTTGTGTATGAGCACATGGTATGTGATACATGGCACATGATACATGGTTTTTGATACATGGTTTTTTTATACATGGCACATGATACATGGTTTTTGATACATGGCTCATGATACATGGTTTTGATACATGGCACATGATACATGGTTTTTTATACATGGCACATCATATATGGTTTTTGATACATGGCACATGATACATGGTTTTTTATGCATGGCACATGATACATGGTTTTTGATACATGGCACATGATACATGGTTTTTGATACATGGTTTTTGATACATGGTTTTTTATGCATGGTTTTTTATGCATGGCACATGATACATGGTTTTTGATACATGGCACATGATACATGGTTTTTGATACATCGCACATGATACATGGTTTTTGATACATGGCACATGATACATGGTTTTGATGCATGGCACATGGGTCCGCATCACGTTGCACATAGAAAGGCTTCTATTATATCGCACTGCTCAAGGTGGGATGCATGGTGCATGTCGCATGGTGCATGGTGCACATGACACGTCGCACATGGGTGTGTCGGTATGATGACATGGTGGGCTTCAATTGTATCGTACTGTCCAAGGTACATGGCATGGCATATGGTGCATGGCGCCATCACGATGCACATGGATGACATGGCTCCTCCGTGTTCCTCCCCTTCCCTCTCTCTTCCCTGCTCCCACAGCCCCTCACCTTCCCACTCCCCCTTCGCTCCCCCCTCTCCTCCCCCAACACCACACCAGAAAGTGCGAGAGGGCCTGGGAGTTTCTCAGTGAGCAACTCTCCGCTTTTGCCACTGGTGCTTCTGCCCGCGCTTCTCATTTTCTTGTGCCACTGGAACTGGTGCTTCTGATCTGACGTCCTGTTACTCTGGTTGGTTTCACATAACAATTTTTGACAGTCCTAGAGAAGTGAGTTTGTTGACTTGCCATCTACCAGCCATAGTCACTGTTGGAACCTTTTTTTGTCGACCTAAAATGAGCACGATGGCTTGCCTGCCATCTACCGGGTGTGTTGCTACGACCCCCTATCAGACTTGTGCTGCACCAAGCTGAACCGCATGGAATCACCTCACATCCCATTTATACTCCACAGCAGCGCACGAGTCTTGTAAGGGGCACGTCTGGTAGTAAGTTCAGGAACAAGCTTTTGGAACGATGGGCACTCAACCCTAACTCGATGGGCACTGTGGTCCACATACAGCGTCCTCCCTAGCAGGGTATTTTTTAGAATTATAAAAAATACCCCACATACAGCATCCTCCCTGGTATGTAGCTGATGACACTGGTGATCCACCAAATGTGAATACATGGGAATATATGGTCGTATTAGATCATGTACCTTGCTGCTTGCACAAGAGAGACAAAACTGGGGCCCTCTGCCTCGACAGCCACCTCCCACCTGTCAGCACCACTACCAGCAGCAGCAGATGGCTCTCCTTCTTCAGAGTGGTCAATCGACTGACCAGGTGCAGAGGGCACGGGCTCGGATTGGCACCGCTGCAGCTGCTGTGAGGTCCACTGTAGTTAAAGCATGTGGTACCTTGCTGCCTGCATGACAGAAACAAGACTGAGGTCTTCTGCCTCGCCTGCCGCCCCCCATCTGCCAGCAGCAGCAGCAGCAGCAGCAGTAACTACAGCTGTTCCAGTGTGGTCAATCAGCTATGCAGGTGCAGTGGAAACGAGCTCAGATAGGCACTGCAGCTGCTCCGTAGTTAAAGCATGTGGTACCTTGCTGCCTGCACGACTGAGACAAGACTGGCGTCCTCTGCCTCACCCGTGCGGTCAATCGACTCTGCAGGTGCCGTGGACACGAGCTCAGATAGGCACTGCTGCAGCTGCTGTGAGTTCAACCGACCCAGATGCAGGGAGAAGGCAAAGTGAGTGCCAATCTCCCCCTTGCCTCTTGTGAACGCACTACCCACAGTGCTGCTGCTGACACTCTTTGTTTCGCCTGACTCTGTTGGAAGGGAGGGGTCGGCAGCAGCCACGGCTACAGAATCCAGGGCCGATTCAGCAGCAGGAGCAGGTGGAGGCGAGGGGCTGGCAGGAGGGCGAATGAGGTCCGGCGACAGAGAAGTGGCAAGCAGTTGAACGTTGGTGGGAAAGGGCTGTTGCGAAGAGAAGTGGGGGGGGGGGGAGGGGGGGAGGGGGTGATGGGGACGGCATGAGGCTAGGTATTTTGAGTTGACTCAAAATACAACTGGCTTGTATAAGCCGAAACTAGTTCATCACTGGTTTTCCATCAAAACCTCCTGAACATCCCTTCAGCTCGAGCTTTTTCAGAACCGCTGCCTCGCAAGGCTTTTTCCACCATGGTTAACCCTGAGAAATATGGGTCCATTGGTCTCGCTGTTGCGAAGAGAAGTGGGGGGGGGGGAGGGGGGGAGGGGGTGATGGGGACCGCATGAGGCTAGGAATGCAGGCATTCTGCTTTTGAGTCGACTCAAATGCAGGCACCATAAACTGGAGGGTGAATGAGGTCTGGAGAGCTTTTGAGTCGACTCAAAAGCTGGAGGGGGGAATGAGGTCTGGAGAGCTTTTGAGTCGACTCAAAAGCTGGAGGGTGAATGAGGTCTGGAGAGCTTTTGAGTCGACTCAAAAGCTGGATGGGGAATGAGGTCTGGAGAGCTTTTGAGTCGACTCAAAAGCTGGATGGGGAATGAGGTCTGGAGAGCTTTTGAGTCGACTCAAAAGCTGGATGGGGAATGAGGTCTGGAGAGCGACTGAGAAGTTGACAGAGAAGTTGACAAGCGGTTGCAGATTGCTTCGGACGGGGCTCAGGGGGGCTGGATGGGAGCTTGCTGCGGGCTGGGCTAGGAAAGGGGTGTGGGTTGGTGGGAATAGACGAAATAGACGATAGTTTTGAGGCACCTCAAAACTAGATAGGGAGAGCACGAGAAGCTGGTTTTATTTGGCTGGTTTAGGCGAAAATGGATGCTGCATTGGAACGGAACGCTAGGGTAGAGTAGAGCAGCTTGGAGGTTTCAAAATAAGTGAAAAGGAATGGAAGATTTATGGAAGAATAAAAGCTTACGAAGGAGGAGTGGAAGACCTGGCGAAGAGCGATCAGTGCTTCCTCACCCGCCTGCAGGCAGAGAAAGGAAGACCAGCGAGAAAGAGAGAGAAAGAAGACATTGAGGGACAGAGAGGAAGAGAGAAGGAGCGAGACCAGCGAAGGCATCGAGTCCCACGATGGCTTAAAAGATCTTCGCACACCCTACAACGCATAAGCAAGGAGTTGCAAGCAAATCAAGGATCACACAGTGGCGTCTTACTGGCACAATAGAAAACCAGCACTCACCCACAGGTTGAGGTTGTCCACAAGGAGGCAGAACCGCAAGCCTGGCATCTTAGCAGCCGCCTGCAGCACCCCTGCTATGCCCTACATGTGCCCCTAATCGCAAGCACGCACGAGAGCTCAGAAGGAGCACTCACCCGCAGGTTGAGTTTGTCCACAAGGAGGCAGAACCGCAAGCCTGCCATCTTACGTGTTTTTTTAGTCGACTAAAAAATTGGGTGATTTTTTAGTCGAATCAAAATCTAGGTGATTTTTTAGTCGACTCAAGAACCGCAAGGCAAGCCTGGCATCTTACTAGCCGCCTGCAGCACCCCTGCCATCCCCCTTCGCCCGTGTTATCCGTGGAAAAGCACGGGCGAAGAATCAGGGAGCAGCACTCACCCGCAGGTTTAGGTTGTCCATGAGCACGCAGAAGCGCAGGCCCGGCATCTTAGCAGCCGCCTGCAGCACCCCTGCTATGCACTTCACCTCGCCCTTCTGCAGCAGCACCACCCTCAGCTGCGCCCTGCCCCTGCTGCCGCTACCCCCCTCCCCATCACCCACATCCCCCCTCCTGTCGTTTTCTGGGGAGTTTTGGGCGGTGGCAGAGGGCGGGGAGGAGAGGAGGGAGGAGGAAGGGAGGGCCATGGGGAGGAGCACGGAGCGGAGGAGCGTCGACTTGCCCATGCCAGGTGGGCCGTGCTGATTGGTTGGGTGTGAGTGGGAGAGGGAAACAGGGAGGGAGGGAGGGAGGGAGGGAGGGAGGAGTGGGGTGAGTCAGAGAAGGGGAGGAACACGGGAAGGAGGGAGACGAAGGGAGATGAGGGGCGACATGGGGACAAGAGACGTAATTTAGGATGTCTCAAAACACGTCTCTTATCACAAAGGGAGGTGGGGGGAGAATTTCGTTCTCCTCCGCTCCTTCCTTCTTCTCAATGCCAGGTGGGCCGTGCCTATTGGTTGGTTGGAAGATGGTTCAGACAGGAAGGGGTGGTTGGTGTGGGGGATTTTTTAGAATTCTAAAAAATCTCTCTGAAGATGATCTCTATATAAATGCCATGCGTGAGGCGCCTCAAAAATAGACTCCTCTCGGAAGATGGTTCGGACAGGGAGGGGTTGTTGGTGTGGGGGAAGGGGGGGAGCAAGAGGGGGGAGGGAAGGGAGGAAAGGAGATCATGCAGCAAAGGAAGGACCAAAATGGGCAGGGGGTTGATGGTGGGTTAGGGTGGGGGTGCTACAGGGAAATCCCCTCCCCTTTTGAGGGTGCTTTAGGGAAACCCCCTCCCCTTTTGAGGGTGCTATAGGGGAGATCCAGGCAGAACGAGGGGCCCTACCCGCAGCACGTGGGGAGAGGGTTGCCCGTCCACGTGTGTCTCCACCACTGTGCTGAGAGCCCCTCGGAGCTTGTTTTAGATGAGGAAGAGCAGTGGGGGTGGTGGAGCGATGATCCAAGGAGCGTGACAGAGAAACATACCAGCAGCACGTGGGGAGAGTGTTGTCCGTCCACGTGTCTCCCCACCACTGTGCAGAGAGCCTCTCGGTGCGCATTGTAGATGGCGAAGAGCGGTGAGGGTGGTGGGGTGACCAGGTCTGGCGCTGCTGCCACGAAGCGGCCTCCCTTCCACTCCAGCACTGCCAGCAGGAAAGGAGCCAAAGGACAACAATGAGACACTTTTTGTAGTTGACTCAAAAGCAGAGGGGTGAGGGTGGTGGGGTGGGGTGGGGTGGGGTGGGTTGGGGTGACCAGGTCTAGAGCCCGTGTGTAATGAGTTGATTTTTTAGTCGACTCAAAAATCGAATCATTACACCAGGTCTAGAGCCGCAGCCACAAATCGGCCGCCCTTCCACTCAAGCACTGCCAGCAGGAAAGGGCAACGAGGGGTGTCACATTCAGGCACCACTTTTAGGTAGCATTTTCAAGCATCAATTTCAGGTATAATTTTCAGCCATAGAGAAGTTACCCTGAAGTATCTTCGCAGCCACTCCAAGAACAACCGTTTCAATCACGCACTGCCGGACAAATCGAGAGCGCGGCATTACCACTGGTATCCAACCAACCAAGTAGCCCGGCACTTTAAAATTTTCCCAGGCGTTGGAGTCATTTTGAAAATTCTAAAAAAGAAATCCTCCCCCCTATTTTGCGGAAAAGGCGGTGAGCTCTCCTCCCTATCGCTGGTAGGTCTCACCCACAGGAGGTGATTGATTAGGGTAGTCTCTCACCCGAGCTGACTGCCGCCTCCCCAAAGCCGTTGGTCTTGTGAAAGGCCTCGATAAGGGGCAGGGCGTCAGCCCAATCCCACATGCCGCTGATGCGAGGAGGTAGGAGATGGTCTGGGGGGGAGAGGTGGGGCGGGCAGGAAGGGAGGAGGGAAGGTCGAGAGGCACACTAAGTTCAGTCAGCCATCACCTCACAATAGGATGGACGGCTTTTGAGGCGCCTCAAAAGTCAGCCATCACCTCACAATAGGATGGACGGCCTGTATGAGAGGCAGGGCATCGGCCCAGCCCCATATGCCACAGATGCGAGGTGATGTCATGCTGCTGATGCGAGGTGACGTCATGCTGCTGATGCGAGGTGATGTCATGCTGCTGATGCGAGGTGATGTCATGCTGCTGATACGAGGTGATGTCATGCTGCTGCTGATGGTAGGGCATTGGCCCAGATTGCTATGGGCAAGCAAATTGCTACGGGCAGGCAAAATGCTACGGGCAGACAAAATGCTATGGGCAGGCAAAAATCGCTACAGGCAGGCAGGTCAAGTGGGAGGGTTTCATTGGGCAAAGAAGAACGCCCAATTTCTAAGGAGGTTAGACATTGGGGACACTATTGCTTTTACCATCACTTTTGCTCGCTGCCACGTATGGCTAAAACTACCACCAAGTGGTGTTCTCTCAAAGAACGCCCAATTTCTAAGGGGGTTAGACATGGGGGACACTATTGCCTTTTAAGTTAGCTCACAGCTCGACCCGGTAGTAATAGAAAGAAACACATATTGGAGCCTTAGATGCTAACAATGATGATGAGCCGCACCTGGAGAAGATTCGCTGGAGGAAGACGAGGAAGCAGCAGCAGCAGCAGGTGTCTCCATGCTTGCAGCAGACAAATCGAATCCCATCACCCTACCCTCCCCTGGTCCTTTCCTGCTGCTCCCCGCCACCCCATTGGCAGCACCAGCAGCCGCCCCTCGCCACTCTGCTGGCATGTCCGAAACAATGTCAGTCACCTGGAAGTGAGGGAGGAATGGCAGGGGTGGAAAGAGGCATGTGTGTTGTGGGCGCATGTAAGAGAAATGGTAGCAGCAGCGCCGGCAGCACCAGCACCGGCAGCACCAGCACCAGCCCCTTGCCACTCTGCTGGCATATCCGACACTACGTGGGTCACCTGGAAGTGTTTTTGAGAATTCTTAAAAACACCCTGCAAAATCATATCCGACAGCATGTGGGTCACCTGGAAGTGTTTTTGAGAATTCTTAAAAACACCCTGCAAAATCATATCCGACACCATGTGGGTCACCTGGAAGTGAGAGGGGGAAAGGGGCGGGGGGGAGAGGAGAAGCGGGGGAGGGGGGGAGAGGAGAAGCGGGGGAGGGGTTAGCATGTGCGTTGTGCTGTGTGTGCGTGGTGACTTTTGAGTCGACTCAAAAGTCACCTCGTTACTATGTGCGTTGTGCCGTGTGTGCGTGTTAGAGAAAGCGTGCAATGGCAGCAGCTCCCTGTCGCCACTTGGCTGGCATGTCCGTTGTATGAAGGCAAGGGAAGAATTGGGGTGGGAGGGTGGCGGTGGGGGGGAGAAGGATGGAAGGGACGGGGAACGTGTGTGGAACGAGAGAAGAAAGTGCATTCTGAATATGCCACATTATTCACCGGATTCCGCTATGTGTCAAAATGCACATTCTGTTCATGCCAGACTCCAGATTGCATGTGAGAGAGTAGTACCAAAAAAAAGTTGCATACCCAAGCAGCTAGAGTGCTCTCGTTGACCACAGCCGCTGCAGCGAGCTCAGATCAACCGCTGCTGCTGCCCTCAGCTTGCCTTGCCTGGCGCTCAGTTAGGTTTTGAAAGGACTCATAAAATACATACCCAAGCAGCAAGCGTGCTCTCGTTGACGCACAGTCGCTGCAGCGAGCTCAGGTCAACCACTGCTGCCGCCCTCAGCTTACACTGCCTGCCGCGCAGTTAGGTTTTGAAAGAACTCATACATACCTTGCCTGCTGGTCCGCAAGGTTTTGAGAGGACTCATACATACCCAAGCAGCCAGGGTGCTCTCATTGACACACAGCCGCTGCAGCGAGCTCAGGTCAACCGCTGCTGCCGCCCTCAGCTTGCCGTGCCTGCCACCCGTAGTGGCAGTGGTCGCATCAGCAGCTGCTGCTGCTGCTGCTGCCTCCACGAAGGGGTTGTTTTCAACGGTGAGGATGCGATGCAGTAGAAGATCCTCCCAGCTGGTGCGGTGGGGTGGGTTGGGATGGGGTGGGATGGGGTGGGATGGGATGAGAAACGAGGAGGGATGGTGCATCAGCCGGAGGCTCTCCCAGTCTAGACGAAGGGGCAGTTCTCGACGGTGAGGATGCGATGCAGGCAGCAGAAGATCCTCCCAGCTGGTGGGGTGGGAGAGCGTTAAAATCAATGACATGGTGTGATGGGAATGAGTTGCAATGGCATAGGGGGGATGCGAAGGGGTTTCTCTCCACAGTGTGGATGGGAGGCAGCCAGCAGAAGATGCTCCCAGCTGGTGGGGTGGGGTGGGGTGGGGTGGGGTGAAGTGGGATGAGAAAAGAGGAGGGATCGTGCATCAGCAGACGGCTCTCCCAGTCCAGACGAAGGGGTTGGTTTCGACGGTGAGGATGCGATGCAGGAGAAGATCCTCCCGGTTGGTGGGGAAAGAAGGAGAGTGATGGAACCAGGGAAGCGACTGGTATGGTAGGAGTTTTTTTTTAGTTGACTCAAAAATCACCTATGGTTGGTGGGGAAAAAAGGAAAGTGATGGCACCAACCGACTGATATGGTAGTTGGAAAGAGAAGCGACTGATATGGTAGGAGTGAGTGGCGTGGCATACGGACGCAATGACGGTTGTCCTTGACTTTCATGAAGAATCAGATCTTCCCAAATGGTGTGGTGGGATGAGGTGGGGTGGTGTGGGATGGAGTGGGATGGGAAGGGGTTGGGTGGGGTGGGATGGGAAAAGGTTGGAGAAGGGGAGATTGGACAGAGACACGGCATGGTGAAAATGAGGGCATAGGCAATCAAAAGGATGGTGGCATTTCGTTGCATGTGCCATGGGCCACGGTATGCTGCATTTACAGGTGATTTTTGAAGATTCACAAAGCTCACCTACCCCTACACCATGGCACAACATGCGGCATTTACCATCCATCCTGTGCTTGTGTGGCCTTTTCAAACAAACCACTGGAACCCTGACTTGGGAGTCTAGTTTTGAGGCGCCTCAAAACTTGTGTGGCCTTTTCAAACAAACCACTGGAACCCTGACTTGGGAGGGAGTTGCGATAGGTAGGGTTGGGAGGAGACTGTTGGGAGGGGGCTGCAGACAGGCGCAAAAGGGTGCATCAGGGAGAACTTACCTGGAATGTTCCTCGAAGGCCATGAGGCGGTAGAACTCCCCATAGCCCTCCAACACGCGCAGGGGGTCTGCTTTGGGGGGGGGGGAGAGGGGGGGGAGAGGGGGGGGAGAGGGGGGGAGAGGGGGGGGAGAGGGGGGGGAGAGGGGGGGGAGAGGAAAGAGGGGGTGGGTATTAGGGTTGGAAGACCTAGGTCTCCAGCACACGCAGGGTTAATTATTTTGGGAATTCTCAAGAACATAACGCAACCCAGCTCTCTAGCACATGCAGGGGATCTCCTTGGGGGTGGGGGGAGGGGGGGAGGAGGTGGAGATTTAAGGGTCGGAGGATCTAGCTCTCCAGCACCCGCAGGGGATCTGCTTTGGGTCGGGGTGAGGAGGAGGGGGGGGGATGGGAAGGGAGAAGAGAGGGGGTGGGCATAGGGGTTGGAGGATCAGGCTTTCCAGCACAGGCAGCGGGTCTGCTAGGGGTCGGGGGAAGAGGGGGGGGGGGAGGGGATGGGATCATGGGAGGGGAGAAGAGAGGGGGTGGGCATAGGGGTTGGAGGATCTGGCTTTCCAGCACACGCAGGGGATCTGCTAGGGGGAAGGATGGTGGAGGGAGGAGAGAGGGGGTGGGCGCAGGGGCTGGAGGGTGTAAAAACGCAGGGATTGTGAAATGAATTGCTGCTGGCTCACCCACCCAGGGGATCTGCTAATGGCTGAGCGTGTTAGAAAGCAGTGTAAAGGGCCGTCTACATGATCTCAGGGCCGTCTTCATGATCTCAGGGCCGTCTTCATGATCTCAGGGCCGTCTTCATGATCTCAGGGCCGTCTTCATGATCTCAGGGCCGTCTTCATGATCTCAGGGCCGTTTACACCCTTGAATCATGCAACTCCCATCGCCCCCCCTGATCTCACTTCCCCCATCGCCCCCCCTGATCTCACTTCCCCCATCGCCCCCCCTGATCTCACTTCCCCCATCGCCCCCCCTGATCTCACTTCCCCCATCGCCCCCCCTCTCATCTCATCTCCCATTTCCCACCCTATATCCTTCGTCTCTCCATCGTCTTTCCCGCCTCCACTCTCCACTCTCCACTCTCCACTCTCCACTCCCCACTCTCCACTCTCCACTCTCCACTCTCCACTCTCCACTCTCCACTCTCCACTCTCCACTCCCCACTCTCCACTCTCCACTCTCAACGCCGGGGGAGTTGGGGTGGGTTGACCTGTCCATACTACTCCCTCTTCCCCGTGCTGCCCTCACCTGACAATTCACCCCCCAACTCCCCCAACCCACGTTCCCCAACCCACGTTCCCCAACCCACGTTCCCCAACCCACGTTCCCCAACCCACGTTCCCCAACCCACGTTCCCCAACCCTCGTTCCCCAACCCACGTTCCCCAACCCTCGTTCCCCAACCCACGTTCCCCAACCCTCGTTCCCCACCCCTCGTTCCCCACCCCTCGTTCCCCAACCCTCTTTCCCCACCCCTCGTTCCCCACCCCTCGTTCCCCACCCCACACACCATCAGAGCGTCGCAGCTGCAGCAGCAGTCTTAGGAACGCCTGGGGAGCAGCGCCTTTAAATACGTCCTGGTACACCAGCAGGGCTGCGGCGTCCCTCAGTAGGCGCGCTGCTGCCTTCTCAACGCTGATGGAGAAGAAGGGGGGGAAGGAGAGGGGGGAAGAAGAGGGCGGAGGTGGGGGGGGGAGGGGGGAAGGGGGCGGGGGTAAGAGCAGCGCCTTTGAAGGCGTCCTGGTACACCAGCAGGGCTGCCGCGTCCCTCAGGAGCCGTGCTGCTGTCTTCTCAACGCTGATGGGGAAGAAGGGGGGGAAGGAGAGGGGGGTCGAGTCAGGAGCCGTGCTGCTGCTTTCCCCACACTGAAGTGTGAGGTGAGAGAGGAGGGGGGCGCGGCAGGCGGGGTTGGGGAACGGGGATAGGCGGAGGGGCCGCGAGAGCGACTGGAGAGCAACGGGAGAGCAACGGGAGAGCAACGGGAGAGCGACGGGAGCGACAGGAGAAGGAACAACAGCCGCGATACGCGGTCCCACAAGAGCTGCGCTGCAGCTTGAAGCTACCTGGGCCGTGGATCTGCAGTGAATCCAATGGCTGCGATCGTTCGCCGCCTCCCGCCATCCCCTCCCCCATCCCCTCTCCCGCCTGCCCCCCCAAACCCCCTTCTCCACCCCTGCTGGTGCGCCCCTAGCCTAGCACTGCCGCCGCTGCCGGGCCTGTTACCGAGCCTGCCTCCGAGCCTAGCCAACTGCCGGTTGGGCGGGTGACCTGGTCCGGCGTGTGCCTGAGAAGCGACGTGTCGGAATCGGGGTGATAGTAACAGGTGTAACGCGTGTGGCTGAATCGCGAGGTTACCCGGCGCGCAGTAACCCGGTGCGAGCGGCAAGAGAACGCTCTGAGCCATCGTCGCGGCTGCTATCGTTCCTACTTCTGCAGCAATCGGAATGCAATTGATGCGTGAGGAGTCTATTTTTGAGGCGCCTCAAAATTCGGAATGCAATCGAAACTAATCGGCACTGAAGCTCAGGCTACGGGGGGTGCAGATTCCGCGGGGAACGCGGCGCAGAATGTGGCGAAAAACGCGGCGATCTCTATATGCGGAAGCCAACGGTGGTGAAAAGGAGCGATTCCAGTAGAATCCGCTGCAGTGCGGTGCCAGCAGCCGCCACTAAAAAGGATCGCACGGCGGGGAATCGGCAACTTGCTGTGTCCGTTGGTCGTTACGCGCTAAAACCAGTACCCGAAGTTTGCTGATCAAGTAAGGGGGGGGGGATTTATGAGACAATTCTGTACGCATATGTGTGCATCCGATAAAAAACAAAGACCACAACGGAAACATTTTACAACGTTTAAAGGTACTCTACAACACCGAGTATTTTCACTCCCTTCCCAAAAGGACATCGTAGATAACATCCAAAATACGTTCTCATACTATATAACGCGTATACAAACAAGCAACTACCAAACCCTTCGGGTGGCAATTGGATAAGAAATGCCTAAACATATGAAAGGATCACACATGTATAGAAGCTATTGGTATTTGCGCATAAAGCTCGCAAGGAAATGGGGATTGTGGAACGAGGTGGGGACTGTTCCAACTGTGCAGCCTCCTCTTTCTTCTTCCACGACATCCCCCCCTGATCCACTTCCTTGCTACCTGTCCCTCACCTGCTGCTGACAACTGCTGCACGTTATTTACATAACCGTAAGGCCAGCCCCTTCTGTACTCTCATTCCATCCCTTATTTCCCCCACCTCAAAAAGTTGCCGCCACTGCTCGCATGCATTGCTTGAAACCATAGAAGAGCAGATGAGAGGTCAAGCCAACGCGTTGCTGGAAACCATAGAAGAGCAGATGAGCGATCAAGCCAACACGTTGCTGGAAACCATAGAAGAGCAGATGAGCGATCAAGCCAACACGTTGCTGGAAACCATAGAAGAGCAGATGAGAGATCGCCACCCGTAGCAGTTGAAATCCTGTACAGTATGTTACAGTGGGTTACAGTAGCCTGGCATCCATGTGGCCGCAGGGACCTTCTGCCAGGAAAGGGTAGGTATAGAGAGCTGTGGCTTCAGCACTCATAGATACGGATACGGTAGCTGCATCTGCAGCTAGGACGGTGAAAGTAAAGGCAGGCGCAGCTAGAACTGGAAGTTGCGGTAGCTGCAGTGACTTTTGAGTCGACTCAAAAGGGTAGGGTATGAGTGGAGAGCTGTGATGTGGCTTCAGCACTCGTAGGTACGGTAGCTGCAGCTGCGGCTAGAACTGGAAGTTGCAGTAGCTGCAGATTTTGATTCGACTCGAATGCAGCTGTGGATAGAGCTGGAAGTTGCGGCAGCTGCAGTGACTTTTGAGTCGACTCAAAGGGTACGGTACGTGTAGAGAACTGTGGTTCAGCAGTCAGAGATACGGTAGGTGCAGCTGGCGCTAGAACTGGAAGTTATGGTAGCTGCAGCTAGTACGGCGAAAGTTGCGGCCTCAGGTAGAAGCGGAAGCTGCAGGAGTGCAGCTAGGAGTGCCGCTAGTTGTGAAAGCTGCGGCGCATTTCAGGCTCCTTCCATGCTGCTCTGGCTGGTGTGTAGCGCGACGCATGGGCGAAGCCCCATAGCTGGGGGAGGGGAGGGTAACGGGATAAAAGGGGAGGAATGAGAAACAAGGGGTGGAAACGAAAGGGACCATGAGAAATAGCAGAACAAAGCAACGATTGTGTGTGCAGCAGAGGAATGGAAACGAGGGGGGAGAGGGGGAGGGAGGGGAGAGGGGGAGTTGAGGAGGTTGATGCAGGGGGGTATACCTCAACATGTTTGACGCAGAAGTCCTCTTTCTCTGCGAGACAAGGACAGGCGAAGGTGTCGCACTCGCCACTGGAGCCAGATAGACTGCAGCAAGGGACAGAGGACAGCAGGAAAGGGGGAAAGGAGGACATGAGGAAAGGAGGAGAGGAGGAAGACAGAACAGGGAACGAAGAGCAGAAGGTGAAGGGGAAGAAGATACACAAGGGATGCGGACATGGATACACATCCACTCAAATGTGCCCCCATACACGCATACTCCCAGAACTAACCCCTTCCCCTTCACACACACGCAGGAAATGCAGGCTTACAGGTCCTCTTCGAGGCGCAGGGCGAATTTTCCACCACCGCCAAACGCGAGGCAGTCGTGGGTGGGCAGCACGTAGTAGTGGTTGCGCCCCGTGGCCCGGTGCACCGTGGGCGAGCCCGAGGCGTCGGAGAAGACGAAGCACTGGTTGCTGCCCTGGTACTTGCGGCGGTCGGACGGCGAGAGAGATGTCGGGGAAAAGGCGCCGAAAACAGTGCCTGTGCTGTCGGATGCCACCTGGAAGAGTGGGGTCAGTGGGAGCACGAGAGGGAGCATGAGAGTGGAAGGGGAGAGAGAAACGAGAGAAGGCAGGTGACGAAAAAGAAGGTTTTCGAAGGAGGTTTTCGAAGGAGGTTTTCGAAGGAGGTTTTCGAAAGAGGTTTTCAAAGGAGGTTTTCAAAGGAAAAAGGTTCATCCCGTGCGCAACAGGAGCCGAGAAATGTAAGGCGAAAAGCAGCAAAAAGGGCTGGGAGCAGCAGGGGCACGCACCAGAAGGCAGGGGCCAGGGAGCATGGACGCCCTGCGGTAGAGAGTGAGGAGCGATATGCCGTGCTTTATGGTGCTGCAAGGGGAGCATGGCCGGGGGTACGAGGGGGGAGGGGAGAGGAGAGGGACGCACAGAAAGAGCAATGATGGAGAGGCCAGGCGAGGCGAGGCCATGCGAGGCCAGGCGAGGCGAGGCCACGGAAGGCCAGGCGAGGCGAGGTGAGGCCAGGGAGTGGACAGCAAGACGGAGAAAGAGACAGGAACGGTAGGTGAGAGAGCAACCCAGACCACTTGCAAACTCTCAAAACGACCAGCAATGAAGACACGCGTTTTACCTGTAGAGCAGCACCCATTTCCGGCTGCTAGCCGTGGCAGGCAGGTGCTTGAAGACAGCAGCACGAGTCGCCTCTGACAGCAGAAACGATTCCTCTGTCAGCTCGGGCAATCGCGGCGTGACAGGTGGCGACACCACCCCATCCCCTGCCACGCTGGCAGCAGGCACCGCCTCTCTTCCCCCTTGCCCATCCACGCCACCCCTTGCATCCCTGGCCGGCAACTCAATGCAGCCTGAGCGGCGTGCTGCCAACTTGCTGTCGTCGTCTTTTTCCTCCCCCCAGATTCTCTCCCCTCTCCTCCAGTCACGACTGGCAACCCCGCCTGTCTTCTCACCGCCACTTCCATGCTCTGGCACCGCCCATAAATCCGGGTCCAGGCTGGCAGTCCACGTCAACGGCATGTCACAGTCCAGCACAGACGCCAGCGGAGTGAGTGGCGGGAGTCGTTCCGACATGCTTCTGGATAGCGCCCCCATCCTCGCTCCGGATCTGATCCTGCCGCCCGTTCCCATCCCCAACACCCGGTCAAAACCTCCACCAGTTCTGCCTCCTGAACCTGCAGCCGAACCTACTTCCGAACCTCCATCCGGAGCAGAGTTTGCCGAACCGGCGTCCGAAGCTGCATCTGGGCTCGTCACGGAACGCTTGGAAGGAGACGTGTAGGACGAGGAAGGCGTGGACTTGACACACTTGGAGCCATCAGCACCACCAGCACCATCAGCAGCAGCAATCGCACGTGCACACGCCCGAGCAGCAGATGCGGAGCGAGGGGAGAAGGACAGCCATCTCTTGCGATTCCAGAACCCAGCTCCACCGTCCCGAACCTCCGACTTCTGCAATCCAACACCCGCCGTCTTCTTCGCTTCAAGACTCGCCGTCCTGCCGGCAGATGCCAGCCTGCGCCAGCTTCCACTCCCCTCACCAAGTCCAGGAGGAGACACGCCCTCCTCTCCCTCCCCCTCATCCTCTCCGTCTCCCCCAATCTCATCATCCGAGTCAGAATCCGAGTCCGAGTCTGTGAGCGAGTAAATAGACGAACCGGCGGACTGGGGCGTAGCAGAAGAAGCAGCAGCAGCAGCAGCAGCAGCAGCAGGCGTCGGTTTCTGGGTCCCACGGGGCGTGACGAGGGAGAGGATGAACGACGAGAACGAAGACCCGCCGGTCGTAGCAGGGGGCGTGCTTAATGAGAACCCGTCGGCTTCAAGCTCCTGCGCGGACGGAATCGTGTCCAGAACGGGCCGCTGGAAGATCGGACGGCTCTGCAGCAGAGCCGCCTGACGGTTAAGGCCGGCCGTCGCCGGCTGCTTGATGTCAACCGGCTGACTGGCAGGCGGCTTACCCGGCAAAGGCGCCGGTGGTGGAAGCTTGGCACATGCTGCTGGGGCCGATTTCGTTGGCTGCGCGTCTGCTGAGACTTCTGCTGCGGCTGGTGTGGCAGAGACTGCTGCTGCTGAGACGGCTGGCTTTGAAGATTTGGCAGTCAACGGTCGCTTCGCGTCGTAGAGGGAGCCTGTAGAGGGGAGGTTGACGCTTCTTGATGTAGTCAAAACCGGTACTGCTGTCGCGTCGGAAGGTTCGGTCTCCTCCTCATCGGTCTCGAGAACGGCGATGGGGAATATAGCAGCGCGAAACGCTTTCGCAGGTTCGGTGGTAGGCTCGGAGAAAGGCTCGGCGGCTGCAGGAGGTCGTGCGACGCCCTTGCGCTTGAGGAGCATGCTGAGTGACAATAGCGGGGTCTTTTGAGGACCAGAAACGGCTTCAGATAATAACGGATTGGAGTCGTTCTTCTTCATCGCGTGGATGCAGCTATTGCTGCGGCAGCGACCCATCAGGCTGCCGCGGCGGGAGCAGGAAGCCTGAATGTGGGGGGAGAGGAACCACAAGAACAGAAACGAGAAAGTGCAATAACAAATATTATTCATAGACATCCTTAGCGTAAAACAATCTGAAATAAAACATAACGAGATTCCACCATTAACATTCAGCAAGCAAGCAGAAATTGAGGAGCAGCTCTACTTGGAACTTTCTACCAGTCATGACTCATGACGCCGAAGTCACCTTCGTCGCCGATGTCGCGTTCCCCATGCTTTGCTGCTGCTGCTGAAGGAAGCAACTGTCGCTCGCATTCCGTCGCATTGCCCTGCGACCCGCTGCCGTGAGCCGTCGCATCATGCGGTCACCGACTAAATCACCGAACGCCATGACTCGCTGTCAACGTAACGGCCGTCAAATCTCGGGCGTGAGGTGCCAACCTCCTCGATAATCAGCGAATAGTCAGCTCGTTAATACGATCGCTGTTACAGAAGTCGAGAAGTCGCAGAACTCCAAAAAAAGTCGCAGAGTGGTCGTCTTTCAGTTGAATGCTAGACGAAAAGACTATCCGCCGTAATTGGTGAAAAGGCGACGGGAAAAAAAGAACTGTTGCGATTGCTCACGGTGTGAGCAAAACCGAGGACAATTGGGCTGTTATCCAGGTACTTCGCAATCTCTGCGGCACCAGAGACAGTTTTCACGCGCCAGCAGTGCACAGTAACCTAGCAGCGATATGTTTTCGAGACAAACACGCGCATGGACGTGACGTGAAGGCACGAATCTGTGCCGTAGCAACATCCGACGGCTCTCAAGGAAACAGGAAACCGAACGGACGAGGTTCGGTAAACAAGGAACGGAATCGACGGTCTTGATCACGGGAAGATCGTGGGTAGAAAGGGAACGCATCTGAGAAAACAGAAGAAACAAGAAATGGCTGCCTTTTACAAGAACGGGGTTGGGCTTTCTGCGGAGCTCAATCTCACAGATTCCACCCCTCTGTATGGAGAGCTTGAGGCGAGATATATGCAAGAGCAAGCTCAAGAGCAAGCTCAAGAGCAAGCACCTGGCACCTGCAGCGGTAGAGAGGGTGGGGGAACAAGGAGGGCGAGAGACAGAGGGAGAGGAAGGGGACAAGCAATGGAGGAACAAGTAGGACAACGGGGCACAAGTGCAGACGGGCAGAAATCATATTGCCGCGAAATGCTTGCTGTTGCATATATAGGGAGTGTCGTTGCTGAGAAAGAGTCAATGTGCAGCAGATTAGCAGATATAAAATGGTTTATAGTGCTGAAGTGAACCGCGAAGCAATTTCCATTAAGCGGGCAGGGACAATGGCGAAGTGGTGGACAGGGTGCTTCTGCCTTGCTGCTTCTGGATACGGTGGGGTCGGGTGACCAAACAACGCATGTGCCGCTGGACTGGTGTGTGCGATGTGATGCGTGTGAAGCCTGTTCTGGCGGCAGCAGCTTTGGAAATGGCGAGCAATGTGTCAGCTGTGCGACCTCGACACACGCGCATACGATTGTTGAAGCATTCAGGTGCGACGACTTCATACACACGGATTGGAGGAAGAAAGGTTGCATGGGACGGCGATGGAATAAGGCAGACGAATCTGCCCCCAGCATGGAGTTCTAGAAGTAGGTCCAAATGGCGGCATCCTACAATGAGCTGGTGGCAACAGGACCAGCTCTTTCGCCAGCACGGGGTTACGCCAACGGAGATAGGCCAAGCAGCTCCTTCACACGCTGTCGGTTGATGTTGCTGGCGATCTGTTGGCATGTTGTCATCAATCACGTGGTTTACGTCAGCAATCAGAAGGAGTTGAGCTTTATGAGGGTTCACCATTGGCCAAGTCAAGCTAGGGTTCTGTGACGAGCTGATAGGCTGGCTTTGGATAAATGTCGGAGCAATCGAAGCCGTCCATATGGCGCCGAGCCTAATTTTCCAGCGTGAGTCAGAGGCTCGATGATTCCAAGCGTGACAGAAAGTGGCTGAGATCAAATTGAAAAGGCCCACGCTGACGTGCCTCAAACGAACGCCAGGTAGAGGGACGCCAGCGAGGAAAACGCCATCACAAGTGTATAACGAGTTATGGTGCCTTTAGTCAAGACGATGAACATTACAGATTCTTAGAGTGCTGAGAAATGATGAGGATCCTCCATCTATTGTTATCTCTAACACAACCTAGCTCGTACTTTTAGTTGCAGCATTTTCTTTTCAAACAAAGCATCCAACTGAATTAAGACAAACTTTCAACCTCCTGCCAACATTCAACAATACCGTACAAGAAATGGCTGTTCACAAACCGGAATTCAGCAGTACACCGCTCACAGAGCTGCAGCAGCACCAAGCAGAGCATTATTAAGATCTTGGCTTAGGGCCCAAAAGAACCACCCTCCAAAGCTTTGAGCCTTGGCATAATTCACCTTAGTGGTGATAGTCGATGGGTTGTCATAACCAACCCATTGGTTACCCTTCACCGCATAAATGGATGACGATGCAGTGTGGAGTGTAGCCTTGTAGCCTCCAGTAGCTACCAACTGGGCAATTTCCTTGTAAAAGAGAACCCCAGATTCCTGACTGACAGACCCAGCCAAACCAGGCCCGGTCGCAGCAGCTCCAACCCCAGTGCTGCTCGTCGAAGCTAGAGTCCAGGTCCGGCCGTACATCGCCAAGCCTAGCATGGCCTTGCTCTTGGCCAAGCCTCGGTTGACCCAGGCAGCCATGGCGCCCTTGAGGCTCAGCTGCGGATTGCTTAGATCCTCCAGAGCAGTGTGCATGCCAGTCTTCAGCTCCCACGACCCATGGATATCGTACGTCATTATGTTGACAAAGTCTAGCGTTTTGTTAAGCGTCGGGACGTCGTACGCCTGAGTAACCGTTGGCTCGTAGCAGGAAACCGCTGCGGTGAGCAGCAGCTTCGGCTTCCCCGAAGCTGCAGCTTCGGATTCGATCGCCGCCCGGAAGTCGGTGAGCAGGGCGGAAAAGAGCGCGATCTGGCCCGTCGGGTACTCCCAGTCGATATCCAGACCGTCGAAATTGTAGGTGCGGGCAAAATAGATTGCGGACTGGATGAAGGCGGAGCGGGAGGAGGCGGAGGAGGCGGCGTTGACGAAGACAGCGGTGCCGGCAGAGTAGCCGCCGATGGAGAGGAGGGTTTTAAGTGACGGGTTGGCGGTCTTTAAGATGTTGTTGAAACGGAGGTAGAGGCCTTGTGTGACATCCGCATAGGGGTTGGAGGGGATGACCTGATGTGAGAGGGAGACAGGTGGGTGAGATGGGAAGAAGCAAAGGAAACACGGGTCTTGATGGCGGGCGGGGTTGGCATTCTCTAGGTCGAATTTGAAGCGGAGTTAGAGACCCCCGGTGACGTCAACAGAGGGGTTAGATGGGATGAACTGTGGGGGGGGACAACAGAAATAGGAATAAAACGATCAGGTTAGCTCAGAATACAGGCGGAAGGAGGGAGAAAATGTGAAGCATTAATGAATAAGAAGCGCAGAAAACATCTGTAAGAGGTACGGTACCTTATACGTGATGGCATCGATGAGAGCAAAGGCGTAGAAGACATGGGTGAGCGAGGCAGCAGGGACGGCGGATGGGCTCTAGAGGTAAGGGGTTTGCATGCTAAGAGATCGCTGTACCTTGTATGTGGTGGCGTCGATCAGAGCAAAGGCGAGGCGGCAGGAACGGCAATGGATCCTACAGGTGGGGTTCGCATGCTGGGAGCCTACTGCACCTTGCATGCGGCACAGTACCTTGTATGCGGTGGCGTCAATGAGAGCAAAGGCGTAGAAGACACGGGTGAGCGAGGCAGCAGGGAAGGCAGCAGGGACGGCAGCAGGGACGGCAGATGGGCTCTAGAGGTGGGCTTTGCGTGCTAAGAGACCACTGTACCTTATATGTGGCATACCTTGTGTGTGGTTGCATCAATGAGAGAAAAGGCGTAGAAGACATGGGTGAGCGTGGCAGCAGGGAAGGCAGATGGGGTTCGCATGCTAACAGCCTACTGAACCTTATATGTGGCATAACTTGTACGTGGAGGCATCGATGAGAGCAAAGGCGTAGAAGACATGGGTGAGCGAAGCAGCAGGGACGGCAGATGGGTCCATGCCCGCCCAGTTGACGAAGTACGCCATGCGCTTCAGACCAGAGGTGGGCGGCGGAGGAGAGGCCGTGGAGGGGGGAGGGGGGGAGGGGGACGTAGAGGGAGGCGGAGGGGAGGGAGATGTGGAGGGAGGAGGGGGGGAGGGAGACGTGGAGGGGGAAGGGGGAGGAGGGGAGGAGGAGGAGGAGGGCCAGCACTGGGACTGACAGCCGGGGCCGCAATAGTCAAGGGTGGAGCCGCACCACCCGTGGATGCTGCAGCAGAGGCCGTTGGGGCAGATGCTGTTGCCGTTCTGCGCTCCGCACTCTGGCAAAGGGAAGGGAGGGAGTGGGGCGAGTGGGGGAGGGGGTTCAAGTGAGGGGAAAGGGGAATGAGAGAAACGGTGGCGACAAACCAGCCGTGGACGCTGCAGCAGAGACCGCTGGGGCAGATGCTGCTGCCGCAGCCGCTCTGCGCTACGCACTCTGGTGTGGGTGGCATTCAGGGAGAGGGAGAGGTGGGGAGGGTTTGAGATCGGTGGGAAGATAGGGTGGGTGGGGAAGGCGGGGGTGGACGGAGCTTTAGGAGGAGTATATCGCGGTTGCCAAGGAAGAATGTGCTCGGAAACTGCGGTCGGGACAAGAGCAACCAGAGTGTGAGCACACTCAAAGCGAGATGCTCAAAAGAGACGGGGGGGAGCGAGAGAGGTCACTCACGGCCGTTGGTGGAGACCGGGGGCGAGCTGGTAGCAGGCGGAGGAGGGGAGCTCGTGGGGGGAGGCGGAGAGCTCGTAGGCGGAGGGGGGGAGCTGGTCGGGGGAGGCGGAGAGCTAGTAGGCGGAGGAGGGGAGGCGGAGGTGCCGCCAGCGCATGGCCCGGATAGACAGCCGGAGCCGCAGTAGTCGACGGTGGAGCCGCACCAGCCCCACTTGCTGCAAGGGGGGAGTTGGGGGGGGGAGGCAAGAGGGAGGAGAGGCGGCGGGGGGGTTAAGGAAAAGGTGGGCAACGGCAAGCATGGTCGGGAAAAGCAGGGGTGCTTCCAGCGCACGGCGCGGATTGGCAGCCGGGGCCGCAGTAATCGACGGTGGAGCCGCACCGGCCCCACTTGGTGGAAAAAGGGAGGCGGGAGAGGGCAGATGGGGCAGAGCAGGGGGGGGAGGGCAGGGGGAAGCGGCAAGAGGGAAGAGGTGGCAGGGTTATATGGGGAAGGGACGAGCTGACATGCACTGACGCGGAAGTCTCTCGGCGGAGGATAGTCTTCCAGAAGAAAATGAGTGCATGTTATGATTATAACGAGGGCGCAAGAGTGCACTCAATAACGAGATTCGGCGGCTCTGTCAGCTTTGTCCCAAAAAGGGGCTCGGAATAGGAGGCTCGGCTTCGGAGGCTCGGAAACTCAGATAAGAATTGGAGGCTCGGACTCCCCGAGCCTCAGGCTCGAGTCGAGAGCTGGGAATCGGGACGCACCTGCAGCAGAGATTGTTGGCGCAGAGAATCGTCGCAGAGCACTGCTGTGCGACGACCGGGCGAAAATGATGCGACGATGAGAGGACGACGGAGAGCAGAAGCAGGAGAAACGGCGGAAGCATCGATGAGCGGCCGACGCGGCGCCGGATGATACCAGTAGGTGACATTGTTGCCAGTACGACAAGTGGCAGGGACTCCCAAAGGGAAACTCCCACCCGACCTTACTAGCGACTCCTAGCGACTCCAGGCGACGCCTAACGACGCCTAACGACTCCCTTCAAGCAGTCGAGCAATTCAGAGCTGAGTGGCGCGGGCATCCGATGAGACGAATAAATAGCCGAGGGCGATAGAATGAGGGATCGCCTGATCCTGAGAAGAGTCAAAGGAAAGGCGATGGAGTGTCGATGGAGTGTCGATGGAGTGTCGATGGAGTGTCGATGGATTATGAGAGCTTGACGATGGAATGGTCTGGACTGAGTTGAACACTGGGATCCGAGGGAACAGCAGGAGCATCCGTGGGATGGCAGGAGCATCCGTGGGATGGCAGGAGCATGGACCTTGGGGCTGAACTTGGCCATACATTGGCATTCATAAGGAGAGATCTGTCCGTGCTGCTTAGGGCGTGTCCTAAGCGTTCAATTTTGGCCAATACCCTACCGAATCGTTTTACAGAGTTCTTTGAACCTTCCGAAACGCTATTCACCTTACTAAACCGCATTCGGACGTACCCTTAGGAGCGCCCGTATGTGCCTGGCTCTCCCTTCCCGTTCCATATGGAACGAGTGCATGCAACGCGCTGACAACGCCAGGGAGCCATGGAGCCATGGAGCCATGGCTCTGTCACTAACAGTACCATACCGTACACAACAAGGCTGTACTGTGCTGTAACGACGCTCTCGGCTCGGAGTGAAGCTGGTTTAGCTAGGCGTAACTGCCCACGGGTGTCTAGCACGGGACCAGTCTCTCAATCGTTTACAACCGTACTGAAAACATTTTACAATTTAATCCACCGAGCTGTACCTTTCTGTTCTTTCGGCACCCATTCCTCCTGAACCGTTTCAGGTGATATTTTCCCCAGAAAACCCTGATCTGAACACTGCCTGCAAATCGCTGCACGTCTGTTCGAAACGGCCTCTTTTCATTGGTTCACCGATATTTCTCGTTCCGGAGGCGAAAAGTTCCCGAGGACCTATTCGCTTTATCAAATGCCTTACTTCTGGATGTGCCATACACTACTAGAAATGCTAGGAGATATAATAACTAACGACTTACATTATATAAGAGCTAGATATATCACCACTGTTATGAATAATAACTGAGAGTGCGCGGAATAATAATGACGACTACAAGAATGCTAGCCTAGCATTATATAGCGAGAGCTCTAGCTAGGCGACGAAGCCGGAGGGCTAGGTTGGGTACAGGCGCGGTCGAAAGGATCGGAGGCGGCGCGGGCGTGCCTTGGGGTTGCGTCGGAAACGGACCGAGCCTGGTGTTCCGAGAGTTCGGGTGTACGCGATTGCAGTACAACCCGGTAAGGAATAAAATTCCTTACACTACCCCCCCTCTTAAGGAAGGTGATCAATATCGGGAACGCTTTTTTGGGTCAAATAAGATTTGAGCACCAAGTGTTCCTGAATCGAGTCGGAAGTGACCCAGGTGTCGTCTTCGCTTGTACGGTCGACCCAACGGACAAGAAAATCCACGTGTCGTCCTGTCGAGTCAATGCGAACGCGATAACTCAAAAGCCGGAAAGGCTAAAGGGTTGGTTCAGCCAGTGGGCGGACACTTGGGGCGGCCGCTGGTCGTGCAACTGCAGACGTGCTGGCGACGTAGGGACGAAGCAGGCTGACGTGGAAGGCGTCGTGAATGCGCCACTCGTCCGGGAGTAATAACTTCGCTGTGACAGGTGTCACCATCCTGACAATCGCGGGCGGAGTTTTGAAGGCAGGGGCAATCGAAGGTTCTTCGTGTCGAGGAGGACTAGTTGCCCAGCGGTCATCGTGATACCGCGGCGATGAAGGTCTGTATAGCGTCGAGCGGTTCTCTTGGACTTGCGAATGAATTCGATCGCTTTATCCCGTGCAGCTTGCAAACTGGTCACGAATTTCTGGGAACGTGGCACTGGGTTGTCGATGTTGGTAGTCGTCGGGACGGTCGGATCCATCACGTAGTTTAGGAAAAACGGCGAGTGATTAGTCGTAGCAGATGGGGCATTGTTGTAGGAAAATTCCAGCATGGGCAGGAATTCTTCCCACCGGGCAGGATCGGGGCAGTTGGTGCGTATCAGCTGCTCCATGGTCTGATTGGTTCGTTCGGTCTGGCCGTCGGTTTGAGGATGATAGGCGGAGGAAAATTGGAGGCGTGTGCCGTACTGGGCCCATGTTTCTTGCCAGAACTTGGACGTGAATTTTGGGTCGCGGTCGCTGATGATCGCTGATGGGACGCCGTGTAAACGAACAACGGTGGAGATGAAGAGTTTCGCTGTATCATCGGCTGTGATTGTTGTGCGACAGGGTGCGAAATGCGCCATCTTCGTCACACGATCGACGACGACGAGGACGGCGTCGTTGTCCGTTTCGGTTGTCGGAAGTCCCGTGACAAAGTCCATCGTCACGTGTTGCCACCGCCGCTGGGGTGGCTCGAGCGGTTGCAGCAGTCCAGCTGGCCGCTGTCGGGAGGACTTCATGCGTTGGCAGATCGGGCACGCAGATACGTATCTCTGCACATCAGACGCTAAATCAGGCCAATAATAAAAACGGTGAAGTAACTTCTGGGTTTTGTCAACCCCGACATGACCGGAGAGGTTAGAATCGTGGACTTCTTGAATAAGTAATTTGCGGAGGAGTCTGTAGGCGGAAACCCTGATACGGTCAGTACCAGCTTTTAGGAAGTCGGGTCCTTTGGCTGTGGTGGCTTGCTGGTGGAGGTTGCGGGTGAAAAAAGGGTCTGTGGTATATCCGTGGGTAAATAGGCCAGTGAGCAGCGGGTTGGATTTTGCGACGATGATGGAGGCGAGGTGGGCGGATGGTCTTGTCAGTGCGTCGGCGATGTTATTCGCCCCACGTTTGTACATGATGGTGTAGTGGACGTTGCTTTCGAGGAAGTCCAGCCAGCGAATCTGCCGTGGATTGAGGTTCGGCTGTGCGCGGAGGTACTGTAGGGATTTATGGTCTGTCCGTACTGTCACGTCGGCTCCCGTCAGGTAGCATCGCCACACCTTGAATGCGTGCACGATGGCGAGCATTTCTTTGTCGTGGACGGGGTAGTTGCGCTCGGCTGCCTGCAACTTCCTAGACTCATACGCGATGGGTTGGAGTCCGTCGCCGAAATCTTGTAACAGTATTGCACCGATGGCGAAATCGCTAGCGTCCGTCAAGACTTCGAACGGTCGAGATGTGTCGGCGATTCGGAGGACCGGGGGCGACGTCAGAAAATTTCGCAGTTCATCGAAAGCAGTCTGCTGTCTCTCCCCCCACTCAAACAAAGTGCCCTTCCGCAGCAGGTCAGTTAACGGTCCGGTTATCCCTGCCATATTGGGGATAAACCTCCGAACGTAATTAACGAACCCGAGAAAACTCTGCAGCTCCTGTAAATTCATCGGCGGCTTCCAGTCGCGAATCGTTGTGATTTTCTTCGGGTCGATTTCGATCCCGTCCGCTCCCACGACATGTCCCAAAAATTCCAGTTCCGATTTTAGGAACTCGCACTTGGAGCCCTTCGTGATGAGTCGGTGTTCTTGCAGTTGCTGGAAAACTTGCTCGAGGTCCTTGAGGTGCTGTTCCTGTGTCTTGCTGTAGATCGAAATGTCATCAAGGTAAACGATGACGCACTTCTCGAGGAGATCTCGAAAGACGCCATTCATGGTGAGTTGGAATGTGGAGGGCGCGTTCGTGAGGCCAAATGGCATCACGGTGTACTCGTAGCTGCCATATCGGGTTCGGAACGCCGTCTTGTGGTAGTCGTCAGCGAAGACTCGGATCTGATGGTAACCGCCACGTAAGTCGATTTTCGAGAAGAAGCGAGCTCCGCGAAGTTGATCGAGAAGATCGTCCGCGCGTGGGATTGGGTAGCATGACTTAATGGTTCGCCGATTCAGCGCCCAGTAGTCGATGCACATTCGCAGCCCGCCGTCTTTCTTGGGCGTGAACAGGATTGGTGCCGCGAACGGGGACGTGCTGGGCCTAATGAATCCCTTCACTAAGAGCTAGTCCAGCTGGCTCCGCAATTCCGTAAGCTCAGGCTGAGTCAGCCGCCACTGGGTCCTGACTGTAGGCTGCGCGCCGGGTTCCAGGTCAATTTTGTGGTCCTGGGGGCGCTCGGATGGCAATCCTGCTGGCAGGTCGTCCGGAAAAATATCCGGATACTGTCAAATCAGCGCGACGAGCTCGGTAGACATTGGCACAAAGTGTGTCAATGTTCTTTGGCGTGTCGTCGACTGTCGCTTCGGCCAGGTGGACGGCGTACAGATCAGCTCCTTTTTTAACTGCGCGCTGGAGAGTGATGGCGTTGACACGTGTCGACACCGGATCCCTCCCACGCCAGCTCGGTAGTACGCGCCACCCGTTCGCACAGTGCACGCTGCATTCGCCAGTTGTCCAGTCGATCCTCTGGTTGAATTTCCGCAGCCAATCACGCCCAAGCAGAATGTCGCAGCCGTCCAGCATCGTTGCCAGCATGGGCATGCTGAATCCGAAGTCGTCGCCATACTTCATCCGCACCATGCGCGCGCGTTCTCGAATTGCAAGTGGGGTTCCGTCCACCAGTCGCGCGTCGATTTCGGGGAGACATTTTTCCAACGTCAGCTTCAACTGCTTCGCCGTTGTTACGTGTATGAGACTGTGCCGCCATCCACAAATAATTTTATTTTTTTGCCGTTAACCTTGCCTTGTCACATCGAAAGCATAGCCCGTGAAACATTTCATCGGGCGCTGACACGCCATTGATCGTAGGGCGGGGAGACTGTCCACGAAAACGACCAACATCCCTGTTTTTCTTTCTCGCCCACTGCTGCAATGCATCGGCTACTGACGCCAGCTGGACAGCTTCATCCAACGTCTTGGGACGGGACCGCTGCAACTCGTATTGAATATCGAAATGCAGCCCGCTAACGTATTTGTCCCGCCTTTCCGCTTCGCTAAGGTCGTCGACTTGGTCCGCAAGTGCCGAGAACGACGCAGTGTAATCTTGAACAGTAGTCACCTGCTGCCAGTTGCGCAGCTTCATGCGAGCGTCGTCTTAGGCGGATGAATGCTCAAAACGAGCTCGCAGAGCTGTGCCCCACTGTTTCCACGTGCGAATCGTGGTCGTACCGAATATTGTTTCTGCCTGTTGGTTTGAAGAATCCGAAGTCCCGTCCTTCGCCTGCTTCACTCCTGCCGGAGTCCCAATCGCCAACTGTCGTCGCCACCAATCCAACGCCGGTCCTCGGAGGAGCGACATGGCATAATTAATGCGCGCGTCATCCGTATGCACACTTGCCGCCGTGAAGAACAGCTTCATGCTGAACAGCCACCCTTGCACCGTCGTTGCCTAATTCGAAGGGTTGAACGGGGGCGGTGTTGCTGGCTTGAGTTTAATCTTCGTTATAGTCACAGTGCGCACGTCGTCCTGCTCCAACTCCCGTGCGAGCTCGTCAAGGACGGTTTCGCTCGCTGCGTCGTCGGCACCTTGCTTGACCTCGTCTTCGGCGACTCCAGGCGACTCCTGACGCGCTTCACCACGCGTCTGGCGAAGCTCGGTGTTCTCTCTTCGAAGTCTCACGACTTCACTGTTCAAACTCGCCATCTGGGCTTGCATTGCTTGCATCTGAGCCATGACCTCGTCTAGCTGGGCCTGGGACACGATGCGAATGCTACGCCTTTCGGGCAGGGGGAAGGCCGTGGTAAGAAACCGTAGGGGGCGCAAACGCTATCGTAGTTGTGTGAGCTAATAACTCTAGCTCACGGACAACCGCTTTGCAGCCCCGCAGGGTTAACCACGCCTTGGAAATAAACTACCTTGAGAAAGCGGGGTGAACCAGGAAAGTAGCTCTGATACCAGATGTTATGAATAATAACTGAGAGTTCGCGGAACAATAATGACGAGTACAAAAATGCTAGCCTAGCATTATATAGCGAGAGCTCTAGCTAGGCGACGAAGCCGGAGGGCTAGGTTGGGTACAGGCGCGGTCGAAAGGTTCGGAGGCGGCGCGGGCGTGCCTCGGGGTCGCGTCGGAAACGGACCGAGCCTGGTGTTCCGAGAGTTCGGGTGTACGCGATTGCAGAACAACCTGATAAGGAATAAAATTCCTTACAACCACTAGGTGATTACACCAATCCAGGGCCCTAGATTGGTTTTGAGGCTTCCTGATACATCAGGATTCTCCTTGCAGAAAAGTCTGAATTTTCAGGGTCCCCTAAAAAAAAGTCCTGAGCCATCAGAAGTACTTCAAAAAAAAATATTGATTTTTCAATCTTTATATACATGTTTTAGTTCATGAATTTTGTGTGTTCAAGTCTTGGTTTTGGGGGGTGCTGGGAATTCGTAGCGAATTCGCGCGTGTGACGAGATTGGGGGATGGGAAGGAACCGACAATTGGTGGGGGGGAGAGGGGGGAAGGGCTGAATAGGGGGGGAGGCGACGAGATTGCAGGGGCGGAGGGAATCTCTTCCCTCGCAGAGCCCTAGGGCAGGCGCACATCAAGCAAATTCGGCCAAGGGCCAGCAATTGCCCTCACACAGTCCTCAGCACACCTCCCTCACATGACCTCCAACATACAGCGCGGAGATTTTTTTTACCAAGGGCCAATCAGCGCCCTCACACAGCCTCGGGGGGTGGGGGAAGGGGGGGGGGAGAACCTCGAAATTCTTGACTGCCCCCCCTAGACACGCTTTTGGAAAGGACTACGACCCACTACAATGCTGAGAAATTCAGGGTTCGCTAAGAAACCTTGCTGAGCGATCAGAGTTTACCCTTACAAAAAGCCTGAAAAAACAGGGTGTGTCATTTACAAAACCCTGCACAATCAGGGTAAGTACCGAGAAACTGTCAACTTATACATATTATCTATGTAGAAGTTATAGGCTAGACTGAGGTATGCTTCTAGTGAGTACAACCAACTAGTATTTGTTCTAGGTTTCCACCTCTAGTAATCATTCGTTTCTACGTTAACATGGTATCACGCTTAGGTTAGGATCCCCCCGCCTACCGCTTCCGCCCGTCGCGCCTCCTAGGCCCCGTCGCGCCCCCTAGGCCCCGTCGCGCCCCCCCTGGGCCCCGTCGCGCTCGTTAGGCCCCGTCGCGCCCCCCCTGGGCCCCGTCGTGCCCGCTGGGCCCCGTCGCGCCTCCTAGGCCCCGTCGCGCTCCTTCTGGGCCCCGTCGCGCCCGCTGGGTCCCGTCGCGACCCCTAGGCCCTAACGCGCCCCCGCTGGGCCCCGTTGCGCCTCCTAGGCCCCGTCACGCCCCCCATGGGCCCCGTCGAGCCCGCTGAGCCCCGTCGTGCCTCCTAGGCATCGTCGCGCCTCCTGAGCCCCGTCGCGTCCCCCCCCTCTGGGCCCCGTCGCGCCCGTTCGGCCCCGTCGCGCCCCTCCTAGGCCCCGTCGCGCCCGCTGGGCCCCTTCGCGCTTCCTAGGCCCCGTCGCGCCTGCTAGGCCCCGTCGCGCCCCCCCTGGGCCCCGTCGCGCCCGTTAGGCCCCGTCGCTTCCCCCCCTGGGCCCCGTCGTGCCCGCTGGTCCCCGTCGCGCCTCCTCGGCCCCGTCGCGCTCCCCCTGGGCCCCGTCGTGCCCGCTGGGCCCCGTCGCGCCCCTTAGGCCCCGTCGCGCCCGCTGGCCCCTGTCGCGCCTGCTGTTAGCGCTCGCCCGCCTGGCCTCCTCCTAGTGCCGCTCGGCCTCCTCCTAGTGCCGCCCGGCCTCCTCCTAGTGCCGCCCGGCCCCTTCCTAGCGCCGCCCGGCCTCTCCTCAGCGCTGCCCGGCCCCTCCTCGTGCCCGACCGGCCCCAGCAGCACCAGCCTGGCCCCTCCCAGCACCAGCCCGGCCCCAGAGCACCTGCCCGCCTCCCCTGCTCGGCCTGCCGTGTCCTCTCGGGCCCTGTGTCTTCTGCTTGCCTGCGCTGGGACGCCTAGCTGCTGCCCTACTGGAGAGTGCTGCCGCCGTGTCCCCGCGCCGCTGTGCTCCTGTGCCGCTGAGGAGCTGTGCTGCTGTGCCGCTGTGTCGCTGAGGAGCTGTGCCGCTGACCCTGCACGATGGCTGACTTTGTGCTCCGCCTGGACGCTGAGGGCCACGCGGTTGACTTCGCCGCCTGGCTCTCCGATCTTCGCCGCCATCTTACAGGTCAGCGCCAGGATGGCCACTCTCTGGTTGTCCATGCTGATGGCTTGCTCCCCCGTCCCCCTGCACCTACTCCCCTCCCTGCTGACCCCTCCTCTGATGACCGTGAGGCTTTCTCTACTGCTGCGCTGGCCTGTGCGGTCTGGGACTCACGCGATGCAGTAGCTCAGGTTGCTATTAGTCACGCCCTCCCTGTGTCTGAGCGCTCGCGTTTTGCTACTGTTGAAACGGCCAAAGCTTATTTAGACGCCGTTATTGCTCGCTATTCCACCCCTGCCTCCGCTTCTGCTGGCCGCTTGCTCTTTCCGATGCTGTTCCCAGACCTGGCTGCCTTCCCTACTGTCGCAGATTTTGCCACTCATTTGCGTGCCCTAGAGACTCGCTATCGCACTGCCAGTACTGCTGCCCAGCTCACTGCGCTCCCCCCTCCTTTCTGCATGACGCTCTATTTTATCGCTATGCGCCTGCCAGACCGCCTCGCTAGTGCTCGCGACCACTTTCTTAGCCAGCACCCGGGTGACCTCATCCTGACCGCCTTTGTCGACACCCTCACTGAGATCGAGACTCG